ATATTTTCTACAATTTCACAATTTCGAATCCTAAAAACTCTTTGTTTGGAGCATTGAACTTTTTGGGATTGCATTTACATCTGGGATACCAACCTGTCAAACCACAAAACAATGGAACTATGTGTAATAAATTCATGTGAAAACCAGTGATTGACGCAAACTGTTTTGAGGGCATGTAATCTTGGCCTCTGTCACATTGTTAGATCAGCTTTTTCAGACAGAAAACTGGAAAAGAGAGGACCACCGGCAGCGAGTGCAGATGGAAACTAACTGTCTGACCATAATCTGGTGCTGTACACATCTGTCTGACTCACAAAGCTAGAGTTTGATATATTCATTCCATTTTAATTAGTGTAGAATTATTGTTCATTTATCTTATGCTGTGTGTTACTCACTCCTACTGTGCCGTAACTGGCGATGCAACACTGAAACTTCACCACAGTGGGACAACTAAAGGATCTCTTAATCTCTCAATCTCATTGACTGCCAGGAGTTTTTGATGATTTTACTTATTTCAAGATCCACAGAATATTATGTGCTTTGACTATGTGAAATATGAAACCAGATTCCGAAAGACTGGACTGTCTACTTTCATCAGCAAAAATAAGTTTGTTTCTAGCTAGTTTTGTTCTCCTGTAATCCCCAGTTTCATTGAGGGAAGTTTGACGGAAATCAACAATCTCAGACAATTACGTCAATGGGAGTCAATGAATTATTATAAATATGCAGACAGCCTGATGTGGACTGATTCATTCTCAAACTTTACTTTAACTTTTTTTTATTTCTGTCAGGACACGAAACAAAAACGCTTTATCTTCAGTGCGATGCAAATGGAAAAAACATAAACGGCGAACGACTTTATAATGCACACAAAGCTGTCGCCTCAATCCCTGTGTGTCGCGTTGGACAATACTCACTATTCAAAGAGGATCCCATCATACAATGTGACAGTCTTATTCAATACTATCTTATAAAACTGAATAATAAATCAAGCAAACAAAAGACAGCTTTAACAAACAAGGAATGCGGCCAATTCCAAAAAAACTATATATATAATCCTGTTAAATCTAATAACATTGCAGCATATCTTGTGGTGTCTTGATTTGAACCCATCCATCCATTTCCATCTCTGTGAGAATTGTAATTTCTGTCTCATTTCCTGTGCAGGATTTGGATATCTCTGTGTGGAAGCTCACTGTAATATCGTTTCTATCAGATCGGATCCAAACTATTTTACAGAAATAATGGGTTTCTACCTCAATGACGGTTATAGGTATCTTTACAGTTAAATTTGACATAACAAAAAGGCTTTGTATTTAAACTGTTGAAAAGTGGTCCAGACTACTTCCTTTCTCTTCAATAATACAGCAGCTGCAGCTTGATCAAAATTCTGCAGGCGTTCAGGACAAGAATAATATCTCACATTACACCTTTATTAGAATATCGGCTCCTGATTCAAGCACGGATTGTCTTTAGAATCCTTGTAAAGCCCTCCGCAGTCTGGCACCTTCGTATGAATTACTTAAGAATCAGACTTAATGTGTGATGTCGGAATTTGTCCAAAATACAGTAGATATGCAGTATTTGTACTCTACTTGGGCCTGTGTGAAGTCTCAGATCCTCAGACCTCATCATTCTTGCGGTTCTTTGTATAAAACTGCTTTCCATTAAGTGAGTGAGTAAGTAATCTTTAATTATATAGCGCCTTCACAGACCAGAGTCACAAAGTGCTTTACAAATGTGGGCATTTGTCTCACTCCACACAGAGAAGGAAGTGAGGTCGCCAGTACAGGAGGCGCATGCCAGAGCTAATGTATATGTTTTTAGAGGTAGGGGAAACCGTAGCCCCCGGAGGAAACCTACGCAGGCACGGGAAGAACATACAAACTCCACTCAGAAAGACCCCATTCCGACCGGGATTCGAACCCAGGACCTTCTTGTTGAGGAGCGAGATTGCTATCCACTCAGCCAACGTTTCGCCCAATCTATAATTGTTTGACATTTTGTTTCTGTTGTACAATTCAATTCATTTCCATTTATTTTTTGTATATCCCTATATCACAGTAGCAGTCATCTTGGAGGACTTCACAAAGTTGTCGATTCACAGACAACAGATCAGAGAATAAAGCAGTTCGAACACAGGAAATGCATTAATCACACATCGGTACATAGGGAGCGGGATGACCTATATCTGTAATACTGGTAATAAATGTCCTTAAATGTCAACATCGGGCAATGTCTCCGATGTATTTGTTACATTTCCTGTGTTTGATTCTCTGATCTTCTTTGTAAAGTCTTCTTAGACGACTGCTGCTGTGATTTAGGTCTATAAACAAAAACAAACTGAATTGAATATGAGTGAGACCTTTTAATCAAACCACAGAGCGTCTGTGATCTGTGCTACACAAATAAACTGCATCTTCCATCCTCATCCACATGCAGCTGTTCTACCTCTGGATTCACAAACAATAAGTGAACAAAGTAATGTGATTGTCCAGGTCTCATTGAGAGTCTGCGCTCGTTAGAAGTAAACCATGACAAATGAGTTCACTTTGTTTGTGAAATACATCTTTCCGCCTCCTGCGCCTGGACGCTGAACCACAGCTCCTCCACACCTGCCGCTCCACCAGTCCCATTCTGTTCATGCACTCCAGTTTACTCTCAACAAGCATTTGTCACTATTTGGCAACAAAATTCAGGACAAAACCCCCACTTTTTATTTCACAACGCAGCTCAAACACCCTCTCAGGCTGACATCTGTCGCCCTCACTGCAGACTCCAGATGGAAGCACTCTGTCCACAGGAGAAAGAATGATGTTTGCTCTCCTAAACGGTGGTGGTCAGACGACAAGGCAGGGGCAGCCGCTAGATTGTTTTCTTTTTCTGCTGTCAAAAGAGGCACCGCTCCGGTGTTTTTGTGTCCGTGTGAGGAGGTGGGGACTTCATGTGACATCATTCAGTGCCACAATGGAGCCTGTAGGCTCGAGGTTAGTCTGGGCTGCAAATCCCACTGGGAGAAAAGGTACAGTTGAATCCATTACAAACTCTTCACATACTGTAGAGCCATGTACTTTATGCACATATAAAGTAGGACTTGGGAAGACAGATTTTATTATGCAGAGCTTTTTCCAAACAAAAATGGCACAAACAAAAAAAGTAATTAAGGGTTTGAATTTGAAATTGTTTGTATTTTTTATCTTGACTTGAATACGTTCCAAAAACATGATTTTCAAAATGGAAAAACCAGCGTCTTATTTCAAGCATGGTGTCACATTTTATTATTGGCATTAGCAATTCTCGTCTCCCTCTGTCTACTGTTGTTGTGTCCTTGGGTAACTCCACTTTGCCTGAAGCCCCCGCTGAAAGATCAAGGCTCTGCAGTCCTCCTGAGGACTCAGCACCTGCAGGAGGATCAGTGGGGGGCTGGTGAATTGGGTGGCAACTGATTGCAATGAATGGATGGAAAGTTCTTAGAACAAAAGTAAGCTTGTGACTCATAAATGTATTGAATATTGGGTCGCCATGCTTCTAAGTTCAAAGTTTTGTTTCCATGTTCTCCTGTCCATGCAACATCCCTTCAACATTATAATGTTATGTAGTGTTTCAAAGGCAATGCTTAACGTGTCTCTAAGAAATATGTTGTTAACATTAAATATCAGGGTTTTATGGTGTGGAATAGAAAGTAGCCTTTATTTGTCCCACAGGGAAATGTCAGTAAACACCTTTAATGTGCCACTTCTCATCATACATGGAGAGATCTGGTGTAAATTTAGAACTTGAACTGAATTGTCATCGTGGACATTGTGCCTTAAATTGCTGCTCTATTATAACTAACTAAAATAAGTGTATTAAAATTCTGTACAAAAAAGAACTGTGTGCTTTAACCTTGAGCTGAAGGACGATGAAGAAACTATGAATTTATACCAACAGGTTACAGAAGCATTAGTCTTCATCTCCATAATGTCACAGATGTTTGCTGTGGCTTTGTCAACTTCAGAAAAGGAAATAAATGAAACATGAGTGATCATCAAACATTCACACATTGAATGTCACAAAATAAACATGTGAGTAGTTTATTGAGGAAACCCATGAAGTGAAATATTATTGTCATTTGTTTTAAATATTATACAGTACAATGAACATCAAACTTAACTTCAGAATCCAAATAGCAGATTTGACAGAAGATCAAAGCTGTTTGTTTTTATCTTCTCAGTTACAGTTACTTTTATACTGTACACACACAGCAGATGCACAAGGCACATTCTGAAATCACCAAAGTCATTTACAGCCTCAGATCACTGTCACAAGTTGATCCTGGACTCGTAACCCCAAACTTTACCCTGTTCTTAACCCTTACCCTAACTCTGCTCTAAACCTAACCCAAGGAAACTTTGATGCTGGGCTCTAAATCATACATACAGACGACAGAAGAACTGAAAACTTAGGGACAGAGACCAGACAATCAGAAAGGACACGTTGGATCTCTGCTCATAACTTTTCCTACATTAGAACTCCAGCCTCTTCATCTGTAAAACAATCAGTTTATTTCCCCAACAGTAATTTATTACACAGGTTTGTCTCATAAAACCATTTCAATTGTAAAGATGCGCTCACACATTCAGTTCAATCACTTACACACCGTTAGTTTACACAAATTAGATTCAGAAAGACCACACAGTTTATAAACTAATTTGCTTTGCAAGTCAATGTGTAATTATATTGATTATACAGACCTATTTTTGTGTACACAATTATTTGTCATTAATTGGAATTGTCATGCCAATCACACAACATCACTCAGACTTGTTTTTGTATTCTCTTAAGTAAAATATTGATTCAGCAAATCAGTGACGAAGGCATGAGTGATTGGATCCAGTTGTAATTAAGCTTCACTGATAAATGATAATGTAACATTTGACATGTTTTCAAATTGCACTGGGAAATCCAAAAGATAAGGCAAAGTACAGAGGCTGATGTTATGCTGTGATTAATTAGTATTGTTATAAAATTGGATACAGGGCATAACTTGCAACACCGCATGTGTTTTTGCCATTACGAAGAATCCTCATGTAGCCTCCTTCACCCCAGCTCGTGCCCCAACTACAAGCATCACAGCATGGATTTCAATGTAAAGTAATGTACAAAGTATTTAAAATGTTGAATAAATAAAAAACAAACCTGTTTTTGATGATCCAGAAGTCCTCTCCTCCCTCAGAGCCGTAGCCGACCAGCAGCACGGCGTGGCTCAGGTTACTGGGGTTACAGCTCGGCTCGTCGTAGATCCCTGGACACACGGGTGGACGTGAACTTTGAACAAAATATATGTTGACATGTATTGACCAATATGGGTTTTCTATGTCTGATTTTTATAATGGTTCATTGGTGGCTGTAGGGTATATTTAGACATATACTTTTTTTACATAATGACTACATGGATATTGATGGAAATCTTGAAGAAGGGAGGGAGAGAAAAACACTAAGCAATTCAGTATTTTATATTTGTGGTAGGTTTGTATATCGCAGTGGTTATTTTTGTGCAGTTTTGGAGGTATTTTTTAACAATTTATCACTACTCATATGGGTTTGGATATTATTATTATAATATATTATTTATTTATTTCCTTTTCATTATGGACAGAGCCGTGTGTAAAAACAGAAGTATTGCATCCCAATTAGATTTGACCATTTACAAAAGCGTGCTTCAATTATACCATTCCATCTTGGATTTAGACGTAAATATCTGTAATAAAATAAACACTTGTCCATGGTTTTCATATTTTTGGCCTCTGTCATAGAACTCATCCATAGAACCACATTTTCAGCAACAAAGAGACCAGCATTCACTCATCCAATCCGCTCTCAGTACGTTGTGGTCTGATTTGCTTGTAAAATGTTCACAAAAACAAGACTATGAAAAAACAGATAACATTATATTTCTGAAACAAAATTTTTTAGGCAAAATTGATCAAGTCCATTTGACCAATTCCAGGTTACCCACAGACTGTAACCTATAACGTGAAGGAACCCTGTGTGTTGTGTTGAGTGTAGAGAATAGCAGTGACTCTGTGGTGTACCTGAGCTGTAGAAGAGGAAGCTGGCATGGTCAGCATCTATGGCCACTGTGATTGGTCCAATGGTGGCCACAGCATCAGCCAGAGCCTGCTCATCTCCTTTTGGGATGAACCTGTAGTCTTTAATGTGGGCCACCGCCAGTCTGCTGTCATAGTAACAGGCCTGCGTGTCCTGTACGCACACACACACACACACACACAGGTTTATAACATGAATGTGTGCCGCTGCTTCCTTCAGGCCCCTACAGCCCTTTTTTGTTATTGTGACTCTTTGGTTATCAGACAACAACAAAAACAATGTTGTATCCAAAATGTGACTATTTTTCAGACCAGGGTTGGGATAAAGTCTGTCACTTATTTTCGACCAAACCCCATCATCCTGGTTGTTACATACCAGCATGGGACTGTTGTAACATCATCAGCAAGTCCACACATGCTTGAACTACAGATGGGAAGTGAAAGTCTTTTTGTTTGAGCCATTATGGAGAAATGTGCAATCTGCTCTGAAAAACATCCCCAGTGGGTTTCAACAAGGGTGAAAAGTTTATGATTTCCACCTTCCGGCAATTCTCTAAATTCCCAAAAGTAGAGCAATTAACCCCAACTATTGCGTATTTCTTCTAAAAGCCTACACGCTGTTTAATTTTTTGACAGCAATTAAATATGTTCTCTAAATGAATCCAAAGTTTAGCAATAAATTGAGTATTATTATTCTATGTTTCTGGTGCGTAAAGATCCCATCTTGGGAGGTTGATTTTCCACATATTCAAACTTTTACAATTTTTTACAAACATAGCTACATTTTATAAATTTATTTATGATAATAATAATGCATCGGTTTTATATAGCGCTTTTTTGGACACTCAATGACGCTTTACATGTCATTATTCTTTCACTCCATACACAGTGGTGATAAACTACTACTGTAGCCACAGCTGCCCTGGGGCACACTGCGAGGCAACCAGTATGTGCCATCGGCCCCTCCGACCACCACCAACCATTCACACACACACCAGACCCCATCCATCCATCCATTTTCTTCCCCTTAATCCATTTCTGGGCCGGGGGGGTGGCAGTCAGAGTACACAGAGCACCAGCCCCTCACTGATTCTCCTGCAGGTGGTGAGTCCAACTGAGATCTTTCAGCTCCTGTGGCTTCAGGCAAAGTGGGGTTAAGTGTCTTGCCCAAGGACACAACGACAGCAGACATCAGTGAGAGTGGGCTCGAACCCAAAGGCCAATGCTCTACCAACTGAGCTACTGTTGCCCAATATACTTATTGTACTTACACTATACATGTGTTTTGCCTGTTGTCAGATATGCATACGTCATAATATAAAATGATGATCCCACCACTGATGTGTACGGGTAGGCGTTTGTCGTCATGAGCCCATTGCTGATCACATAGTCGTACGCATTGGCCATCCACGCGCCGTTGCACCCATATGTCCCGTACGGTTTGGAGCAGTCGACCAAGTTCTGCTCGCTCAGGGACACAATCTGGCCCGTCTGTTTGTAGAGCTGCCCCTCGATCGCTCCAGTAGTGCTGAATGCCCAACAGGAGCCGCAGTATCCCTGTCAAAATGATTAAAGACAGTCTAAAGAGGTTTGGGACTCAAGCAGCTTTAGCGGATGAAAACCTCACCTGGTCCTTGACTTCTGTAACAAAACCTGTGTTTCTGTAATCCACAAAGTACTGGTCTAACTTGCGAGCATTGGACCTCAGCCTCCGCGCAGAGACCGTTTTGCCCCTCTTCACGAACTGAGCATCTATTATGGCACCTTGAAGGACTTGGTATTCGTTTCTTGTCTGAATAAGAATGAAGTGTAATTAATTTTCTTACTTTCCTTCTTGTCTGATGTTGCAATTCTTATTTTGGGAAGAGTTAGGCAAACACTTAACCAGGTCTCCATATTTATTCATGGCCATACTGAACCCTCTCGAACCGAGGAGAAACCCCTGATTATTGTCTTCAATCAGCCGTTTGTTTTCTTCCCAGATGGCCCTCCTCTGTATGTCGTCCTAGACAATGACAGAAACATCAAAAACAACTGAATTACAGCACCCATTACAGATTTGGCCTGCACCATTTGACACAAACATCTAAGTATGTAGTACACTGTCAGACTGCTACACACAGACCAAGACAAACCTTCTTGATCCACACAGTAAGTAAGTACAAATGAATGGATAAGATTCCCTGTTCCCATTTAGCCTACATGATTTTACTTGATTTTGTATTTAAAGCTGGAGTACCTAACTTTCAGACCACAAAAAAAAAAAAAAAACTAAAAACTAAATCCATGTTCTATTACAGTACTCTCTGCCTCTGGACTATATTGATTCTGCCAATGTATATATCTTTTATTTTACCAGAGCTCCCCCTTGTGTGCAGGAAGGGAATCGGACACAGCGCCATTCACTGTTGATCTCCAGAGCTGATAATGTACACACATTCCTTCTCCCTGGTGAGTTTATGTGAACAGCAGCGATACACAAGGAAGTTGCCTGATGTGATTTGAACTAATGTAAAACGCTTCGGGATTCTGGTCGGAGAAAGGCGCTATATAAATAAAGACTACTTACTAATTACTATAGTCAGAGCTGAGTTTATGGACTTCATATTTTTATTCCATTAACTTTTAGTATGGGATGTTATTGTCAACATACCAGAGTGTTTTGATCATCATGAATTAACAGTGTTTCATATTCAAGTGTGGCCTATATGTGGACAAGTTTACTTTCTCTTCAAAGTTATCTGTTTTGGTTAATATTCAGGTGCTGTATATTAACCACTGCATCTGTGATGCAAAGTGGTCCAACATGTAAAATAATGAGAATTTCCATATTCAATAAACTGTCTGAAACCAAGACTAAATCATCTTTACTTAATCAGAAAAAAGTCAAACCCTGTCGTCATAGTTGATGCCATGGTTGGATTTCCACATGTCCCAGTCCGTCACAGGCAGCTCCTCTGAGTCCAGGGAGGCCACAAGAGGCAGAGAGCACAGCAGCAGAGAGCAGAGCAGCGCCACCTGCGGAGCTGCAAAGTCACAACCACATCTACAGTCATGATACAAACTTCAACATGAAGATGTGGAAGTCAGTTTTTTCATTATTGTTTACATGTACACTAACTTCCAAAACACACAATTGTTTCTCTCTCTCAAAACAGTTAGTTCAATGATTTTCACACATGTATTGGTCTCTGTCACATCTTGCAATGAGCTTTTTCGGACAGAAATCTGAAAAATAGAGGATCATAATCACTCAGCAACTCAGCTCAGAAATTTCATTTCATTTTCTTCCGCTTATTCTGTTGCTGGGTTGCGAGGGAAGCAGACTAGATGCCCTGACTTCCATATCCACAAACACTTCCTCCAGCTCATTTGTCAAAATCCTGAGGCGTTTTCCGGCCAGCAGAGAGACATCGGCATGCCCTGGGTCTTCCCCGGTGTCTTATCCCAATGGGACATGTCCAGGGGGCATCCGAAGCAGATGCCACCTCAACTGGGTCTTCTTGACATGAAGAAGCAGTGGCTCTACTCCGAGCTCCTCTCGTGTGACTAAGCTCTTCACTATTTCCAAGGGGCGCCCAGCCACCTTGTGGAGGAACCTCAATTTGACTGCTTGTATCCGCAATCTCATCATTTCAGTCATTACCAAAAGCTGAGGGTGGTAACGTAGATCAAGCGGTAAATCGAGAGCTTTTTCTTTCGGCTCAACTCTCTCTTCACCACGATACAGCGGCCGCATCACTGCACACGCTGCATCAATCCGTCTGTCAATCTCAAGCATCAAAGCTCAAAGTGTCAAGCGTCAATACTCTTCAAGTATGCAAAATATAAAATGTTTATGAAGACAGCATGTTGTGGACCGATTTATTTGCATTTTGCATTTTCTATACATTTTCTGTTAAGAGGAAGCAAATGTATTACCTCCTCAACAGCCCCCATTACCTGTGGTGTGCCGCAGGGTTCTATTTTAGGCCCCATTTTATTCTCTATTTATATGCTCCCCCAGGACACGTTATGGCCCGTCATAACGTGTCCTTCCACTGCTATGCGGACGACACACAGCTATACCTCCCTCTGAGACCAAACGACCCTGGAAGTCTGGCTGCTGTGGTCGACTGTTTTAATGAGGTGAACAGTTGGATGGCCCACAACTTTTTACAGCTCAACACCTCCAAATCAGAAGTCCTCCTCATCAACCCGCCTCCATCAATATCCCACATCCAAACCCACCTCGGCCCCCTTTCCTCAAACATCACTCCCTCCGCCCGTAACCTCGGTGTCATTTTTGATTCTCAACTCACCTTCCGCTCGACCCCATTAATAAACCACCCTATCACCCTATCTATCACCTCCGCACCATCTCAAAGATAAAAAAAAATTCTCACTCCTCCCGATCTCCATAAAGTCGTCAACGTCCTCATCTTCTCCCGCCTCAACTACTGCAACTCCCTTCTCTCCGGTCTCGACGCTAAATCCCTCTCCCGCCTCCAACTGGTTCAGAACGCAGCAGCCAGACTTCTCACTGGTTTTAACAGAAGGGAGCACATCACCCCTGTTTTAGCGTCTCTCCACTGGCTCCCTGTGCGTTTTAGAATTGATTTTAAGATTTTACTGATTACTTTTAAAGCTCGTTTAGGTCTGGCACCCAGCTATATTAATGAACTTTTAACCCCCTACGAGCGCTTCCCCCGCAGCCTTAGATCCTCAAGCAGGTCCCTGTGACTGTTCCAAGGTCGAGGCTCCGGACGAAAGGTGACCGAGCCTTCTCTGTCCGGGCTCCTCGGCTTTGGAACAACCTGCCCGAGGAGATAAGGCACCATCAGTATCCTCTTTTAAATCACTTCTTAAAACCCACTTTTATAAAACAGCTTTTAATTGTTAGTTTTAAACTTCACACACTGTATTTTAATGTCTGCTCTGTATTTGTTGTGTCTCCCTTCTTGTGTTTGTATCTGTATGTATCTAATTATTTTGACTTTGTATTACGTTATTATTTTCTGTTATGCTGACTGTGCAGCACTTTGTAAACATTGTTTTTTAAAGATTATTATTATTATTATTATTTTCTTACTATTTGCAAGTGTACACCAAGTACACAATATCCATTTCACAGTGCAGTTAAAGTGACAGTAGTATAAAGACAGTGGTACTCACCTGCATGGTTGTGAATAATATCTGGCCCCATCTCTGCTCAGCTCTACTCCCTCCTCACTGTCACTCTCCACTTTATATAGCCTTCCTCTAAACATGTGTTTTGCATGGATTTAGACTTGAATCCCTAAATCAACACCTAAAGATCTTATTAGTCAACAAAAATAGGACACATCCTTCAGGTTTATGTAACACCTCTATTATCATTTGGGCAGAGCAGCAATATTGTGAATCCCTCAAGTGGCAGGTTATCATTGGCCATAACACCTGACAGACAACTTTCCAACAAAACATTCACAGCTCAGAGAATATACAGCGGCTATGTAACAAGTAAAATGTATGATGTTGCATTCACTTGAGTAACTATTATCAAATATTTATTCTTGTACATTGTTCTATTTTTGAGTAGTATACGGAAATAAAAAAATCATTCATGAGGAAATAGGCTGTGATGGAATAAGGTGCACGCAGCTCTATGCCATCCAAACAGCTCCGTGACCTAGAATGCTTCATGATATGGCATTAAACATTTCCGTAATGCATTATTTGATTATTTGCATTGAAGATTCGCCTTGAAACATAGTTGATCTTCTTGGCTTCTAGAACAGGTTCAATTAATCTTTTTTAAGAATGAAAGGTGAGGTAGCGATAACCCTTGCTCAATCAACCAGCTGTCAGACCAAAGTGACTCATATTGACTCTCAAGGGCCTTGTGATAACGCTGTCAGTGAGAACAAGTAAAATGAACACTAGAACTCCCAGAATTCTGAAACTAGTAGAACTCCCAAAGCAGTCATTTTGACAGCTTCCATCAGATCAATAGAAATCCCCAAAAATAGTTTTGGTTCTTCACTATCTTTATTAAAATTCAGCAATTGATATGGTTTTATCTTTACTAAGTGCTAAAACTGATTAATATAACTTAAAATACAGAAAAACTATTTATTGATTGACTACTACATTCTAACGGCTGTCGACTGTGTTGCTTTACCAAACCGAGCTGACATGAGGGGCTTTAACTGCGATAGAATGTTGGTTGCCAAGCGACCAAAAATGGCTTCATTTGAATTTTACATTTAAATGAATGGAGCCGTCAAAATTGCTGCTCTCGGAGTTAATGAAGGAACTACTCAAATAAAAAATAAAAAATCTAATAAAAAATAAATAAATAAGTAAGTAAATTAAATACAGATACAGAAAAGTAACTAACCAAAATAATACTTGCTCTGGGAGTTTGTGTTAAACACAAGAGTGGGCTTTAGTACGCCACCTTTAATTTCTTACAGATCCAATACTTTGGTTCATGGAAGAAGACAGACACGATGACCCTCCTTAATTCATAGTGAAATACTGTAAGTATTTAACATATATATGACCAAACTTCAACTTCTCTATAAAGACCCTTTCACACAGTATTTCCATTTTTATCACATTGCTGCCATGCCCTCCCTCCGTGGATCCAATATATAATCATTATACCCAAACAGTGCGTGTGTGAACAGCTGCGCCCCCTAGCGGCTCCCGGGCTCCACTGTCACTGCAGATGAGCTGAGTGTGCGCTCTGCCGTTATGTCCGTGCCGACAACACCCAAACACAGTGCGGCAGAACCATAGACAGATCATATTTACAGTCTATGGACCAGAGCCGCTCTCCGTCATGAACGTCTGCGCTGCGGCCACAAACATGAGTCACGAATGAGGTGCAGGGATCATGTCTTTTAAGGTAACGTTCACATCACTCTTTGACACATGCAAGATGCAGAAGGAGGAGGCCCAGAGCAAACATGCATCACCCGCGCCACAGAGCATCCAGACAGAAGATGGTTTAATCTAATAACGGTGCCATGAAAAGAAAAGAACCCAGAGGAAACACACAGGATCAAATGGTTTTGTGGAGTATGATGAGAGGCATGTGATGTCAGTGATGTGTGCGTGTTTACTTGCTTGCATAAAGTTAAAACACACGGCAACCCCATATTAGTGAAGTGTCTCGTGCTATAGACTGCTGTATAAAATATTTTGCACTTGCATTTTTGGTTAAATATCTATATTATAAACAATGTATTGCAATTACAGCTGGAGTACCTAACTTCACCACCGTTAACGATACAATTTAGCATGGTTTCTTATTGTAAAACTTGTTGACTTTGCATACATGGGAAAAAAAATCCCTGTGAGTCACTATCTGACCCTTAGGGCTGAGAGCTTTGGTTCACTTTTCAGTTTGAAAAAGCTGATCAAATGTGACAGGCCAAAAATGAATGCAACGGGGTAAACAAATTATAGAACCAAGCTCTTTGAGGGCAACTAATTAACACATTTTAATATGTAGCTAAATTTGTTGTGCTTTGAAAGTTAGGTATTTCCGTTATACAGTACTTTCTTCAAAATGAATTGCTTTCTGCAGGGCTTGCATTCCAACTTTCCTGATTTCTCATTGGCTTTGTAAGTTTTTGATTGATGCTGCATGTGACTGAATTATTCAAGGCATTCTCCCACTTCTCTGGCTGTTAATCCCCAAAGATGCTGGCAATGGAAAACTCTTTGAACTAACTCATATTGATTTTTTTTTTTTTTTTTAATAGTACCTCGAATTATGTTCACTACTTGAGTTGTCTTTTATACTTTCCTATTTCCTTTTAGAAGAATATATCACAAGGAGGCAATTTGTGTTGAGATGATAAAACAAAAAGCCATATTTGTTGTGTTGACCTCAGGCACATTATTACGCTGTAGCAATATTCTGCTTAATACCATAGCAAAGAAGGAAATTAAGAATGCAGAGGTCAAGTGTGGTCAACCTTATGCAGTGGTCAATGTGGTCATACAGCCATTACGGCCTAAATAACACCACGCTGCATGGTTTTCTCTCCGCTCATGTGTCTAATACTATAATAGTGGTTTGAGCTCAGTGTGTGTTGTGTGTATTTATTACAGAAGGAAACTCCCCTGGCGAATGCGGTGTTTTGGGCGTCACGAAAGGGGAACCTGGCTCTGCTGCAGCTGCTCCTCAACTCTGGACGAGTGGACGCTGATTGCAAAGACAGGGTACGACACACACAACCCCAAAACTCCCATCATGAGTGTGGGTCCCAAATACACAAAAAAGTATGAAGAAACTGAAAATGACATATTCATTTCATTTGTCTTTATGTGAAGGACCAATAATCATTAGAACGGTCTGCACCAAGTGGTAGTGATTGTGTTTGTGCGTGTGTGTGTGTGTGTGCGTTCGATTGGAAGCACTTTAAGCACTATGTTGTATAACCCAGCCGACAATAATAACAGTGCCCACTTTCTGACTTTTACACAGTCACACTACATGCACATGAACAGCTGTCTCTGTAATGAAGCATATAATGTGTCAAGCTTTTACAAAATTCTTCATCACTGTAAAATAAAAACATATTTATCTATAGTTTCCCCAATCCATGCATAGTAATGTGATGATCCAGGACACGCAACTCAACATTCAACATTTATGGACATTTACATCATTTATGGACATTGGTTTTCTGCCTCTTATGGAGAAATGGCTCTATGTGTTTTTATCATTGGATTTCTTGTGTTAAACTGTTGAACTGTCTTTTTTATAATTTTTTTTATTTGAGGGGACAATGTACATAGACTTTAAGCTCGAAGACAGATATGTTCTGCACCAGATTATATCTAAACAGCTAGTTTCCATCTGCAATCCCTAGTAACATAAATAAAACACATGGATACACTCTGATACGCGTTGGCAAATTCAACGGTTTTGTTTAGTTCTCCAAGATAACCACTGTTGTGATTTAGGGCTATACTAGAACAAATCAAATAGTACATGTTGTATCATGTCTTATTCATTTTCACCTGAGCTATTCCAACTTTTTCAACATAACTTTTTTGCGCATCAGATTTGTTTTATAAGACCTCTCAGGTGGTGAGGTGCACCACGTTCAGCTTTTTGGTGCCACACAGAATAAATCACACCCTATGGATCTGTGTCTCTTTTAGAACTCTGCTATATTTTGGAGGAAAACAGAACAACATTGCAACATGTTTCTCAGTCAAGCCAGTACTGAACCAGCACTAAACCAGTACTAGACTAGTACCATCCGTCCATTTTCTTTCACTTTTGCCATAGTCAAGTTTTGGGGACAGAGGCGATTAGTGAGTGTTCCCTATCCATACTTAATACTTACAGTCTATGATCCATACACACCTCCTCCAGCTCATCCGGGGGAATCCAGGAACATTCCCAGGCCAGCTGAGGTCTTCCCCAGGGTCTCCTCCTGGTGGATCATACATTCCCCAGGGAGCCATTTGAGACAGATGCCCAACTCACCTCAATTGCCTCTTCACAACGTGGAGTAGCAGCGGCTCTAATCCGAGCTTGTCTCGTGTGACTGAGCTCCCTGAGTCTTAAGTGAGCCCCCAGCCACTCTGCAGGGAGACTGCATTTGTGTTTTATCATCATAGAACAGATTTGTGTGATGTAAATGTTTTGAACTCATCAAACATGCATGGTATTCACAAGTCGTTAATAGTGGGATATTCATACCACAATGTTCTGATAACACATTTTATCATTTCATCTTAGTGCATTTTTACTTCCTACAAGAATCTCATCAACTATCAAAGGGCATCTGATTAATGGCGCTTGTTTTTCTGCACAGTATGGGACCACAGCCCTGATGGTGGCCTCCTACAGCGGACATTATGACTGTGTGAAGGAGCTGATCATGCAAGGAGCCGACATTAATTATCAGAGAGAGGTACAAACAATATACTACTTTTTTCACTGTAACAAGTAAACATTGCTCTAGGTATTTTTTACTGTTTCTGAATGACAAAGAGGAATCATTAAAGTAAATCAGAAAACTTTCTTGAGCTGTAAACTCTACATAGTATTATTGATCTGAGGTATTTCAGGCCAAACTTCAAAACAGACATAAAAGAACAAGTAAATAGTTTGTCTTCTTTCTCTCTGATCAGACTGGTTCGACAGCTCTGTTCTTGGCCGCGCAGCAGGGACACCATGACGTGTGCAAGTTGCTCTTTGAGTTCGGAGCCTCCACTGACTGCCAGACAAAGGTACGCCGCTGCTGGCACAATGACGTGGACTGCAGGGTGTGTATAATAGAGATATAATAGTGGGTGGATGGGGAAAACATAGCTCTGATCGAGACATGTGCGGTGAGTCAGAGGATCAGCAGCTTCTGAGGATTAGAAATGGAAAGATTTAGCATAAAACAGTTTTTATGAATATACATGCACATGCGATCAATGAATGCTGCTATGAATACACCTCCTTATTTTGCAATTCCTTTATAACATAAAAGAGTGAATAATATCTAGTGAAAAAATTAATGATCCATCATGATATCGTCACCAGCCAGTTTCCCATTGTGACAAATATTTCCATACAAAGAAGTGTGATTCAAAAATATGTATTTTTTAATTGTAATGTAATATTTTGTTCAAACTACAAGTATATGTAAACAGGTTGTTCCTAAAGAACAAAACTAATGGTTTATAATATGACTGCACTAATCACTTTGCTATTAACATTGTAATTCATTGTAAGCATATTTTCAATCAATTTTAAATTGATTATTTTAACTCTGTATCTCAGATTGTCTTGTGTTATAGTTTCAGTTTCTGTGCAGGATGGTGGCACAGCTCTCACCGTGGCCTCTCAGTATGGGCACTCTACAGTTGTGGACGTCCTGCTCAAAAATGGGGCCAGTGTTCATGATCAGCTGAGTGTAAGCCCAACACTTCAATCTATAATTTATCACATATAATATTAAATATCTCCTCATCATGGAGTCAGCTGGAGTCAACTACAGACCACCTGAGTTTCATCTGGGATGTGATCTTTATGATTCTCAGCAGGAATCCTGCCTCTGGGTTTTGGGCAGAAAAAACTAATTTATGACTGGCATTTTAACAACAGAAAACAAACAAGGTTGGTTTCTTCAGGCTGCATTTGTGTCGAGCCATGAATTCTTCTGTGACGTGTCTTTCAATCACACGTTTCAGCTTCAGTGTCCAGATTCCGATGGTATTATCCATGTCTCAGCAGCTCACAGCCTGACTGGAATCAGGGGCTGTGCAGATAGTTCAAAAGTGCTGATCCAGATGCATTCTCTTGAGGTTTCTCAGTTTTGGCTTAAAAAAAAACACTTTTTGTGTTAAAAAAAAAAAAGTCTTCTGTTCTCTAGATGTTACAGACAAGGCCCGCATCCTTCCACTACCTGAAGAAGATGACAAAGTCTGGGATCGCGTCTTACATTCAGACAGAAGACATGTTTTATTGTCGATGGTAGAGACAGCACGAACAAAGCACACGATCACAGATACAATAGAATGCAAGTGTATTATACAGAGCAGAGGCATGGAGACCTCCAATCAGCAGCTTCCACGGTGCCATGTAGCTTGGCCTTCAGATAGACACAACAAGGGAAAAGTACTGGCTTCTGCACATTGATAGATTGATGAGTTTAACTTTAACAAAAGTTGCTTAAAAGTGTTATGAAATCTCACAAAGGCAATCAACAAATTTGGGTCGACTTCACTTTTGTTACCCTACAGCTACACACACTGGGGACAGCTTAAAGTGGTTATATTTATTATAATAATACAAAGTTTTAAAAGTGCTCTTCTGGACACCACAGATGCCTCACATGATATTCTTCACTATGAGGCACTACCTCCAATAACTGTCACCAAAATCATAATTGGTCATGTGGACAGAGTGACAGAGCGACAGAGCGACATTTAGAGCTGCAGCCATCCCACTGTGGAACATGGTATTCCCAACAGTCTCCCATCACAGTACTAGCTCTACACCTCCACTAGTGGTGAAGGGTCCAGTACCACTGCTGACCCTGACATGATCACAGATATTTTTCAATATAGGCCTAATTTTTATTCATGTTTTTATTTTTTTATTTTTCAACATAGGCCCAATTCCTGAACTCTTGTTTCAGGATGGAGCCACTTCCTTGTTCCTCGCAGCTCAGGAAGGTCATGTGACAGTCATTCGTCAGCTGCTGTCGTCTGGTGCCAAGGTGAACCACAGCCGAGAGGTAAAGTATAGACATGTCCACGTTTGCATTCTCAATCATTATATCAAAGGACACCTTGTAGTTTTGCCTGCTGTCTGCTGTATTTTCACTGCATTGATCTGTTGTGTTGGTCAGGACGGCACTGCCCCCTTGTGGATGGCAGCCCAGATGGGACACAGTGAAGTGGTGAAAGTGCTGCTTCTCCGAGGTGCAGACAGGGACGCTGACAGACAGGTAAATACAAGGTTCCCATCAGCACACAAGCCAAAGGTTTAGTTTTCTAACCCCAAGATCGCCCATCCCCATCCATATTTTGATCCACTCAGGTTCTTGATCATGCATTGTCACTTCAAGTCTTGACTAATGTAATATTTTTTCTCAATTGACAATTTACAAAACACAACTTCTTCCATAATTTAGATCAATCAGTTCATCAAAAAAAAAAAAAAAAAATCACACACGTACAAAAGCTAATAGAATCTGAATTTCACCACTGTGGGAAGAATAAAGAATCTGAACTCTTCACACAATCTTTGACAGTTGGACTTGTTGGACATTTTAAAATCAAAACATGGTCTATTTTAACCAAGCTTTCATTGTGTCTTTCATCAAAATTGAACTCATTGTATTTGTTTTACTTTGTCATATCAAGGACGGTACAACAGCCTTATTCAAAGCTGCTTTGAAAGGACATCACAGCGTTGTAGAGGAACTTCTGAAGTTTTCTCCTTCCTTTGGTCTCCTCAAGGTACAGCTACTGCAATAAGGATGTTCATAATGTCCTTTATGGTTTTACAATTACGAGAACTTTCTTGTTTTTGTCCTACAGAATGGATATACAGTCCTCCATGGCGCAGTGATGGGGGGTGATTCACGCACAGTTCAGTTGCTGCTTGGAGCCAGCGCTGACCCAACATTACCCAACATGGTATAACTATAATGTTATCAAAGTCTACATCATAACATTGATACTATGTTGCTTAAAATGTGTTTTTTTTTAATGATTTACAGAATAATGAACTTCCATCAGATCTAACAAAGAACGAGCGAATTCTTAGGCTGTTACGACCGAGTATTTGTAACGGGCCCAGTTGATGTCGGACAAATGAGCTCGGAGCTGGGGTGTGCACTAGGCTAGAAGATAATCAATTATTCAAGCTTGTCATGGAGCCTGCTACTGACCATGGCCAAAAATGTATCATATCAAAATAGTCCAAATGAATGTCTGCCAAATACAAGTGCATCTAAAAAATATAACTATTGTAGGAAACACATGTGAGGTTTTTGGTTTCATTCTGCTAGACTGATGTATCATTTGCAATTGATCTTTGACTCTAGATTTTATATTCAATCATTATATATTTCCTACAATATGTTATTTTTGAGATGTACTGGTACATCATATCCTTCATGCTGTCTTTATTTTGTGTATTGAGTGCTGTAATAAATTACACACTTTTATTTTGCCTTTGTAATAATAAACGTAATAACAAAATCACAGTCAAAGCACAGGAGACAGGTGGTCATTATTATTGTTATTATTATTATCTATCTGTTTTCTACCACTTAAGCCATTGTCGGGTTACAGCGGTCTGAGCAGAGACACCAAGACATCCCTGTCCACACACACTTACACTGGCTCATTGAATACATATACATTATTATTATTATTATTAACAATATTATTAGTATTATTACTTCTTCTGCTATTACTTGTATAGCTTTTATTGTTGTTATAATTAATGATTGCACTATTGATCCTGTTGATACTTTCAAAAATACTCATTTCAAAAATCCCGAATGAAACAAACGTTCATTCTGACAGAGCTGAACACCTGTCAAAGTCACGTGATCACTGCGGAAGTCACAACAGTTTTCCCCAGTGCGGAAGAGACGCACCTTCTTTAGTGTTTAGTTGTTTTGAAAAGGGAACATAAAGTGTAAATGTTCTAAAAGTTTGTACTTTTTCCGTACATTTGAAACGAACCTGTTTCCCTGGCTTGTAACGCAACATGGGAGGAGGTAATCTACAGGTGAGTACGACTGCGTTACCGAAAAGTTAGTTACGTCAGAAGAACTATTGCCATTTTAAAAACAACAAATCAGAAAAACACGACACGAGTATCTCTTCATGCGTTCACTTAGAATAGAGACTATATATATATATATATAGATAATCTCACTTCACATTCAGGGTCGTCAATTACATTGTGCTCCCAGTGTTTTAATTATGTTTTGGATAAATATGACTGACTGCTTTCTATTACTTATTTTGTTGTTGTATTTCTTCATTCTAATATTTAGACCATATCACCTGTACTGTTTTAACACTAATTATTATTGTGTGCCTTTGTTAGAAAGCTATAGAGCTTGCCACCAAAGCATCTGAAGAGGACAAGGCCAAGAACTATGAACAGGCCCTACGAGACTATCAGCATTGTATTGAATATTTCCTTCATGCTATAAAATGTAATTTTTTTTAATTGTAAAAGTCTAGTTGCAATAGTAGTCATGTCTGTTTGTAAACATTGTTTTTCTTAATTTTTTTATTTGCAGATGAGGTGCAGGGGGAACGTTCCAAAGAGAGTATCCGGGGTAAATGTCATGATTACCTGAAGAGAGCAGAGCAGCTGAAAGAGTATATAAAGAAGAAGGAGTCCCAGCCTCCTGCCAAACCCGTCAAAGAGTCAGACAACAAGGGGTAGGAATTTCAGGGTTAACTTCTTTCTAGAACAAATCATTGTGGATTACCGTTATCACTTTTGTTATGGTTACATTAAATGATGTATGTGTTTATTCTTTTGGCAGAAGTGATAGCGAAGAAGAAGACTCTGAGAAAAAAAAGTTTAAAAACCAACTCTCAGGTAAATGTAATGTTATTATAATAATAATTATTGTTACATAAACCTTTTATGTCCAAAATGTTGTACTCATTTAACTTATTTCCTACTGTTACATCTGCATTATAGGTGCCATTGTCATGGAAAAGCCCAACATTAAATGGAATGATGTGGCGGGACTAGAGGGAGCCAAAGAAGCATTAAAGGAGGCTGTCATTTTGCCAATCAAATTCCCACATTTGTTCACAGGTTAAAATAAACAGAAATTTTACTTTTGATAATATTCTATGGAGTGTTTGTGAGCATCAATGTTGTTACTTTGATTTGATTGTGAAGGAAAGCGTACTCCCTGGAGGGGCATCCTTCTGTTTGGACCGCCAGGGACAGGAAAGTCATATCTGGCCAAAGCAGTGGCTACAGAAGCCAACAACTCCACCTTCTTTTCCATCTCCTCCTCTGATCTGGTCTCCAAGTGGCTGGGAGAGAGTGAGAAGTAAGATTAAAAGATAGATAGATAGTAACACATTTAAAATCCAGATTACATGTTTATTGTAACCTCTGGTCTTGTCATTAGGTTGGTAAAGAACCTGTTCTCTTTGGCCCGAGAACACAGGCCGTCTATAATCTTCATTGATGAGATTGACTCTCTGTGTGGCTCCAGGAGTGAGAACGAGAGTGAAGCTGCTCGAAGAATTAAGACTGAGTTTCTGGTCCAGATGCAGGGTACAACTCTACAGGCTTCTCTGTTATAGTGTTTCACTGTTGACCATGAGGCCGTGACTTTGTTTGGACAGAAACATCAGATCAAAAATCTATTTCTCAAAGCATTGCTATGAATATTTTTTTTTTTTAATTCTGATTAGAAATTAACAAAAATCACAGATTGATCAAATCCTGTTAGTCCTTATGAAATCCTAACGCCAGTCAATGCATTGTTAGCACTTTACACTCATGGAAACTTACAAGCTCCTTATTCCAGGTGTTGGAAACAATAATGAAGGAGTTTTGGTTCTGGGAGCTACAAATATTCCCTGGACACTGGATTCTGCCATCAGAAGGAGGTTGGTAGATTATTATTATTATCATTATCATTATTATACAATGAGAGGCCCACAATGTCTCAGAGAATCTGTTGTTCTTTTCCATGAAATATTAATGGATAAAAGACAAGAGAATTATTTAGCTCCACAATCATTGTACCGGATTATGTAGATGTCCAAGCTTTTTATTGAATGTAAGGATTATACACTGATAATTGATATTTCCAAGTGAACGTTGGTTGTGTTTTTTAAAGGTTTGAAAAGCGTATCTACATCCCTCTGCCTGAGGCACCCGCACGCTCTACAATGTTCAAGCTGCACTTAGGCTCCACCCCCAACAGTTTGACCGAAGATGACTTTTTTACTCTGGGCAAAAAGACAGAGGGATTTTCAGGCGCCGACATCAGCATCATTGTGAGAGACGCCCTCATGCAGCCCGTCAGGAGGGTCCAGACCGCTACGCACTTCAAAAAGGTCAGATTATAAATTTGCTTTTTATTTGTTTATTTTGGAACAACTATTGTGCTTATTTTGTGCTATTGTATTGTTTTTTTTTTATTATTTTTTATCCCCATTAGCCTCCACTGCATACTGCCTCAGTTTCTCTTCCTTTTTAAACCCCAAATATGTACATAGAAAACCAAATGAAATAGTATTATAAGACAATCCCACCAATATATAGATTAATTATTTACTTTGAGCTTAAACAAAGTTGAAGCAGAGTTGAAGCAACTTTTAAAATCGTTTGTACTTATGGCAACCAGAGCATTTAGTTACAAATGTGAAGTCTTCTTTATTCTCTTAGAATCTGTAATAAATAATTCTATCCCTGCATAGCTTTAAACTTAACGTTGAAAATATGAAACACTAAATTGTTGAATAAAATGATAAAGTTTTGATACAAATGTGCGGCAGAGCAGTGGGGCTCCGGTTAACACAAACAAGGTCCTGGGTTTGGTATCACCTCTGGGCCTTTTGTGTGGCGTTTGCATGTTCTCCCTGTGTGTGTCTGCATACATGTACAAGTTCAGGGTGAATGAGTGGGTGTTTGTGAGGCCGACCTTTAGAACAATTTCGTACAAATGTAAATTAGCACAAGACTTTGAAAAGGAAAGGTGTGTTCAGTAACATGCACCGTCCCAATCCAAAAAAATGAGATTGTTTCTTTTTAGTTGCACGTATTTGACTTGTGCCATGTTTTATTTTGTCTCAGGTGCGGGGCTCGACCTGGACAAACCCTGATGTTATTGTGGAAGACCTTCTGACGCCGTGTTCTCCTGGGGACCCCAACGCCATTGCCCTGACATGGATGGACGTGCCCGGAGACAGACTTCTGGAGCCTGTGGTCTCTATGGTGAGGGCTAATGCCGACAATAATATATCAGTGACTGCCTCGTCCTCTGCATCCTCGTCTCCTGTGACATCTAACGTGTTGTGGGCATATTGGACAGCAAATATTTCAAAAATGTCTAATTATAGGTTATTTAAATGACTTTTCCATTTAAAATATCCTTCTTTTCTTACCTGGAACTAATGTGGTTGCTCATTCTTTTGCAGTCTGACATGCTGAGGTCTTTGTCCAGCACAAAGCCGACCGTGAATGAACAGGATTTGGAGAAACTTACGAAGTTCACTGAAGACTTTGGTCAAGAAGGATAAACGGTTAGTTAAAGCTGGGGTACCTGACTTTATTGTTTAATATATAATCCATGACTACTTCGTGCTTAGCAGAAAACATTTTATCTTTTCAATAATTGTATTTTTTAAGAGAGCCACTATTTGATGATTTAGGTTGAGAGATTCTTTTTATTGTTTCTGTCTGATAAAGCTGATCCAAAGAGGCTAGTACTAGTGTTGTGGATTATATAGTTAGATATAATACTTTATTGATCCCTGTAGGAGAAATTCAGGAGTTCTGTTAGGTACCCAGGCTTTAAATGATCTCTGTAAATAAGAAAAATATTGTATTCTATTGAAACATTGAACATATTTGTTTACATAAGCCTACAATTTGGATGTTTTGGTTTGGTTTTTTATTATAATTTTGCTGAAGGCACTTTTAATAACATGCCAACAACAATCATTACCTCCTTTTTAAATGAAATCTTATCTTTTTGCTGAAGATGTCTCTGTGGATTACATGTTTTCTGAAATACCTTTTTTTGTTTTTAGATATTTGTACTTGTATTTTGGGGGTGTCTGTTACTGCCAGGATGGAATGCAAAACACTAAAACTACTTGTTTGCACTATTAAGTTTTAAAGTGTCTTTGGGACTGTTGTCAGTAAAAAAAAGAATAATGTGTTGAATAAATATTAATACATTTTGTTTGTTTTCAGCCAGAACATAAATAATTAAACAGATCTCTGTTGATTTTATTTTGACCAAATATCAAGATGTTTTATTTTATTATGAGTTTGTATAATCAGGGGTTCAATAAACACTCAATTTGAAATAAAGATTTATTTATTTATTTGTAGCATGTCACTTCTGTAGATGAGGATATATACTTTTTCTCTTCTCTGTCTGAGCTGTGTCTGTTCCACCAGTGCTGAGCCAGTTCTAGTCCCATGTTTGCTTTTCAACTATTTTTAGCTAATGCTGCTATGACTTTTTTTGTCAATGTTACTGGTTTGTGTTTCGGGCCCTGGTCTGAACTTGTGTTGGATAAAAGCCGGGATGAGTATTTCTAGGATGACTGGTGTGTGAGCCATTTTGAGATCAGTGTTCCTTCGACTGCTCCCTCCTCACTGTTGTACACTTTCTTTCATAAAATAAGTAATATAATTTTCAATTGAAGTAATACCAATGTATGCAAGACATCTGTCATTTAGAACACACGTGAAACCCCTTATTTTGAAACTCATTATTTCATTCATCAAAAATTGACACTATTCTCATCCATTTTTAGACATGTAAACACCACTCATGATAGAAGTTATCAAATTAGGCCAGTAAACAGAAATAAAACATTTATTATATGGTAAACATGTTAGTTTAAAGGAAGTGCTTCACAAGTCATGGCAGAATAGAGGGCAGAAATTACATAATGGGATGCAAATATCAAAATAGAAGCTAAGTATGACATAACATAGGCACCAAAAACAACCTGTAAGTTTCACATGTCATTCCTTATAGCCTACAATCATTTAATGTCTTGTGAGATAATAAACTATTTCTACGAGTATAATTTCTTCAATACAATCCAAACTAATTCCATTTGGGATATGGTGAAGGTATATAAAGCATGCTGCATATAAATGCAGCTGCTAAAGTGAGTATTATTGCAGTGATAAAGGCCATAATGCATTACACCCACGAACAACTATAAATGAATCCTGGTTATACTTCAAGCTTTTATCAAATAACATTTAATATAAGCTAATTTATTGCTTTATTTTATGTGCATATTTACTCTAGCCTGCACACCACAAGTAACCTGAGAAATGTGTAAATATTTATGCTACACAAGGAAATCATGACTGTAAAATAAAAGCACAGTGAAATGATTGGAAACAACAAAATAAAACAAATACAAGAATTAACAGAGCAGTAACTGAAACAAAAGGACTCTTTAAATAAGTTACAATAAATAAACAACTTTTTGTTGATGACTTTTAAAAGCAGGTAAGGTAGCAGTTTAGGAAGGTGCATATATAGCGAAGTAGTAGGATTAAGACAACAGGAAGAACCTGCCCTTTACATTCAAAACACGCGTAAGCTCACATTAATAGGTTCACTTTTTCTGGAGCAAAAGGTACAATATCCCCGTACCAAGGAAGCAACATCGACTTCAAACCGAACAAACAGAGTGGTGCTGCTTTAGTCGCAATCATAGGTCAAAATCACAACCACAGTCAGTAAAGTGAATCCATTGAGCTGTGGTTCGTTGTTAAAAGTGCATAATCGACTCTCAAAGACTAAACAAGGCGTTGAATCACTCAGGAGAAGACTGTAGCAGAAAGTTCTAGTTCACTTAAGATTCACTCTCAGCTTGAAACGTGTTCTGCTCAGGTAAATAAAGGTATGAAGGGTATCGTGTAGTAGGCCACAAAAGTAACATGTGCTTCAGTGTTCAGCCCAAAATTATTTACACCTGAACCATTTTGATCAATTTAAATTATATAAGAAAGACAAAAACACACAAAACAGAAGGAGAAAGCTAAGGGTATCTAAAAAATAAAGGCCAGATTTTGCATTCTATTTGAAAATATGGAAACTCAGGTGTTGTTTGTCTTGTTTTTTACCAATTCAAACATAAATTGTTACCTTTAACAGTAATTTGCTGAATCTATTTATGTGTGATTCCTGTGGTATCCAAGCGCAGAAATGACGTTGGGCTTACATTTTGTTAATCGACATTAAAATACAGAGAACAGAGATCCGAGGGCGAGGCCTGTGGCAGCTCCGGTCAGCATCCCCAGAGCCATGTCTGCCCCGTTATCCCGACGCTGCTCACGGATAATCACATGATCCATCCCAGAACCAGGGCCCATGTACCCGCCTACAACACAGGAGCGCTTTATTAGCACCAATACTGGCAATATGCAAAACCGAAGACAAGACACATGTCCTTTCAAAACATACAGGTATTTGGAGATTTTTTGTTCCTTAATTGTTGCTTGCTTTTTGCACAATTTAATTACTTTGCCGAAGTTCATAAACAAGAATAGATGCTAAGTTTATAGGCGGTGGAAAAGGCCGTTATTACATTACATTTACCTTGGTATTGATAGGGGTAGGCCACAGCATACGGTTCTCCATCGGCTGAGTACACAATCTGAGTTGGTGGAGCAGCAGTGTAGTCTCCATATGGACCAGGGACATAAACCTGAAACACAAAACGTGTTTGCTTATCCAAATGGTGTGAAATACAATAGTTTTGAAGCTGTCTGTGCATCTGAACAATAGTATAATCCTCTTTGGTTAGATTTACCTGGGGATTTGGAGCATATTCTGAGTATGGAGGTGGCGCTGTGGCCATAGTTTCAGAAACAAAACCAATCTGAGGAGCAGCAACAACCTGGAGAATAGAAGTAACATATCGAACCAGACAATTTCATAGGCAACATTTGGTGACAGCTAACCAATATATTGTTAAATAGTTACATTTATGGATGTTTAAACATTTGCTTTGACTATAGAGCCTCACCACAATTAATGTCACAAGACCTAACGAGAGCTAGAGGTTGTGATGGGATTTTAGTGACTCAAAAGAAGAGGCCAAATGTTAAAGGTACACTTTTATTAATCCCCGTAGGGCAATTCATCCTCTGCATTTGACCCATCCTTACGCTGCTAAGCAGCCAGGAGCAGTGGTCGCCGTAACAGCGTCTGTGAACCCATCTCCAGATGTTGATGCTCGGCTTGGTCAGGACTACTGGAGCTGGAGGATTTAACCTAGTGTGCATGTTTTTAGTGGAGGGGGAAACTGGAGTACCCAGAGGAAACCAATGCAGGCACGGGGAGAACATGCAAACTCCACTCAGAAAGACCCTATTCCGACCGGGATTCGAACCCAGGACCTTCTTGCTAAGAGGCGAGAGAGCTATCCACTCAGCCACCGTGCCGCCCAATGTTTGTAGGTCAACCGAATTCCTAAATTATTTACCCAACCAAACAACTAAGCTACATTAGTTCTGTGCTTAGGAAACTTCCAAATGTGCTGTACCAATTCTCTTTGTATCATGTGGTTAATTCTGTTTTGATTAATAATTGAAACTACAAAATTTTAACAGCAGAACACTGCATACATGCTGTACCTTCTTATTTTTAGTAAACTTATCTTACCATGTTGGTCCTTGCATCCTGGAATGCCATCGTCCATGCCCTGCAATTATTAGATATAACAGATTAGGTATAAAAAAGCCTGAGATTCCGTTTTGAAACACTTTTGTCTTACAAAGCATCGTCTGCACTGTCTGCACACAAGCTGATGACCCGTCCATCCCGACACACAATCTGCAGTATGGAGTCGCGTGTCTTTCCTTCAGGGGGATTTAAGTCTGGTGTGTAAAGTTGAAAAAGGTGAGCATTATAGATACAATGTTATCATTACAATATACAAGTATAATCCACCTTGACATGCCGCTGAACTGCGGATGTTGATGCAGTCAATCTTCATATGGATGTCATCCTCCATGTCCCGCTTCTGCTGATCGTTGTAAAAGACCAAGCGTCCATCTGAATACAAATCAAACCAGTTCCTTTTCCAGCGGCGGAGTATGGTGCCTAAAAACAGGATCATTTTAGTCAACACCAAGTGCGGGAAGTTAGTACAATAAAATAGTCAGGAATATGATATTAAAATTGTACAGTCCCATTCTCAATCATATTACATCCCTTTTAATGCTCCTCACAAATGCATGTAAGATCATATCAGCAGTTTGAAACTGGTAAATTCATCTAAATTGTCATTTATTTAAGTTGTATGTATAAATAATCAATTACAATAGGTCTAACTAAGTAGTCTGAGAAGTTTAGTACCACTGGTTAATACAAATGTGTAGTATAGCGACATCATGTGGAGCCCATACAAACATTCTTGTTGTATTACTGTGTATTACTGTGATAATCTGAATACTTACTTTGCCTGTGGAGCCAGCCACTCTTTACCATCACCATTTTCTTGGGAAACCTAGACAAGAAAGATAATACTAGTGGTTAAACTAATAATACTATTGGCTTAATATAATAATAGAAGGCGGTTCACGTGATGTCAAGCATCTCGTGACTTTCTACAAATGGCCTCATATGTATGGCTCTATAATCATTCATGCAATGGTGTGAACAGAATATAAAACTGTTAGTGCTGTGTCGTGTTAATACACTCAATAATGGGCCTAACGCTATACCCTAAAAATCCATGCCTATATCCAGTCTTCAATTCATATTGTTTTGGCTGGGCTGTTAGCCAAGTAAATACATAGAGCAACGTTGGTGTTATGGTGAGACCTGCTGTCATTCACCTTAATCATTCTATAAATAAAAAGATGCCGATAGCGCTAAACAGATAACTGGACCACTCCAAACACATTTGCTTAAAGGTTAGCATATTTCAATCGACTGCGCCATGCTTATCGTTAGATGTTTACGTTCTACGTTGTATTCAATTCTGATCTCACCCTACCTTGATATTTCCTAAAAAGGAGGATGATTGAGCAATTAGGGCAAATGCAGAAATTGACGCTTCTCTTGGACTGAAGGGACCCTGGCCTGGGACCTGAGCCTGACGGGCGCTCATCGAAGTTTCTGGGTTTGCCCCGCCCACTCAGCGTCTCCTGGTGTCTTGATGCATCGTACCCGCCAGATGCATTATGTTGTAACAGTCTATGGTTGTAACAAATGAATTAATAATTCATTAATCAGTAACCAGACACAATACTATCAAAATATAGTAGATATATTTAGACACAGACTGATAGAAAAACCAAGTCATGAACAGTGCTCAGTGGAGTTGGACGGACCCGCCCTGCAGTTAGCAGCACCGAGTGCCATAACAAACGTACCCCACTCGGGGCTTGACGCTCGTTTAGCACCTTTAGCACAGTGGCTAACGCAGAAATGGCGACTGCAATTTATTTGGAACATTACCTTGACAGTAAGTGTCGTTTAATATAAGTCAATAATATCAGTTCAGAATCTTTTCTAGAGAGCAGTTACGAGCAGATCGCGTAAACGTTTCCTAGATTTTTTGCGCGAAAGGCGTTGTAAACAACTAGCTTAGCGAAAGCTAGCGAATGCAATCCAACCAGACGTGCGCACACTATCGCACTCATTCATTAACTACTTTGGATCCTGTAGTGATAAGGACAAAAAACTGGTTATGAGCAGGCTTGGAAAAAAATATATTAACTGAGAGATGATTTTAATGAGTGTTATTCGTTAACCTGATACACACCGCTTTTCATAAAGCATTTTAGCGTATCTTAGTTAGTTTAACTGAAGGCCCACAATTTGTTTGATGGTTCACGTTAATATTATATAGTGTGTTTTTGTCTACTTGATTTTAACTCTACGTGATGGAATTTCAACCTGTTAGATCCAAAAAGTGTTAAGGCGCCTGGTGGGTGGAGTGTACTGCCTCACTTGTATGGGTTCCGATTTATTTACAGTATATAAAGGTTCAGATTTAGAACCATAACAATACTAATAATGGTTGGGTTGTAATTTTTTAAACACTCTATAAATATTGTATTTGTCAGATTTCTCTAAAACTTACATAACCTATTTATTAGACACATGCCTTCAAATTAATGTCTACATTTTTTTTCTTAAGGCATTGAAAACTTGCCATGCGAGCTACAAAGAAACTTCACTTTGATGCGGGACCTCGACAATAGGACAGAAGGTAACCACACAGTGTCGTGATTCACTTTGTTTTTGACAATGCTCTATTCATAATAGTATTGTAATAATAGTTGTGATTTTCAATTGAACCAAATTATTTTATGAATGTTTCAGAAAAAAAGGCAGAAATTGATAAAATGGCAGAAGAATATATTTTGAATGTGAAAAACTTTGCGTCAGAGCAACGAGTGGATCACCTGCAGAAGATACAAAATGCTTATAGCAAATGCAAAGAGTTTAGTGACGACAAAGTCCAGCTGGCAATGCAGACCTATGAAATGGTACATTTGTATTATGAATTTAATATTGATTTGTGTTAATTTATTTTGTGTCAATGTATTATTAAAAATGTATTTTATAAGGTGGACAAACACATTCGCCGTTTGGATGCAGATCTTGCAAGATTTGAGAACGAGCTTAAAGAAAAACTTGAAGTCAGTGGCTATGAGAGCGCTGAAGGAAGAAGCTCTAAAAGTAATGCTATACAACTCTACTGTTCTCCTTAAGTTAATGTGAAAATTTGATGTAGTGCATAACATTGTGATATTTTCTAAATGCAGAGGTAGAATCCAGTCAAAAGCGTGGGTCTAGAGGAAGAGTGAGAAAAGTTTCTGAGGAAGATTCCCCAAGAAAGAAAAAGATAAAAAGGTATGTAATCAACATACCAAATATTTAAGATGAAAGATTATTGCTGAATTTAACGTTATGATATGTCTTTTTTAGTCCAGACTTGAGCGACGCCCTTCTACCCATGCAGCCATCGGATGTCCTGGACATGCCAGTTGATCCAAATGAGCCCACGTACTGTCTGTGTCATCAGGTGTCCTATGGAGAGATGATTGGATGCGATAATCCTGATGTGGGTTTTTGTTACATAATTATACTATAGCCTTTGCATCTGTCACTGTCAGAATCTGACATTCATAAAAACAGACAAAGACCCTTCTCTCACAGTCATCCTGAATTTCCACCCAGAGCATGATTTTGGCAAAGCTGACTATACATGTATATTTAGGAACATTCAATATCTAACAGCCTACAGTGCTGCTCCAGAGACTATACTAGACTTGAATTGTAAGTCTTTGTTTTGATAAAGTATGGTATATAATGATGCAATCATTGGTGGAAGTGCACGCATTCAAATCAAACAACAAACTGTTATATAAATGTAATATACGCCCTGGATCTATAGCTTGTTTGTCCATGTCCCAATATCTTCCTGAGGTTTCACACATTATTCACGCTAGCTTTTGTGAGTGTGGGTTAATATGCTGTGTATAGTGTATTTCACTCATTTTAGAGGGGGATTGACTTACTAACATGTAATTTTATTTTTCAGTGTCCGATTGAGTGGTTTCACTTTGCATGCGTCGATCTGGCCACAAAACCCAAAGGGAAATGGTAAGAAATAAAGTACTATGTCTCTAAAATTGTACATTATTTTTGTGAATGCAGCTTCACGTGTCTAAATTTTGCAGGTTTTGTCCAAGATGCACTCAAGACAGAAAGAAGAAATAAGATTTTTATATTTTATGTAGCTTTGTTTTAACATGAATTATGAATATATCAGTTGATAATCTGAATGAAAAACTGAAATGTATTGCTTTGCGTTAAAGCTAATTCCAGATATGAAATATATATTTTGACACTGTCCAGGTTAGCTGCAGGTGTTAAAGAGTAGTGGATCAATACAAACATCTGGATTGAGGCTTTAGGAAACTTGAATTATATTTTATAGAGGACTATATTTTAAAGGAATTAAAGCCTGCTGAGAATGTACCTTTTTCTAAAAGTGTGTGTGTTAGATTTAGATATATATATACATTCACGGTGGGAAAAAAGTAGCTTTTTCTGTTACCTACCTCTTACATATATTGGTATGTTTTAGAGGCATGTCAGCACTGCACATGACTGCAATTGACACTGAAAAAGAAATTGTAAATTCAATCACATGATTTTTCCTTTTTATTTGCGACATTTTTGAATGTATTGTGGTACTAATGGTCAGTCAGTGTATTTATAAAATGTAAAGGGTTTTAAGCACTTTGAATGAAATTTTCCTAATGTAGTTTAGTATTCAGGCTTTTATATCTTGTGGTGTTAAAGCCTTTCCCTTTACTCATAACTTCAAATGTTTAGAAACTGTACATTTTATACAACATAATATTTTGTGGAATGTGGTCCAAAGATGAAGTTGTGGTTTAGCATTTAAAATTGTATGGACTGATTTAAAAGATATTAGTATAGTAAACTGAGAAATTCCCAGTGAATATAGGTAAGCCAGAATAATTGAGAAACCAAAGTCTTTGTATTTTGTAAAGTCATTATTTTATAACAAATAAATATAATTCTACCATTATTTGTTCCTTGTGGTATTCTTATGCCAATAATTACTGCTTGTTTCCTATATCATAATGCAAATGACAGCAATTATGGATTTTAATAGTTTAAAATCCGTCATCTGATTCGTCCCAGCTGCACTCGTCCCTGTTTGCTGAGAACTCGACCTCCACGTCATAAACAAAGTTAGGATCATCTTTTCTCTTTCTGTTCTTCTCAAAGAGTTCATCCATTTTTCCCTTCTTTCGAGACAATTCTTCATCATCCAGTTTATTTAGGTCTTGTTCAGGGTCAAGCTGAAAAGAGGCGAGACTTTGCTCCAGACTCAAACCCTTCATGTTGTCCCGTATTATAATGTGCAGTCTCTCCAGCTGGCTCTGTGGAACGGTCTGAAGATAGTCACTGTGGCGAGGATGGTTCTTCAGTCTCTCGGCTGCATCTCTGTGATCTATACAATGAGAAAGACGGGAAACTAGCTAGTGTTACAGAAGCCACTTTCACTAGTGAATTCGTTTGACGCTCACGTTACCTGAATCTCTCGAGAATTCTCTCAAAGGGATGATTCTCTTCCTCAGTTTCTTGGTTATATTGTTTTCATAAATTAATACGATCGATGGCGGACTGAATTGCACACCACAGCGCTTCGCCTTAAAATTCATCTTCAGACCGTAGCTTGATCAACGTAAGAGTTTAATTCAACAACTGAATCCAGCCGAAATAATGACACACCATTCTATTTCGCTATTGTTAAACACGTAACGTTAGGTTAAGTACTTAATACCGTTTTGTCCATAGACCATTGGTTGCCAAGGCAAACGGCGATGTATATCCCTAGAAAAGCCGGTTCACTTCTCACTTACAAATGTAGATTCTGTAAACATTAGATTTATTTAACGTTCGTTAACACCCGCCATATATTTAAAATTGATAAGTAAAGTTCAAAAACATTTCTAAAAATGTTAACTCATAAAAAAAACGAGTGTTTTCTAAACAGGCATTGAGAAGACTCCCTAATTAATGAAAGCGTCCGGTCGGTGGGTCCTTCACGGTCCTCAAGTATTTTCCGTAAACATTTGCAGTCCGCGAAAAAATACGAATAAAAATCGAATGGTTAAATACTTATATTTCTTTTGGGTTTAAGCTGCTTTACGATAACGCTTGAATGGATTTTTTATTATTTTCTACATGGGCTTGTCTGTCAACATGTTTATCTTTTAGTACTTTAGGTAAGACTTACAGCTACAACATAAACGCACGTTTGGTGACGACGATTAATCAATACATATCCTCCACTTCAAATTTCTCTTGTGTAGCAGATGACTGCAACTTTAAAGTATCAATGGAATTGAAAAAGACTGGTTTCCATAGGTATTGTCCACATAATTGTCAATTTAAAAATACATTTACCTACACTGTTTTCTCATTCTGTTTATTTTTTTGCTATAGGGAATTGGAGACGATTGTCCTGTTCAAAAACAAGCACTTTGACAAGATGTTGTTGGTATACAGCTGGCCAAAAGACATCTATGTTGATCCTTTTCAACTCTCATCGTTGAGGAACCAAATCAACTGGGAGGTAGAATGTTAGGGTTTATTTCAAATGACAACGACCTATAAAATTACACTTTGACACCTTGTGATTGCTTTCAAGATGTTACTAGGTACTACCATGGACCTTGAGTTGCCAGCTCACAAGTCTTCTGGATTTCGCACATACCTGTTTCTAAAAATGGAAGAAATAACAGCTGGACACATGAAATTGACAATACCAATCCATGGTCGTTACCAAAAACCCTCCTTCAATGGCAATGCTTTCAACTCCATAGATATATATCCCCCCAATCTACTGCTTCGTCCTGTTGAAACGTGTAAGCATATTTTCTTCACATTTGAATTATACATTTAATATCCAGCTATACTCTTCTGATGCCCATTTAAATGGAGGAGTCTTCCATTTCATCTTCTGCCACTTAAGCCTTGTAACCAAGACATCAATGGTTTGTAACTTGGATTTGGTCTAATTGTTGATGTGATTATAATTATTTGAAATTATTATTTTGAGCATGTGAGCATGCCAAAATATACACAAACAATTGAAAAATTAGGAATTAGTGATTCACAATTTCATTGTGGCACAAGCAAATAGATGCATAAATCTATATAGCCTACAACATGAATACATAAAAAATTGAGCTCTTCACTTTGGGTTTTTAACTATTTTTTGTGCAACAGCGTCATTTGGCACTATAACGTGTTAAAGGGACAGATGCAATTCACAGATGCATTATACATCTTTGTCAAACATAATGTGTAGCTTTTCAACATGTACAAAGTATTTAGTCTTTTCTTTAATAAATGAGGATTTATTATTGATTACATAAACTATGGACTTGCTTATATGATATTGTTTATTTTGTTCTCAAGCTACAATCTGCAAGCATTTAGAATCACATGAGTTTCTTGGGTTACCAGTTTCTTTGGTGAAATCCAGCGAGTTTGATCACCATCTAAACCTCAGCAGCTGGACCACCATCAGTCGCCACACTGTGTATACACTGATTTTGACTTTGGTGTGGGACGTAGTTCGATTGAGCATAACTGTGGTTTATTTTCCACTGCCTCCAGTCTACTGTGATGTGGTTTTGTGCAAAGCCACATATTTTCTCTTTTTAGATAAAATTATTATGCAATAAATGTGTCACTGTTGGTTCTACTCTTAGCAAGAAATGATCATGGACACATTCATTGGTTTAATTCCTGATTCTTGTGAATATTGATCAATCTGTTCTAGTCTTTCTAATATTATAGCCAAATCAACATTTTTGTGGTGGTTTTAGTTTGATGTGATTGATGTAATATTACTTTTCAAAGGTACCCAAGTCAACAACTTTGGCTCTGTCACAACCACTGTTGTGGATGCACCGTGCACTGCAAAGAACTCAAGCATCTGTCAGTGGGCTAATGTTCACTTTCATCAGGTTGTGTTTTAATGTATTTTTATTTCCAAACCTTTGTGGCTTTATATTAACTGATGTTGTCTTCTCCCATAACAGCCTGATCCTGTGATACTACAACTTCCTGTTGGAGATGCATCACTTGTCATTCATGTATGCGGAGGAACTCTTCTATTCACAATAATCTGTACAGTAGCATTGTCTAAATCTGCCTTGACAAGGACGTAACATAATATAATGTATTTAATAAATGTTTTTTAAAAAGCCTGTTTGTATTATAAAACATCCATTGTGTGTTCATTTAAAACTATAAGTTATAATGCGTCGGTTTTATATAGCGCTTTTTTGGACACTCAAAGATGCTTTACATGTCATTATTCTTTCATTCCATACACGGTGGTGATAAACTACTGCCCTGGGGCACACTGACATCACCGAGGCAACCAGTGTGTGCCATCGGCCCCTCTGACCACCACCAACCATTCACACACACACCAGACTCATTCTAGGCAATGTGGGTGAAGTGTCTTGCCTAAGGACACAATTACAGTTTGGCACTTTACAGCCGCAGCCGCCCCACCGTGGCACCTGGTGTTCCCAGAGGTTAAGTGTCTTGTCAAGGACACAATGACAGCAGACATAAGTGGGAGTCAATGGAGGAAGTCTTGTGGTGGGCTTAAACCCACGATCTCCAAAGGAGGTCTCACATTTTTGCATCTGATCACCATCAAATGTAATCGGATCTTTCTCAAAATCACACAGATGAAACTAGATGCATAAATACAATGACAGGAGGGGGAGGAAAAAGTATCTGAACAATCGCCAAAAGCTAGTTCCCAGAATGCATTGTTTGTGAAGGTCTCTCAAAAAACAAAAGTTAGGAGTGTTTATCACTACCTAACATGATAATTTTCCCCAAATCTCAGATTCTTATTTGATTGGGACCTGAGAGGGTTAACCTTCCCCTGACAAGGTCTTAGCACCTCCAAACCTGTGGTATTCTCGCTGTACCCTCTGTCCAATAAGTGAGCATTAGTCGCTTCCATCTACAATCCAACGGCATCTCTCCCTTCTTCACCTGCAGGATTTTGAACAACATCCACATTTTATAGGTTACTTTTTGAGTTGAACACCACAAATCCATAAACAGTTACTGACTTAATAAGTGCCTCATTGACCTTCTTAATGTCAAACACCTCATTATATTTAAGATCTTTTTACTTTTCTCAATTATATTAGTTATTATACTATCAAGCCATAACACTAAGTACTTAAAGCTGCACTAACTGACTTTATGTTTGTACTCATTACGAAAATGCTATCCATGTCCATGTAGTGCATTGGGATATACGTCCTTTTGAAGATAAAGTAGTGCAGATTTGTGCTGGCGTGACATTATATTTTTGATCAAGTTTTGATGAAACAAGGAAGAGAATGTGTTTCGGGTCTCAGATTGTGACCAATCACAGCGGACCACTAGCCCCCGCATTCTTGATAAATCTACAGGTTCGTTAGCATAGACGGCTGAGTTAGCACAACAAGCGGCGGAGCTAACCTGAAACTTCCTCGTCTTCGTCACCGGTTACTGCTTACACAGCGAGACAGCCATCCAAAAGAAAGTCTCGTTCCTCCGCGCTTCCCGGTTCTATTGTTCTGTGGTCACGCCATCCACGCTCAAATGTACGCTACATGATTCTATCCATATTGGGAGACCCTAGCTCCGTCAACAGTGGGTGTGTGTGGGGGGCGATAGCTTCGTGGGGAGGGGAGGAGAAAGAGCGAGGCCAGTGAGTCCTCTGCTTCAAAATCCGGAAGTCAGTTAGTGCCATGGATCTATTATAATAACTGGATAGATAGGGTATTACTAGCTTGTAGCTGAATAACTCACGTGCTCGGGGGATTCTCGCGGTACTGCAGACTGAACCAGACTAAATTCACGCGGGCTACCCAGAAATTTACCCCATAGGACTCAATGCATATTAAAACAGCTCAACCTCAGCTGACAGAGAACCTACAGCTTTCATAAAGATCGGATTTTGTGGGGATTTTAGTGTCCCTTGTCATCCTGAACTTTTTTTCTTCTTAAATCCTTCGGTTTTGTTTAAATCCACACTTTAGTGCCACAAACTCTGCTCCTCTGGCTCTCGCTCTAACTCCCGCTCTGATGAACTGCTCTGATTGGTCAGAGCGCGGCCGAGCCCCTCTGTGCACGTGCGTGAGACCCGGTGTGAGACCATCACACGCGTGTTTGACGCAACGCATTATGGGAGATCACCCACTGCGCAGAACCGGGAGGACCAGACGATGCCCAAATACAGGCGAGTTTCCCATAGATCTTTGCGAGTTTAAGGCAACTTCCGCTAATCTTTCAGCCCCCATGCTGTCACAAAGCGCCACTGAGCACAACCATTCATTTGAATAGGGCGCCATCTTGGATCGCCGGGGCTTGGTTAGTGCAGCTTTAAACTTGTTCAACAACTCCAATCTCTTCCTATATGATTTGTTTTTAATAAAATATTTTTTCTTTCTAGTAGAACCCATTACTTTTGTCTTGCCTCCTGAAAATCTAAAACCCCACTTTACAGATCATGTTTACTATATATTGTAAATTCCCTCATCAGCAAACAGTGGCTCTGCAACATTAGAGAATATCAGTATGGAAAAGAACACTGGACTCATAATACTCCCTGCAGCGTCCCATTGTCTACTTAAGGGGAGATCAATTATTTTCTCCCGGCTCGTTCTCATGTCGCAACCATTTAGCTAAAGAAGGCTAAGTATAGCGGACAGATTAATGTTGTGGATGTATTATTATCAGATATGACCATGTCATCGTAGCACTCAAGAAATGTCAAACCTTCATTGGGTATTGATTCCCATTCATCTATATAATTTGTAGATTGGGGAATTTTTGAGGGCCACACAGAAACGTGAATTGGGCCGTAAGTGGCTCCTGGGCCGCACTTTGTCCACGTCTGGTCTACTTTATACCTAGAGCTTAATCAGATTCCACTTGCTCTGTAATATTTATACCGGTTAAAACCATAGACTATTTATTGTTAAATCATTTCTGACCCATCCGAGAAATTCTCCCCCTCTCATTTGATGCAACCTTACTAAAAGTCCCGAAGAATACAAAAATACTGCCACAACATTCTCCTCGTTAGCTTCTGCCTTTGAAATGTATTTTTTCTTTTTTTTTATTATGACAATTATTATTTTTATTATTATTATTTCCATGTGTATTTGAGTTATATGGCGATTCGGACTTTGACACCAATCATGAGATGGCGGGGAAGGCGACACAGGGAAGCTGTAGTTGGGGAGGAGCCGGAAGTGCCTGATTGCGCTGCCCCGTGGTGTTGAGTTGAGCGTTTTTCTTTTTTTCGTCTCGTGAGTTGTTTGAAAACAAAACCCAAAAACACAGTTCTGTGTGGGAAAATCACTACCAATCTCCAAGGAGATTGTGCATGATCACAATATGGCAGGGTCGGGGGGACTACTGCTGGAGTTTAGTGAGGATAGCATGGAAGAGGGTGAAATGTGTGGTAACAGAAAGAGAGGGCTAAGTCATGGCAGTGAGTCAGAGGACATGAGTGAGCGAGTGGTGAAGCGGAAAGTGGACCAGGAAGGATTTAAAGTGTTGATTAAGTTTAAGGAGGGTCATGATATTAAAACGGTAGGTCCTGTCGCTCTTAGCAGATATTTGCGTGAGAAAATAGGTGAAATTGCTAGAGCTAGAGTGCATTCGGATGGTGACTTAATGATAGTGTGTAAAGATGAGAGCCAGCAGTTGAAGGCTTTGAAGATAAAAAATGTCTGTAAGAAAGAAGTCTTGGAGAGTAAGAAAAGAGTGGCAACGGGAGAGACCTGTAGGGGTGTGATCTATGGTATCCCTGTAAACGAGGACTTGGGGAAACTAAAGGATAACATTCAGGGAGGACGCGTATTGAGTTTAAAGAGACTTAATGCATGGAGATCCGGAGAAAAGGTAGAGAGTCTGTCTGTAATGGTGGAGTTTCAAGGAGAAGTATTGCCGAAATATGTTACTGTAGGATATTTAAATTTCAGTGTAAGGCTGTATGTGCCGCCGCCATTGCGGTGTTACAAGTGCCAGAAATATGGACATATAGCTGCTTACTGTAAAGGCACACAGACATGTGGACGGTGTGGAGGAGGGCATGACTATGGAGCATGTGGAACTGGGGTTCCAGAAAAATGTACAAATTGTGGGGGTGCGCACAGTGTTGGGAACCGAGAGTGTGTCGCCAGGAAGAGGGCAATTGAAATCCAGCATATTAGGACTGCAGGGAAGATGTCCTATGCTGAGGCAGCCAGAAGAGTTCCGACTGGGCCAAATACAGCGAGAAGTGAGAGGATCAGGGCTGATGATGAGGTGCTAGTGGTAAAAAAGAAAGAGTTCCTGTGCTTTATTGCAGAAGTTGTTAATTGTACGTCACAAGCAAAACACAAGTCTGAGAAAACTGCTATTGTTGTAAAAAGTGCTGCGAAATATTTGGGTATTAAAGGTGTCAAGTGGGAGAATATTCATGAGGAACTTAAGAATCAAGATGAATCTGGGAAGCCAGTAGCTGGGTCGCAGTCTTCACGGCAGCTCACGCCTGCGTCACAAGGGAAAAACTAAAAAAAAAAAAAAAAAAAATAAAAAAAACATTTATTTTTTACAGTGGAATGCTAGAAGCTTGATAGCAAATGGACAGGAGTTCAAGAGATTTATCTCTGAATTAGAGGTCAAGCCAGTGGTTATTTGCATTGTTGAAACGTGGCTGAAACCTCATTTGAGCTTTATCTTAAATGGGTATGTATGTGAGCGTAGTGATAGAAATGATAGTAGTGGGGGTGGATGTGCGACTTTTATCAAGAAAGGGGTTCCCTATAGAGTTTTAGGTAAGGGTGAACAACTAGAATATCTAACTGTCGAGATTTGGTGGGAAAAGGGTTGTCTAACGGTAGTAAATTTTTATAACCCTTGTAAAAGACTTGAGATGGATGCGTTAGAGTCGATTGACTGTCAAGGAGGAAGGAATGTAATATGGCTTGGAGATTTTAATGCACATAGTGTCCTTTGGGGAGGGGAAAAAACGGACCACAATGGGTTGGTAATAGAAGAGCTCATGGATAGGAAAGAATTGGTGTGTGTGAATGATGGGTCACCTACTCGAATTGGGTTCAATGTGCAATCGGTATTGGATCTAACTTTAGTACCTCAGTCTCTTGCGGACCAAATAGTCTGGGAAGTATATGATGAATCAACAATGGGAAGTGACCACTATCCAATAATGAGTAGAATGGGCAGCATGAATGGCACTGTTAGAAAACTTTCCTTTGAGAGGTGGAATTTTAGTAAGGCGAATTGGGCAATGTTCACAGTTATAAGTGATAGGAACATGGGTCAAGTTGAGGTAATGGATGATGTGGATAAGTTCAATAAGAATGTGACAAAAGCTATAATAGACGCCGCAAAGGAATCAATTGGGTTGACAAAGGTAGGAAATGGGAAACGGAAAGCAGTTCCTTGGTGGACAGATGAGTGTACACAAGCAATTAACAGAAGAAATAAAGTGTTTAAAGATTTTGTGAAGAGCTTAAGCTCCCAGATGTATATGGAGTATAAAAGGGAGCAGGCCAAGGTCAGGAAAATAATCAGGAGGACTAAAAAAGAGTACTGGAGAAAGTATTGTAATACAATTGGGAGGCAAACCTCTGTAAATGACGTCTGGAGGGTTGTTAAAAAAATGAGTGGAGTACGGCAATCTTGGAGCTATCCAGTCCTTAAGAGCAATGATACTGTGGCTGTGAAAGATGAAGAGAAGGCAGCGCTAATGGTAGAAACTATAGCCAAGATCCATAGTGGGTTTAATTTGACTGAAGCGGAAAGGAATCGAAGAAAGGAAACAAAGCAACAACACCAGTGTTTGTTAGAGTGCGTAGAGGATGGTGATGACTGCTTGAATGCTAGCTTTTCAATAAACGAACTCAAAAAATCTATAAATAAGGCTAAGGTCACAGCTACAGGGAAAGATCAGGTAAGCTATGCAATGTTAAAACATCTTGGTAAGAATGGTATGAATGTGATGCTTGAGCTGTTTAGCAAGGTATGGGAACAAGGGGAAAGTCCAAAAGACTGGAAGATGGCTGTAATTATTCCTATCAGAAAGCCAGGGAAAGATCCAACTATGGCCTCAAACTATAGACCAATTGCTTTGTCATCCCATCTGGGTAAGGTAATGGAGAGGATGATTGTGGAACGGCTTACTTTTTATGTTGAATCACGAAATTTGATGTCACCATTTCAAAGTGGATTCAGGAAGGGAAGGTCGACTATGGACCCTGTTATTAAGCTGGAAAGTGATATTCGGAAGGCTCAGGCGTGTAAAGAAATAGTTGCAGCTGTATTTTTTGATGTTGAAAAGGCATATGATATGCTTTGGAAAGATGGAGTTCTAATCAAAATAAGGAAAATGGGAATCAAAGGGAGAGTATATAACTGGATCAAAGACTTTTTGAATAATAGGCAAATTCAGGTTAGAATAAATAATTGCTACTCTGAGTGTGTCATGGTTGATAATGGTGTGCCCCAAGGAAGTGTTATTTCACCAATTTTATTTTCTATTATGATAAATGATATATATCAAACAATTGACAGGAGTATAGGGAAATCAATATTTGCAGATGATGGTGCTCTCTGGAAGAGGGGAAAAAACATTGGGTTCACTGTTAAGAGTCTTCAAAAAGCAATTGATGCAGTTGAAGAATGGGCAGGGAAATGGGGATTCCGGTTCTCTGTTGAGAAAACAAAAGTGGTGTTTTTCTCCGCTAAGAAGATCGATGAGAAATTCAAATTTGACATGTATGGTAGAGATCTGGAAAGAGTTAGTTGTATGAGGTTTTTAGGGTTACATTTTGATGCTAAACTCACTTGGCGTAACCATATTGAAAAGGTAATAGGCAAGTGTAAGAAAGTTATCAATGTAATTAGATGTTTGTGCTGTAAGGAATGGGGAGCGTTTCAATGAAGAGATTATATGTTGGTTTAATTAGATCTATTGTTGATTATGGATGTCTGGCTTATGGATCAGCTGCTAAAACTGAACTGAAGAAGATTGACGTTGTCCAGGGGACTGCCCTAAGACTCTGCTCAGGGGCAATGAGAACCTCCCCGATGCCAGCGCTTCAGGTCGAAGTTGGTGAGATGCCATTTGAACTGAGACGTTTACAATTATCACTGTCATATTATATTCACTTAAAGACACATATGGAAGATCATCCAACCAAAAGTGTCCTCGTCCAAACGTGGGAGCAAGCAAAATGTAAAAGAGAGTCGTTCAGTACAAGTATACACAAAAAGGCAAAAGCAAGCTGCAATAGACAACCTGGAACTAAGCTCATCAGTGGTTTATCCACCGCATCCCCCATGGCTGCTGCCAGTTCCATATGCAGACACGTCCTTGCATGACAAGTTGAGAAGCTTTCAGGGAGATAGTGGACAGTTGGCTATGATGTATGTGGATAGCCACTATGGATATGTGCAAATTTTTACTGATGGATCAAAACAACCAGATACAGGGAAAGTAGCAATAGCATATGTGGTACCAGAGTTTGACATAAAGTTTTCTGCAAGAGCCTCAGATCACATATCAGTCTATACAGCAGAGTTGATCGCTATTGTTATGGCACTACAATGGGTAGAACAAATTAGACCGCTAAGAGTTGTAATATGCTCTGATTCATTGTCAGCATTAGAGAATTTTAAATCTGGTAATGTAAGTGAAAGATATGACATAGTGTGTGAGATATTAACTTTGCTGCATAATATTGAGACTGGGGGAACACATGTTAAATTTGTTTGGGTTCCGGCTCATGTAGGTCTGATGGGAAATGAGCTGGCAGACAAATTTGCTAAACAAGCCTTGAAAGCAACAGCTGTATCTGTAAAGTGTAAAGTGTCGAAATCAGAGGCAAAGTCAATCATAGTAAAGCATGTCAAAGGATTGTGGCAAGAGAAATGGGAGAGAGAAAACAGAGGTAGGGGTCTTTATAAGATAACTCCTGTGGTTGGTCAGGGCCGTCGGGTCATGAGATGTAGAAGGGAAGAAACAATTTTAACGAGAATGAGAATAGGGCACACTGGTCTTAATACCACATTGCATCTAATAGGGAAGCATCCGTCAGGAAACTGTGATGACTGTAAGGTGTCAGAGACAGTGGAACATATTTTAATCAAATGCAGAAAGTTTAAAAGAGACAGGATTTTACTTAAAAGGAAAATAGAGGATTGTGGGGAAAAGTTTACCCTAAAAGACATATTATCTAAAGAATCAGACCATAGAGTGATAACATATTTGTTTGATTTTTTAAAACACACTGGACTCGTTAGAAGAATTTAAAATATGCATGCATAAGTTATCTTTTTTGTTTTAGGAACTGTAGCTTGCAAGCTACGAAACTGATTCGGAAGTTGTAAGCCATAGAGGTGACACATGCACAATCTGTCTGGTGGGTGGCGGTAATGCGCTGCACTAGTTCGCAACCGCGGTTAAGCAAACAAAGAAGAAGAAGACACCAATCATGAGACGCACTGATGGACTGGGTTGGGTCGGTAGTTCCGCTTCCTCTTCGCCATAGCGGAATTATCCAAGGGCCCAGAAGATACATGAAAAGTTGCACTGTAAATAGTTGTGTTTACGTATGTTTCTGTATGATTGGGGCTCACTGTGGATTAAGGCTCTATGTAGCGGAATCGGTGTATTAATGGATTTACAAGCGTAAGCCCGAGACTCGTGGATCGATCGGGGGTTTAGCTGTTGTGGGTTTCTCCGGTAAGATTTGCGGCTCCTGTGCGTCTTCGCTAAGCTAACACCACAAATAGGAGTGCTATCCACCCCGAAACTTTGCTAGCTATATCCCTTTAAATAGTCTGTTTTGAACATAACTTCATAAAATCGTTTGGGTTCTCAAATCTACATGATTAGATCAGAATAAGGGATATTTCTTAGCACTAGCATGAAAACTTCAAGGTATCCAGCTAGTGTAATGAAAGTGTAGCCTGTCTGGCTAGTAGCGGATTGCTAGCACACTTGTTTGTGCTAACCGTAGGTGCTAACATAGCCGTTGAAGGTGGTTTAAAATACAATCTATGCTTGGAATTACCCTTTTTAAAACATAAAAAGTACATGGAAGGGTGTATGCATGCTAGATCAAGCTTCATAACCTGACACTTTCAGGGCCATAGAATATTGCCCGCCGTTGTCATTACAATACACTCCTTGTGTGTTGTCATTGCGGAAACTTAATTGCGCAATACTTATTTTACCATTAACCATAACTGGGTTTGTAAATGATCGTGCATCTCTTTATCTCTTTATTCCAGGTTCCCATTGGTGCTTCCTCACCGGCTGCATGCTGATGTGAGCGCTGCTTGGCTCAGACTGTCTGTTTGACCCTTTGTCCTGTAATATCCCTCAACACATCACAATGTGTGATAACGGAGACGCTGAGGATAAGCCTCCTGCTCCACCGGTTCGCATGAGCAGCACCATCTTCAGCACCAGCTCTGGAAAAGACTCTCTCTCAGCCAACCATAGCTCCAAACCTCTGCCCTCTGTCCCTGAAGAAAGGAAACCTCGCAACAAAATCATCTCAATTTTTTCAGGGGCTGAGAAAAGTAGGATTTTCTCTCGTATGCATGTGCAAGGTGTAGTTAGAAACATTTAGCTTGAACCAATTATTCACCCTATAAAATTACGTTTCGTGCAAAGTATAACGTTTATTGAATACTTGATAACTCAAGAGTAATAAAAAAAGATTATTTGGTCTACTTAAAGAGTCAGTAACTACAGCCTAAGAATGCATATTCAGTTGCTGCTATTTTGCAGGTGGTAGAAAGAAGGACAGAGACAAAGAGCGTCCTGAGATTTCTCCTCCTTCAGATTTTGAACACACAATCCATGTTGGCTTTGATGCTGTCACAGGAGAGTTTACTGTAGGTTTCTAAACATTTTAACTGTCACATAATCAATACAGTATTTATGAAATCTTTGTTATTAAACTGTGGATATTGTACAGGGCATGCCAGAGCAGTGGGCTCGGTTACTTCAGACGTCCAATATCACAAAGTCGGAACAGAAGAAAAACCCACAAGCTGTGCTCGATGTTTTAAAATTTTACGACTCCACAGGGAATGGACGTCAAAAGTACCTCAGCTTATCCTCTTCTGGTGAGTATTGAACAGTTTTGAGAGTGCCGGTGTTCTGTCGAGTTGGTCTGCCCGTCGAGATGATCTGCTTCAGCTGTTAATGATGTAATGCAAACCTGCGCATGTGCGTCTCACGGCATCCGAAGCAAACCAAGATGGCGGACATGTAGTCCGCGAATGGCTTTAAAAGTTAAATACGAACGAGTTAAGACAAGAATGTCACTTTTAATGCAATTTGAGGCGAGATGTTGATGGTTCCGCGTTGTGATATGTGTGTTTTAAGAGTAAGAGTTTCGTGCCCTAACCCTAACCCTAACCCCCGCTGAAAAATCAAGGCCGTATTGTCACTGACAGAGCAGCCGTCCTCCTGTGGACTCACCACCTGCAGAGGATCAGTGAGGGGCTGGTGCCAAGTGAATTGGGTGCAGCTCTGACTGCCACCCCCCCGACCCAGAAATGGATTAAGGGGAAGAAGATGGATGGATGGATGGAGTTTCGTGTAAAGTTTGTTTTAAGCAGTCCACTGCTCCTGTGAAACTACACTGCTAGTGTGTGATCGCTGTCCCTGAGGAGACTGCTGCATACGTCAGGCCCATGACGCGTCCTGTGACTGGTCTGTCGGGTTGATAATGGAAATAATAAATTAAATTTTATGCAAGTATCATACTGTATTCAATATGATTAACAATAGTGTGTTCAAACTAAATATTTAATTAGATTAAGTTTTTTCCCCATTCTGGTCGGTTTGTGCGCATGCGCAAATCAGATTTGGGCACACTAGCAGTGTAGTTTCACAGGAGCAGTGGACTGCTTAAAACAAACTTTACACAAAACTCTTCCTCTTAAAACACACATATCACAACGCAGAACCATCAACATCTCGCCTCGAGTTGCATTAAAAGTGACATTCGTGTCTTAATTCGTTCATATTTAACTTTTAAAGTAATTCGCGGACTACATGTCCGCCATCTTGGTTTGCTTTGGCTGCCGTGAGACGCGCAGCGCTGGTTTGCATTACATCATTAACAGCTGAGCCAGATCATCTCGACGGGCAGACAAACTCGACAGAACACCGGTGTTCTACGTGATGTTTTGCTACAAAGATGATTGGTGTGTGTTGTTTCAACGAACACACAATTTGGGAAATGTTGTCACTCATCCAGCTTATGAAAGATAAAGGAGAAGAAAGAAACAATGTAAAATTTGTTTTCATGTTTTCACAGAAAAAGATGCATACACTCCAGGCCCCCAATCTGTAAGTTAATCTACACTCACATTTTTTTATTTTTTTTTCCCTTTTCTGATTGAATGCATAAACAAAGATTACTTGTGTATTTCTTAATGTTCTAGCCTGTTAAAAAAGGCACTGAACCTTCTCCAAATATTAAAGATATTGATGATGATGATGACGATGAAACCCCTCCTCCAATTGTGGCTCCGAGACCAGAGCATACAAAAAGTGTATGTTTTAAAGTCTTATAAAAGAACAAATTAAAATGTCCTGATTCGCCAAATTATTATATGGTTGTTCTGCACAGGTGTATACCCGCTCCGTTATTGATCCTATTCCTGCTCCAAGCACTTGCCCTGATGGTGATGCAGCCTCTAAAGCAGCCGATAGGCTGAAAAAGAAAAACAAAATGTCTGACGAGGAGATTATGGACAAACTGCGTAAATATTGTTTCTTTTCCCTCTATCATTTATATGAAAAGGAGGCCTATGTACTAAATTTCTTGTTCTAGGAACCATTGTCAGCATTGGAGACCCTAAAAAGAAGTACACAAGATATGAGAAAATAGGACAAGGGTGAGTGACTGAATTAACGTTGCTTTATAAATATATATATTTTTTTGCATAACCCCATTTTACAAGTGTTAACTTAATTTTGTACTTTTTTTTGCAGTGCATCAGGAACAGTATTTACTGCCATTGATGTTGCAACTGGTCAAGAGGTTAGATATGAGAAATGCATCTCAATCACTAGGTTTCCTGAGCAGCTTCCATATTCTTTTTTTGACTTCACAGGTGGCTATCAAACAGATCAACCTACAAAAACAGCCGAAGAAAGAACTGATTATCAATGAGATTTTGGTGATGAAGGAACTGAAGAACCCAAACATTGTCAACTTTTTAGATAGGTACAAAATTGACTCCTGTCTTATATATAAAATAAGTGTGTCCAGTTCTTCAAATCCATATTTTGCTTTGTGTTACTAGTTTCCTAATGGGGGAGGAGCTGTTTGTGGTGATGGAGTATTTGGCAGGAGGCTCATTGACAGATGTGGTGACAGAGACTTGTATGGATGAGGCTCAGATCGCTGCTGTTTGCCGAGAGGTAGAGTTGACAATTTACAAGACACTTAATCCGCATCGATTATATTGTCCTTCATTAAACCGTGTTCTTTTTCTTTGATTTTCTAAATAGTGTTTACAAGCACTGGAATTCCTGCATGCCAATCAGGTTATCCATAGAGACATCAAAAGTGACAATGTTTTACTCGGAATGGATGGCTCTGTTAAACTCAGTAAGTCCTGTCATGTTGTAAACCATGTTTGAGTCGTACTGCGATCATTAAGGGCAAGTGTACTATGTTCATAAAACTGTTTCAAAAAAGGTGAACTGAATGAAGTAACTAGTGGACCAGGGTTCACCTTTTTGGTGGTTTCACATATCCACAAATGAAACATTTTTGTGGACCAGAATTTGTCCAATTAAAGTGAACCCTGGTTCTCTTTGAATTAAGGGTGTATTCAGACCTGCACATTTGCTCCACTTTAAACGGACCAGGATTCGTTTTGAACTCTGATCCGAAGCTTTTATGCAGGTCTGAATACACACAAACGAATCCTGGTCCGGACCAAAGAACCGAACCGAGACCCACTTTTTTAGGTGGTCTCTGTCCGCTTCCAAACAAATTCTGGTCCAAGTCGAATCATGTCTGAATACATCCGGTGTCGATCCGACACAACTCCAAGATACGTGCGCATTTTTTGGGCTTAACAAGCCGCAAACAGAAACAGAGGAATTAGCCATGCAGCGGCTAACTATGCTGCTAACGCTACACAACAACACTGAGCCGTGGGCAGACCTGGAGCAGTGAGGAGACGCTGTGCAAAAGGCTTATGGAGTTAAAACTGTTCACAGTATACAGTGATGTTAATGGCAGCATCTTCAAATAATTTGCATTATTAAAAGCCTGACACTGTTTGACTCACGTCTCAAAAAGCAATATTCCGCATCATGTAGTGAACTGTGTTCTTTGGTTCCTACCTGATCCTCAGCGTCTGTTTGTCCCGTTATTATCATAGATCCATGTGTGGGACTGGGCACGGAGCGCACAGACAGTCTCCTTCGACTTTCTCCTCAAGCATTCTCCGACGCTGTTCCAATATTTAAAACCACGTGTTTTGCCTGTGTCATGTGAGCTGCTGTTGATGTTGAAGGTGGTTTTGCTCTAAAAAGAGCAAACTAAGGCAGAGCAGACATGCTGCACATACGAGCCCTCTGTTTTCCTCCGGTTCCGCGTCTATCCTCCGTGAGCTCTCGCTGTCCAATAGGAGCGCCGATCGTCACACGTGTCAATATGTTTATATAAAAAAGTTCACTTGCAAAAAGGACAGTCTGAATACGAACCGGAGCAAAAGAAAAAAGTTTGGTCCGCTTTTGATTCGGATCAAGCAAGCGGAGCAAAGAATTTTTCAGGTCTGAATACACCCTAAGTGTGAAGGTATCCTTATGTCATTTTATTGTTTTGCCAATGAAGTAACCCATTTTTCATTGCAGTTTATACTGTAATTTCTATTCCTAATTATCTTGAATCAAATATTTAATATTATGTACATTTCTTATTGTCTCTTGCAGCGGACTTTGGCTTCTGTGCACAAATTACTCCAGAGCAGAGCAAGAGGAGCACCATGGTGGGCACTCCCTACTGGATGGCCCCAGAAGTAGTGACAAGAAAGGCCTATGGACCCAAAGTAGACATCTGGTCCCTGGGAATCATGGCCATTGAGATGGTCGAAGGAGAACCTCCGTATCTAAATGAAAACCCATTGCGTGTAAGCACAATTTTTCTGTACTTCTCAATCACATGTAACTTTGGTTTGTGATTAATGTAAACTGTTTTCTTGGTTGTCTTCATTAGGCATTGTACCTTATTGCAACAAATGGCACTCCTGAACTTCAAAACCCAGAGAAGCTCTCTCCAGTCTTCAGAGACTTTCTTAATCGTTGTCTTGAAATGGATGTGGAGAAAAGAGGTGGAGGCAAAGAGCTCCTGCAGGTGCATTTTATTCTCCTGAAAACATGAATTTATTAAAGCTATAGATTATATTTCTGCACTTGATTTTTGATTTTTGCGTAATTGTTTGCTTTGCAGCATCCGTTCCTGAAGCTGGCTAAGCCTCTCTCCAGTCTCACACCTCTCATTCTCGCAGCCAAGGAGGCCATGAAAGGCAACCGTTAGCTTTCACTGCGCACATGCTGTGCAAAAAAATGTGCCAACAAATTGGATACTGTGCCAGACAATAGGCTGAAAGTTTTTGAGATTTGGCACTCTTGATGCATCAGGCATAACTGCCCTGACACACCTCACTGTGAAGACCAAAAACATGGAGCACACCCCACCGCTGTCCGCATGAACTCAGATCTCTGAAGACAAGTCAAACAAGTGCTTAATTCAAGAGTCAGGCGTAGTTATTTTGTACAACAGATATCTCGGCAACAACTTAAGGCTGGGCTTGTATTTAACTGGGAATGAAGAAGATATGCCTAGTTTGTTTTTTAGGTTATTATTATTTTTTTTTTAATCAACTGCCTTAAAGAATTGCAAATGTTGCCTAATGTATTGTTGATTCTGTCTGTCTTTTTCCAATGATTTTACTACCTTTTGTAATTTACCTTTCAGCTTGTCTTAGTTATTTTGATACTTGAATTTCACATGTGCCCCATTCTTGCTATACTGTATTCTGGCTCTCTGTCAACATTAGATGTGCATGGACTCTTTTATTGCAGGTTTTATAGGAAACAATCCACAGCCTTTCATGAAAATGAAACGTGTCGACTGTCTAAGACGGTCCAATTGCCGTACTGGACTACTGTACCATTTCCCCTGTCAGTGTCACCAGTATCCTGGTAGTCAGAGGTGCACCTTACAGGCACATTAAATGTTAGATTGACAGGGTTTATGTTGTCGTTTATTATTAAAAGTGTGTTTTGTCCTCTGTCCTTTGTATCCTTCTAGCGAGCCTGAACCCTTGTGTATTTTGTAGCTTGAATGGGATGACAATAGAAGAGGAAAGCTGGAGTTTTTTTTCTTGTTTTGAATGACTAACACCCCTGTCTGCACACTCTAATAAATACAAAAAGTCCCCGCTTTTGTGAAATTTTGTGCAGCCAAAACGCTCCCTTTTTTTTTTTTTATAAACAAGTATATTGGAGTACTTTCTTCTTCCGTTTGGATCATCAAGACTAATGGTCCTTCCAATTGTGAGTTTTGTTCAAAACGTGGAGTGGGTGGTTCTTTTCTCAAATTTGGGAAAGCCCTTTGAGATTGTTTACTTATTTTGGAGATCTGGGGCCGGAAGTATGCTTTGGACCGGAAACACGTGGTAAAGTCTAGTCTCGAGCTGCTGCGTCTACTCCATGGATCTTTAATAATATCTGTCTATTCCATGGATCTATTCTAATGTATTCTTACCTTTGTGCTTTGGGGATATGGCAGGCTTGAAAGATAAAGATGCTTACTTGCGACTTAACTTTCTATATCAGGTAGGATACTGTTATGTATGGCTGCGCTATGTTGAAGTTACAACACACATGTGACTAAAGCACAATTATGAATGTTCTGCAATCCTTAAAACAGGCAGCGCACTGTGTTTTGGCCCAAAACCCGGACAACATTGAGCTGGCACGTTTCTACTGCTTCACACAGAAGACCATCGCCAGACGCTTGGTCCTCAGACAGTGAGTTGAACCTGTATTAACAGATCAAATATTTCTGTTCAGTCTGGGCTAATATTCACGACGCTTTGAGTTACAGTTCTAGCTCTGAAATACTGATGAATCCAATCCATACATGACAGGTTTATACAGACACATTATTAGGAAACTGTATGAAAGATTTTGAAATGCAAACGCTCCAGAGACGAGGCAAACGATGTTGAATGAAATAAAAACGAAATGGTAATTATGGATTCTGAAGATTTGTAATTAATCAGAAAGCAGAATGCAGCTCCTACACCATACGGTCGCTAGGTTTAATGATTCAACTCCCTATGCTCAGATAATAAACACCACAAACAGCAAGTTCTGTCTCTAGATTACAGCACCAGGAACATACTTGGAGAAAAAAAGCCTTGGATAACACCATATTTTAAGTCAATTTCTTAAATTTGACTTTTTACTGTGTTTTTGAATATCATTTTCAGGGATCCATCAGTTAAAAGGACCTTATGTAAGAAGTGTTGCTCCCTCCTCATTCCAGGTGTCACAGCAACTACTCGACAGAAAAGTATGTGGACCTACACTTTATCATTGAGATGGAACTGAACCTTGTGTGCTAAACAACATGATTATTTTTCAAGAAAAAAAGTGCAAGGCCCGCTTTACAGTGACGACATGCCTCAGCTGTGGAGAAAAAAAGACATTTCTGAATAATCCCGAATATGTTTTATGGTGTGATCGTCCAGAAGCCCAGCTGCAGCAACCCACAGACTCAAGTGAGTTGCCTCAAGAAATCAGAATTTATAATATTCAAATGCAGCTAAACCTCAGTAAATTTGCCTTTTTGCTTTTTCCACTGTAGCTTCTGGCTCATCAGTTAAAAATCAACAGAAATCTAAGAACAACAGACTCTCTACTAAACCCAGTGAACCCCTGGTCATAGTTGAGGGCTTGGATGAAGCAGGACCCTCGACTGCAAGTTAGTCAGAGCAAACATTTATTTTCCTCGACTGCTTTACTGAGATTTTTAGTCTCTGTGAGACGGATTAAATAGTTTTTGGTTTATGTATTCATCAGATTGTGGATTCAAGCTGCACATTTAAGTTTACATTGTGTCAAATACAGCCCTATGCTTTTTTTTTTTATTGCTTACTCTTTGAGTTGAGAACTCTCTGATCATTAAATCATACAATCATCATGTAAAAAAAAAAATGTTTATTTCATCATCCCTATTTATGATATACAGTAGCACAATAACCATTGTTTCAAAATGAAGTTTTGCATTTAAAAAAAAAGTAAATTATGTTTTGAACACTATCTGATGGCCTTTTATTTTTTCTTTTTGTCGCCCTTTGGGCCTCTGACGCCTTTTTTCTGAGAATAGAGGAGGTTCCTTGAAAATAATTTTGGGATGTGGCCCATAAAAAGAAAGAGGGCCAGCGTCATGCCTGGAAAAAAAAAAACATTGTCAGATACTGGGTTTTCAATGTCATTTATCAACAATACTTACCTGTGACAGAGCTGAGCCAGTACACCCCAGTATACTGCAGGAAGCTGAAACCGGGACACTGGAATGTGAGGCCATAGGCTAAGGAGGGGTTCACAAACCCTGAGGTGAAGTTTCTAGCTACAAAAAAGCAGAAAAATAAATGCTGATTAACAATTTTTTGTTTAAAAGTATGTAATGAAGCCTGATAAAATTACCTGAATGCGACAGGAAAGTAAGCAGCGCAGCAATAAGGGGAATGCGGACCAGAGCAGAACGCCGCCGGAGGCCGAGAAGGATGAGGTGAAATACAAAAGCACAAACAAACTCTGTGAAAAATCCCTGGTGCAGAGTTGTCTTCAGAGAGGTGCTGCATTCACTGGACATCAGATTCTTGATCATGTGCATGTCTGTCAGCTCCAGGCCCCAGTAGTAACCTGCTGCTAAAATGGCCAGGTAAGATCCAAGGAACTGTGCTACAAGAGCGAGCAGAGTGGTCAGTATCGAGGCGTCCATCTGCAGGTACCTCTGCAGAGAGACTGAGGGATTTCCACAAGCTCCCCCAGAGATGATGCCATGGCTTAAGAGCACCACAAACAATATGGTGATGGCCACATCTGGACCGAGAGCACCTGCCCATTCTCCCACTTCTACTATAGTCTGCACCTCTAGCAAACAACCCACTAACATGAACGAAGATGCAAATTCCAACATAAAATTAAGACGTGGCCATTTCTGTATTGGAATCCGAATTAGGACGGCAGATATGACGATTGTCACAAAGTATCCAAGAGATGCGTTTAGTCCAGTCATGGCTAAGGTGCGGGGTCCAGCTTTGAGAGAATGTGGACTAAATGAGATTGGACTCTCAGCTATAATTTCTTTTGGACAACGTGGCGTTTACAGAGGGGCATTTCTTATCATTGACACGTCAGGTTTTATCCCCCAAAACACCTGCCAAAGTACACACGTATTACCACGGTCATGTCAGGAGGGTTGGCCCTCAAATTGGGTCATATGTAAATAGTCTGCGGCTTCTTGCTTTTAAATTTGTCAGTCTATGAGGGTGAAGCAATAAATGCAACACATATACAATTAAAATAGCCAAATATGCAAAGAAGAAAAATATAAAAAATCGACTATTGGTGAATGACTTGCTGATAAATAAATACCTGCATGCAAAAGCATTACAGGTTTTTTAAAGCCTCATGTAGGCACACTTAAGTCTTATTTTTAGGTCGTACCTGCTTGTCAAAGCTTGTCCTCTTCAAATGTCAATAACTGCAGGAAACAAGTCTGTATAGTCCTTAGACAAGACAATGTGCAGCGCTATTAAGTATAATGCATTAATATTTAATTATTTTGGGTGGATGTATGCTATACTAAGGTAACAAGGTATATATATATATATATTCATATACGTATATACAGTGCCTTGCGAAAGTAATCGGCCCCCTTCAACCTTTCGCCACATTTCAGGCTTCAAACATAAAGATATAAAATTTTAATTTTTTGTCATGAATCAACAACAAGTGGGACACAATCGTAAAGTGGAACAAAATGTATTGGATAATTTAAACTTTTTTAACAAATAAAAAACTGAAAAGTGGGGCGTGCAATATTATTCGGCCCCTTTACTTTCAGTGCAGCAAACTCACTCCAGAAGTTCAGTGAGGATCTTTGAATGATCCAATGTTGTCCTAAATGAGTGATGATGATAAATAGAATGCACCTGTGTGTAATCAAGTCTCCGTATAAATGCACCTGCTCTTTGATAGTCTCAGGGTTCTGTTTAAAGCGCAGAGAGAACCATGAAGACAAAGGAACACACCAGGCAGGTCCGAGATACTGTTGTGGAGAAGTTTAAAGCCGGATTTGGATACAAAAAGATTTCCCAAGCTTTAAACATCTCAAGGAGCACTGTGCAAGCAATTATATTGAAATGGAAGGAGTATCAGACCACTGCAAATCTACCAAGACCCGGCCGTCCCTCCAAACTTTGATCTCAAACAAGGAGAAGACTGATCAGAGATGCAGCCAAGAGGCCCATGATCACTCTGGATGAACTGCAGATAACTACAGCTGTTCTCTCTGCTATCTTTATGTTTGAAGCCTGAAATGTGGCAAAAGGTTCAAGGGGGCCGAATACTTTCGCAAGGCACTGTATATGTAATATATATATATATAACAAGGTAACTCCTTGTTACCATGGCTGCGCATGAACAAGGTGACGTTTCTACCCTTTTCTGCAAACTGCATTTGCAGTTTTTGTGATCCGCATTGTTTTGCAAGATGTTGTTGTACATCTTTGCCATGTTTTTGTGGAGTTCAGCAGATTTTTTACTGCCAAAGCTCTTTGCTAGCAATGAACAGAGGATGTGTTTTTAAAAGTAAACACACAGTTAGCATCTGAGCTAAAGGCTTTTTGAGCAGTATTTAAGACCTACAAATCCAGAGATATCATCTTCTGAAGCGCTGACAGGTCACCGAGGGCCCCACGGTAGCACAGGGCAGCATGGTGGCTGAGTGGATAGCACTCTTGCCTCTCAGCAAGAAGGTCCTGGGTTCGAATCCCGGTTGGACCAAGGTCTTTCGGAGTGGAGTTTGCATGTTCTCCCTGTGTCTGTGTAGGTTTCTTCCGGGTGCTCCGGTTTCCCCTACCACTGGCATGTGCCTCCAGTACTGGCACCCCCACTCCCAAAAAAACCACAATTGTAAAACCGCTTTGAGACTCCGATGTGCAGTGAAAAGGCGGTATATAAATAAAAATTACTTACTACTACTAGTAAGTAATCTTTATCTTACTTACTTACTTAATACCACTACTTACCCACGCATCTGCAGCACAGGAGTCCCGGCCTCCGTTGTGTGCAACTTCTACAGAGGGACTGTAGAGAGCATCCTGACCAGCTCCATCACGGGGTGCCACGGCACCAGCACTGCCTCCTGCCGAAGGAGCCTCCAGCGCATCGTGAGAGCAGCAGAGAAGATCTGTGGAGCCCCTCTCCCCACCATTAAGGACATGTACTCCACCCGTCTCACCCGCAAAGCCGTCAGAATCACCAGGGACCCTACGCACCCATCACACAGGCTCTTCAGGGTAAGAGGAGGAGACTGCAGAATTTACGGAACAGTTCCAGTCGACTTAAAAACAGTTTCATTCACAAGGCCATCAGGAAGCTGAACTCCCACCCCTCTTCTCCCACCCCCCGCTCCACAATCAAGGATGAGAGAAATATAATTTCAAACCATTCACTTGGTTTGACAAATAAAAATCTTGAAATCTTGAAATACTGTTGGGTAGATTGGCAGTAGGTATGTTGCCTTGCTGCACCATCATCAGCTCCATCCCTCCATCTATCACTCACACTCATCATATTCAGATTCAAATCACACATGTTGAATGATGGAAACCAAAGCCGGTGACTAGAGCTTACCGCACATATCCTTTTGCAAGTGTCAAATGACAGTTTTTATTGTAAACTACGTACAATGGTTAAGGCCACTAAATAAAGCTAGAGGAGTATCTGCATATGTCTCAGCAAACATACCATCCTTATCTCCAGGTTTAGTTGAGTGAACTTTAACCACTTTAAAACAGAAAAGTTGTGCTGGGTCAGCTCAGCATGTATGCCACATTCCTTCCCATGCGCTCTGATTTTATACTTGTAATTTAATAAAACCTGATTGTGTTTTGAAAATAAATAAATACATTCTGTCATAATGTTGACATATTTCTAGATGAAAAGCAAATTGTCTATTCAAAAATAAAGGCTTCAAAAAGTCTCTCGAAATACAGTTCCAAGATGGCCGCCAAGATTTCCACAAAGTAGCAATGACCGCGGCTCCTCTGGCTTCAAAATGCCTGGGTCGCGGACGCCCCCTCGGTTAGCTGTGGCTGTCACCGGTGGAGCCATGGCAGGGGAAGAGCTCGGAGATCCCACTGCACTCACACGGGAATGAACAGCGGTCGGGGATGGCGGACAAACCTCTCACGCTGTTTGTGAGATTATGTGCCGCCGGGTTCTACGGACTCAGCTCGTTTCTCATCGTGGTCGTCAACAAAAGCGTCCTCACCAACTACAGGTAGTGATTGCTAATTGTTTATAACTACTGCTGGTTAGCTTGTTAGCTCAGATGTTAGCCGTAAACTTGTATTGGATGAATAGCGGAGGAAAGTGAGTGGAACATGTTAGCAACTTTTAGCCAGCAAGGGAGGCATTAAATCTCATTCAACATTGATGTTAAATGAGATTTTTTTTTTTTTAAATCCACCATCCATCTTGAAAGCTGAGGTGTCTTAACTTTTTTCATAAATAACACGTTTTTCCCTATTAAATACAGAAATCAGACCAAAACATGCTGTCTTGTATAAAATTAAAAAACATGGTATTTTTTTGCAAACTTGAAAGTAGCGTACAACAGTAATAGTGTCAGTGTTTGAAGCTTCAGGCTGAGAGATGGTTGTCTGATTTGAAGGTCTGAAAAAGCTGATCTAAACATGTAAATGGGAGTTATTCTTTCAGTTTTAATTCAATGTTTATTGTCTAATTTGTGCAGATTTCCTTCTTCAATATGCGTTGGAATTGGCCAAGTAAGTAAGCAGGATTAATTTATAAATAAAACCCAAATACAGCTTCTTTCAATGATATGAACTTGTTATCCAGATGCTGGCCACAGTGGTCGTGTTGTGGGTGGGCAAGGCGGCGAGGGTGATTAGCTTCCCTGACTTTGATATGAGCATACCTCGGAAGGTAAGTTGTTTGGAACATACTGTACAATCCCATAACTTTTCTCTTCCAATCGGTCAATAACTGGACACTAACCTTTCTGCAATCTAATAATCTTAATTAAAAATAATTTGTAGACATTCCCTCTACCTCTTCTATTCGTGGGGAATCAAATTACAGGGCTCTTTGGGACCAAAAGATTAAAGTAAGTTTTAATTATGTTTAGACACTGGCTATTAAGAGTTGTTTGCACATTAGTTATAATTTAATCTGTTACAACATCTCTGTTCTCTCTAGCCTTCCCATGTTTACAGTTCTCAGGAGGTTCTCTATTTTATTCACAATGCTGGCGGAAGGCTATCTTTTGAAGTAAGGTTTCACACATGAGCATTAACCTACTTTTTTTCCCCACACGCTCCTACTTTTCATTCTTGCCCATTGTTGTCATTGTCAGGAAGAAGTTCTCCAGACCGGTGCAGTTAACTGTATTCACCATGATCCTTGGGGCATTCATAGCCGCCAGGTATGTCGTCCTAAATCCAGGTGTGCCGCTATAACCATAACAAAAGTTGTAACACTACAAAGCCCTGTGGTATATACTATCATTACACTGTCAGTACATTACACTTGTAAACGGTACGCTGTCAAAAACATGTAATTACTGACATGATGCAAATTACAACTTTCTCCTGTGTTTTCAGTGCTGACCTGACTTTTGACCTACAAGGCTATGTGTATATTCTTCTGAATGATGTCCTCACTGCAGCTAATGGGGCCTACGTGAAGCAAAAACTAGACACCAAGGTGAGTAATGCTTCAGTGTCTCATTGTTCACATTTAGTCTCATTGAAGTGAACTTTAATTGTGACTAATAAAACTGGTCCACTAGTCGCATAAGTCAGTTCACTCCTTTTGAAACAGTTCTGTGATTCCATGAGTATTGTTGCGTTTGCTTCTGAATTGACCCGAGTCCAGTGGAACCACAAGGGTGCATTCATTGTTGTTCTGGTTCAATGTAACTGGACCAATTCTGTTTTGTTCTGTGTTTCAATGTATCCAGTAGTCCGTTTACAGCTTTTCCCCAAGCAAACCTTCATGCAAAATAGATTTGTCTTAACATGATCAAATCAACGCTGCACAATGATTGTATGAATAATTCACTCAGATTAAGTTTATGCAATTGATGCATTTTTATTAAGATTAGTCTTTTCTCAGCCCCTTTTGTTTACATTTCTTTATTTACTGACGGTGTGGTCTGATGTAGATTTGTAGCTGATTGTCTTCTTTGACTCTTATGTTCATGGAATTTACAATTACTGTAGTTTTAATGTTTTTTAAGACGCAATATTATGACTAATATTAGATCTTTAGCAAACAAACAACGCCCATCTATTGAACATAGTCATGCCAAACAGTGCAATAGATGTAGTGTGGTCATACACGTTTTTAGCTGTGGACACTTCAGTATTTGATGAGGATATAAAAGCAACACCACGTATAGTTCTGAGATTGTCCTCTTTGTCATGAGTAGAGCGCTTCATGTTACAGCAGAGGCCTCATTTGCTGTTATGTCTGAGAACACGATCTATAGATAGTAAAAATGGAGACAGTCTGTTTCGTCCTCAAATAAATTCTGTTAAATAATGTTGATAGTCTTTTTTTTCTGGAAATATGCAGTTTCTTTGTGGCACACGCTAATAATAGTTGGATGGTATAATCAAGATGTTCTGAGCAGTGACCCAGCGTGACATCTGAACACTTGCTCCACAAATCGCTGTGAAAGGCTGCGCTGTTGAACCTCCCTGATTTGTCTCTTTGGTTTTTCCGTAGGAGCTGGGCAAATATGGATTACTCTATTACAACGCATTTTTTATGATCCTCCCCACTATTATGCTGGCAGAAGCAACTGGCGACATGCAGAAGGTAAGACGGTACTATAATATAATCTATACATTTTTCTGCTTACTTGTTAATTTTTTGGTTTTGCCTGAAAGGTCTCTTACATTTGACTCAGAATTTATGGATACTCTGTACAGCCAAATATGCGCATGAAGTATCTATTGGCAGTGAAGCAACTTGAACAATTGGGTTTTCCCAGATCCCACTGCAGGTCTGGATGTGTTATACGTTGATGGAAAAACACTATTCAACCACATAAAAACTGGTTGTCATATAATCTTTCAAAAGGTAGTTTGAGTCAACATGCAGTGTAATCTCCTTTACCTTATGCAATATTTAGAACCACACTCCACATCAGGGTTAAATACTTACTACCACAGCCCCTGGTGGCTTTCCTCTCTGGTCTGGGTCCATGTCACTTGTTCATCTCTATGGGAAATCACGTTGCTTAAATGACATTACTTTCACCAATCAATACAAGTTTAATTTTTCATGAATAGTTTTTCATTAACTTTGCTTTAGAATGATACAAAACAAGGTGGAAATAAGCAGTTAATATTCTGTGTTTTTTTTTCTTTTCATCTAAAAAGCATGAACGTGTATGTAGGCCTTGTTCCTTTGTTAGTTGTGACCTAATACATTTCAGTTTCCTCTTGGGGCAAAGGCACACGTGTACAGAGGGGTGTGTCTCATATGAGCTGTGTGAGCCTCAGTCAGACGCTCGGTGAGAAGCACAAAGATGCCATTATGCTCCTCTTTGGGTTATTACTGCGCTCTTCCAACCTCCCTCCACTGAATAAACGTTACAAGAGCACCCAGCTAAAACGGATATAGGAATCATAATATTTCAGAATTAATCACTTTTTGTGTTAAAGAAACATTGTCCTTCAATACGTTTCATTTGCATCTTGCCTTAATCCTCTATAAAACATGTTTTCTCAGAATGCAGAGGTGTTATGAAAGTGTTACAGAAATGATAGAAATCCTTTTCTGCTTTAGTAAGACACGTTTATATAATGTTTTATGAAAGTGAATGTTTTATATAATTTTTTTTTTAACAAATTCTGTTTATGATTTTGCATCTACAACTTAAAAGTTCCATATTATACTTTTCTTCATGTTTCACAGTCAGTCCTACTCACATGTGTGATAATAATTGGAGTGATACACCATACAACACTCAACTTGTGAGATTAGAGCCATCTCTTGTACGGAGGTGACGTCACCTCGACTTAAACGAGCTGATTCAGAGAAGAGTCTGCTCCTCTGTCTGTGAGCCCGCCTCCCTTCGCCCGCATGGTGACGTAGCATCACGATCTGAGTTGTTTATCTCTGGTACATAGTCATTTCAGACCTGAGAGAACTTTTTCCAACAATGACAATCCGTAACATTGAGCCCTATGTCCTCGATGCACGATTAGACCCTAATTATTTAGTTTACAGATGTATACGGCGAGTTAGCGTCACTGTACCCACAGATCTGGGGTCCATGTTATGTCTTTTATTGTGGGAATAACACTGGTTTCCAGATCAGTCCAGTTCCATTGTCCCTTTTGTTCTGGAACAGTCTCAGTGAAGTGCCTCTGTTCATTCAAACAGAGGCAGATCCACGTGAAAAAGGTCAAGCCGCTTTCTTCCTCTTCGGGCCAAATAGCGCGTCACATATTTACACCCAAAACACATTTTCTCCAAATTGACGTGATCAAATTTTGCTGACAAAAGCAGAATAACAGTAGCTCCATGTGGTGTCTGCGGGACCAAACCACAGACATACACTGGACTCGGGAGCTGGCTGCACGCTGTGATTTGCTTTTAGTGTTATTATTATTATTATTATTATTATTTTTGACAACAAACAGCATATTTATTGTGTATCGTTTTCCCCTGTTTTGACGACGGTATTTAAAACCATTTTAAATACAAAGCTAACAGGCTTATGCGCGTCATATTTGTCATCAGTGTGGTAATCGTCACAGATGTGGACCCGAGCGTTTCACTGCCTCTCGAGGGTGAAGGAGACAGATCGCTCTCTAACTAAAGATTGACAGAATCAATGGAAAAACTACTCTGGGCATGTGTATGAAGGCCAAATAGCACTGTACTCATGTTTAAAGCAGAAAAAAGTAAAAAAGCATAATATTTGACTATAACTTTACCTATATGTACAGCCACTTATTTTTATGGTAGAAGCAATATGTAAGAAGTTAATGTAGTCATATGGCCCTAATCTGTCAAAAGGTATCAATAAATCATGCTCTTTTCGAATACTTAAACTGATTACAGTAGTTCAGCTGTGTCATAGAGAGAGCAGTACCACTTTTGGCCAAGTTTTATTTTTACAGACTGCTCTTTTTAAAATGTAACGACAACAGTCAACTTTCTAAACTTGATTGTGGATTTAAATACCACACTGTTACACTATCAGTCTGTAACTGTAATGTCAAAATTGTCCCGGCAAAATTTTTATTTCAGATATACAAAAATAAATTCAAAAACCTTATGGTTCTCCTCTCTTTTTAAGTTACTAGGCTCCACCTGCTGTCCATATCTGAGAAAGCACTGGGCCTAAACATGTTTTCATTGTTCTCGTAGGCAGTGGAGTATGAAGGCTGGTCAGATGCACTGTTCCTCTCACAGTTCGTCCTGTCCTGCGTCATGGGGTAAGTCCCTCTTTTGCTGCAATGTAAAAGAAATTGTAATGCAATGTTTGTCTTTTATTACATTGTTGTTTTGCAGATTTGTCCTAATGTACTCTACCGTGCTCTGTACTCAATACAACTCTGCACTGACAACTACAATAGTTGGCTGTATCAAAGTAAAAAGAAACATTTCTCAAAGTTGAACATATACAGAAACAAGGGCTTTAAGGACTTGACTTGTGCGTTTTCCAGAATGTGCTGGTGACTTACATCGGAATGGTGTTCAGCGGAGACTACATCTTCTCATGGACGAACTTCATCGGCTTAAACATCAGGTATGTACAGTTGTGCTTGGACGTCTACTTTTTTATTTTTATTTTTTATGTGAATTATAATGACAACTGGAGGTGTGCCAAAATATAGCAGTTTTGCCACACAATCGATTATCAATGTTAATTTCAGTCTATGTTAATTAACCTTTTATCGGGTCCAACTTAAAGGTGTATTTGAGGACTCTCTGGTCTTGTGTGACGAGAACGAATCACCAGAATGATTGACAATAAGGCGGATCAATTGTCTTGGTGATCCACCCGGAAGTAGAAAATCATCCTATACCTTTTAAAGTCAATACCTAAAGAAGTTTTTCAACTCCGTATGAGCTGCCATGGCATGTTGTACCTCATTTAAACCTAATTTATTCTCTCAGGAAAACCACCACTGATTTATTTTACTCTAAAGATCAATCCTGAAAGGCAATTGGTAATAATGCTATATAAAATGAAAAAATCTGTAAATCAGTCAACCGTGCCCAGCATCCAGTTCTGTTTTAGTGCAATCATCAGAAATATTATATCCAGACCCGTATTCTGTAAAAGTAATTATTTATTCACTATTTACCTCAATGATAAACAAGAAAACAACCAAAGAACATGTTTGTTAACTGCACATGTAAACTGAAACTACTACTTTGACAATACTTTGACGAACGATGAGTGAAAATAAGTCTTTCATCATTGTCCGACATTACTACCCGATTGTGTAAACTCCACCAAACATGTTGTCAAAGTTACAAAAGTTAAGTCTAAATTGTGTTGCTGTTGTGTGTTCAGTATTGCAGGCAGCCTCGTCTACTCCTACATCACTCTCACAGAGGATCAAACGAACAAGGCAAACGAGAACAACAAACTGGACATCAAAGGCAAGGTCATTGTTTGACTGAGACACTGGATCGAGATTATATTTTAGGAAAAGGACACCTCTATTTTAGTACTTATTTATATTTGGTACAATGTTGAAGCATTTTACTGAAATCATGTTGAAAAGCTTGGTTTCTGTCTGAAGCTGCCATAGAGAGAAAAAACTCCCACATAGGTTTGGGAAAGTTATAGTTTGAGAGGTTACATGTTTCTTTAGTGATGGTACTGTGAGAACGGGAGGAAGGTACTTGGATATTTGTTGGCAAAAACTTGGCAAATAAAGGCAAATGTGAATAAGGAATATTATGGAAAAGATGGTGAAGGAATCTTAACATCGTCTAGTATTTGGAATTTAATATAGAAATGAGTGCATCGGAAAGCAGGTTTTTACATCAGATGCTCTCTGTGAAAGAGCACTTTTTAAACTGGGTTTTGGATTGATGCAAACGATATGGGTACTTGTGATGCCTTATGGCTACTATCACTAGCAACTTCATAATATATCACTTGCCATTTCCCTGTTTAACTCTACCATTTCAATGTCTTTTTCCACAATATTCTAAAGTGTGCCTTTGCAAGATGCCAAAGGGACTGGAACTAGGGCACTATTCAGTGAATGTAACTCGGAATGCCTTTTCAAGCACAAACATGGATCTACTACTTTCTGCTGGTCTTTCTCTTTTTTTGTATTAGGTTGGTACAAGTGGCAGTGTGGTTTCAATGGTGTTACACATTTCAACTACATTTTAATATTTTACTTTTTTTGTTCATATTCTTGCCCCCACAAGTGTCCAATCATTTTAACAGGGATGGTTTGGCCTTTCCCAATTTTGTGGTTTTATTTTATGTGTAACTTCATCGTTTACATATCAGTCCCTCAGTATTACTGAATGTTTCAGAGACTAAAATGGTTGTAGCTGGTTTTCTATGCACAAAAAGACATTGTTTTTGTATGTGGAAACCTTTTCACTTTATCGCACTTTGAACTGGTGTTGCATTCACATATTGTTACACTGAAAAGTATGAGGTTACTGTGCTTTACTGTTCATTTGTATTTTTAAACTTTTAACAGTCAGGTACAAAGGATGACTTTATAAATGTTGTATTTATTATGTTGAGATATAGCGTCTTGTTTCAAAACTCAAACATCTTGTTTTTGAATTTTTGTGAAGTAGATCAATTTGAAAGTGTTTTGTATTAAGATTTTTTCATTAAACATTTTAATACACTTGCTTTTATTTCTTTTGTTTTATGGACATGTCAAAAGATGACTTTTGGTGGAGGATGATTCTTATGAATAAAAATGTCAGTACTTGTTAAAAGTAAACTTGCCGTGGGACAGACGCACAAGACCGGTTTCACTTTTAAAGCTGCATCACGTAACTTTTCATATGTGGCTCAGTACCTGTGTGTTGCCACGCTGATTAATTGCTTTGTTAGTATGATGCATGTACAATTGTTTTGACTGCTCAAACCTGAATTATATCAGGTTTATTTGACTCTCGCAAAAAGAATGGAACATTTTAGCCTTCGGACTCTAATCTGCTGTCTAATAACGTCTATTATGGATTCATTAGATGAAAATGCTTGAATCAATGAAACCAAGGCCTTGACGCCTAAAGACGAGCAGTTTGATATTTTCAATTTAATTACAAACTTTAAACCCATCACCACACTTCCTGATGACCAGACTTAAGTGACATCTACCATTTGCAGCATTTCTCTAGCTGAATCTGCCAACAGTCAAGTCCAATTGTACCATGTATAATAGCACCATCTTTCAACCCCTGAACACACACGTTTACAGTTCCACATGGATTTAAGAATATCAAACATACATTTAAATAAACTTGATAAACTTAGTATTAAATGTAGTTTGTAACATTTAAATCACATTTGATGATCACTGATCACTGATAATAGCACAATTTGCATTTGAGTCAAACTAAAAATGTAGCTGGACTTAACTGTCTGGCAGTAGATTGCATTGATTGTGACAAACACATTGTGCATTCAGGCTCAATCACAGTAACTATGAAACTTGTAGTCACTCATGTAGTGGCTGAAAATAAAACATTTGTTCGATAAAGAACCCATACACTAATAGCAATGATAATATTCCGACCAAGGACACAGAAAAGTGTATGGTTCTGGTTATTCACACAATGCTTTCCCTTTTTAAGCTCATTGCATTTAAAACGTTAAAGGTCATTCTGCATCCATTATGAATATGTGCGGAGGATATGAATGTCTTCCCTCACACCCTGGGGGGGTGTGAGGGAAAATACAAAAGTGAATCTTTTTGTTCAATAGCAGTAGAGATTAAGTTAAGTAGTATCTTTATGAAGGTTGCAGTTTTGCCAGTTCCAACACTGGGCGCTCCAGACAAACCAGAAGAGCAAGCGAGCTGTAAGAATCAATGCCCCTTCACTTTCTGTGCACAAATAGAATAAAAAATGTGCAGTGCATAGTCTTACAAAAAAGTTATCTAAATTATGACTTTCTTTTGGCCTCTTACTTGCCCTATGTGAATTTTTAAAACAAGTTTAAAGCTATGGCAGCGACTGGGTGAAAGGTGACGTGTGACTCATGATGCAGGAACTAATTGGGCTCCTGCTGAGCTAATGACAAAAAACAGGATCCACTGAAACCTCAGTTAAAAAGAAACACACAAATAATTTCCTATACAACAAAGGTAAAACCTACCTTTACAACATAGGCAGTGTTTTAAATATATAACTTAAAACTTGAATAAAACAATAGTCCAACAAACAAGGCTGACTAGAGTGCAACCAGGTTCTCTGCCATGTAGCACAGAGAGTAGAAGTTGCAGCCGACGCAGCACAGGTTGCACAGTGAGGACAGAAGTCTGTAGAGCCACAAGCGACTGCTCAGGTGCTTGTATTTCACATCTGTTTCACACAGTTTGGCGTAGGCTTCGCGGTTCGACGACAATCCAATGTCCTGACCCAACCCACAGGACTGCTCGATGAGATGCATGTCAGCCATAATCTCTGAAGTCATTTGCCCAAACCACTGCGCATTAATGGCTGCTACCGTCACAGAGATAAAGAAGATGAAGATCTATTGTAGAAACAGGTAAAGAGTAAGATATGTACATTTCTAAGTGCATTATGACAAAATGATTTGAGTCACCTGGAAAGATTCCCTTTCGTCCAGTAAATCACTGGGGTGGTACACTGCATAAATAGTGAGGTTGAAGAAGGCACATGCAGACCCCAGGTGTAGATAAAAGGGAACCAGACGACTCTGAATAAATCCAAATGTGTGTCTATTCAAGTGGCTGTCCATAACAAAACCTGTGTCCAAAAAAATATTATTACATCCTCAGTTGTGTATTACTATTTAACGAATACTTTGTGCATTTAAGTAATTAAGTAAAGTTAAGTAAAGTACAGTACAGTAAGCACTTAAAGATAATCACCTTTTTTGGATAGGATTATAGGATTTTCTAATTGTTATGCCCATCCTTTAATGATACATTGACTAGACTAGATCAAAGGTTTCATCCAGATAGCTACTTGACTTGAGCAGCAGTTTTCCCCAGCACTTTTTTGACTACTTTTACTAGGAAATTTCCCACCTCTAATAAAAGTACTCACTGGACACAAAGGTGACCCATATCTGCATGCCCCAGTAAGTGGACAGCAGAAGCAGCTGCACTAGTTTGACAGTGAAGGTGGGCTCCTGGTCAGTGGTCATCTTCAGGTCTCTGCAGGATGTTCAACCTGCCTAAACAAGACATAGATGCGGAAGTTAAAAACACACGTGTAAAACAGACAGGTATACTGCGTTTATTCTGGTGCTACTGAACCTGGAGGCTATAGGCAACGTTAAAGACGCCACGTGGGGAAAGAAAATGATGATTTGGCAACAGAACAGCTGTCCTATAAAGTTTGGGATGAAAACATGGGTTCGGACCATAGACAGTGATCCCAAACTGTCAGTCCGCACAGTATATGGTCAGTCCGCACTAAGTCACCTCTAACAAAATGAACAAAATGAGTGTAGAATCAAAATAAACTCGTGACATGGTAGATTCCAGATACATAAACAAAACCCAAATAACCAAGAAACCAAGACGCGTATTATAATTAGCACAGTCGCTTTTTAAAGTTCGTTGCTAAAGTTTAGTTAGCACTTTGCTGTAGAGACACTTAGCAACGCAGTGCTAAAAAGCAATATTGTTGTTTTATGTTTATTACAACAGCACACATGCATGTCCTAGTCAATGTGCACTTACCTCAGTGTTTGGAGATGATAGTCACCGCAGTAAACGAAGTTACAAATCTGGTTTAATGTTTGAGAAGTGGGCGGGGCACAGCAGAGCACTTCCGTAGGGCTCGTGCGGCTGACCCATGTCCCATATACGGACATCGCCATGGTAACATTTAGTATAACAGAATCTATATCGATGGTTAACATATGTTGACATACACGTCCAGTTTCAGAATCAATAATGTAATGTTTTTTTAAAGTAATTTTTAACATGATTTCCGAATGATACATTACAGTATATTGTATTTATTGTTTATAGAACACGATATACTTCTCCCCACTCCCTTTCAAGCATCCGTGTGTGGGTTATTGTTTGTTTTTATTTTTCTCGGAACACTATTTTCTTGAGATAAATGATTTAAAAAAGTCAAATCCTGGCTTTAAAGTTGGGTTACCTAACTTTCAATCCACAAACATCTAAATATGTATCAAATCCATCATTCTAGTTCCTCGCTCTCAAAATAATTTGGCTATCACTAGTTTTCACATGTTTCTTTGGCCCCTGTAAAAGAGACAGGAAAGAGAAAAACATGAAGACTTGGCCAATCAGCGCTCAGTCCAAAGCTTTAAAAGACTCACAGGGCTCTTTCTCACCAGTATATTTTAAAGATACATGTTTTCTCAGATGAAGACAGCATGTTGTGGTCTATTTTGTTCACAGTAGTAGATTTTACCTGACACTTTCTGTTGAGACAGAGACATATCATTTAAGAGAGAATGAGAGAGATAATATAAAGTCAAGTTACCCCTGTTCTAATTTTCTCTCAATTACTACAATCTCACTTGATCTAAATAGCAAGATTTATCTAAATTCCCAATTTTCCATCAAAAAATGCAAACAAAAATAAGTATAAACTATATCTCTGCATTTAAGTTTCATGTTAAATGAAAGTTAACATGGGGACTATTTCTCATTTAAAAGTTATACTTTGTTTTGATTTGTTAACAGTTCCCTATATTTCTTCACTCCCATGGATTGACAAAATATTTCCATGTCCCGATGTAGCCCATTCTATGACATACAAAGGCTACTACAATGTTATAAATATCGGTTACCCTACAGCCTGGATACCCTCAGCTAATAAACAATCGTCTGCCTTGAAGGTGAAGACACACAGGCATAAACACTTGTATGAATAGATTTTATTGTATATGTTTCTATCATTATCGTTTATGCTTTACCAAAAGTGTTTTTTGGATACAGACATAGAAAAATAGTTTTGCTTTATAAAACATATTAACTATAGTTTGATTTATTGGTAGATTTATGAGAAAATAAATAGACTTTTGTTTATGTATTGCTGTAGTAAAAAAGATTTCCCAAAATATTTAGCCCTTGCCTTTTAGTTAGAAATGTCTCTATTCAGTAATTTACATACAGTAATCGTCTTATAACATTTCTGTAATATGACCTAGAGGGCAGCAAAGAACAGTGGCTTGAATGCTATAGGAATTCACATTGATAAGGCAACCCATGAACTCTGTGTGTCTGAGGTTAATGTCGAGCAGTTTTGCAGATTTTGTCGAAAACTTCCGGAAAAGCATCTTTACAGCCGAGCTCTTCTCTAAGCCGATGATACAACTGTCCATCAAACATCTGCCAGAACTCATCACGGTCCATGTACACGTCTGCATACAGCATCTGGAACCTGAACGAGGAGAAAAACATTATATTTTCTTTTATTGTCACGCTGTTAAGAGGCTACAAGAGGATGTGTCAAACTTTAAAAGGGACCTAATCTTATCTTGTTGGTATATTGTGGTCTTTATTGTGTTAAATAAAACTCATTTTGACAGATAGTTTCACCCTTAGCGGTTTCTATCAATAATTATCATGCAAAAATAAATTTGCGGAAAAATTGCAGAGACCGGAAGTGACGTACACATAGGGGTCATTGGACTTTGTTGATATGCATTTGTAAGCCATAACGTTGTATACGGACGTTTTAAAAAGATATTTGTTATTCAGTGATGGACAATACAAGTCAGGGGTTTTTATTTATGAGCCCTTGTGTACTTGTTATGACAGTAATTCTGATTTTGAGGACTCTGACTCAGTTCAGATGAGGAGCAATCTGCAAGAACTCAACATTTACGAACATTTCTGTTTCCACGGGCTGGAGTCATGGATCTATGGTCCGACCGGGTCCGACCCATCTCAACCCGGTTTGTGGATGCGGTCAGTTTGAGCTCGATGGTGCCACCCGAGTGTTTGAGAGAAATGCAGCCTCGCGGAAATTCATCTCTGGAAGACTGACGGCTAAAGCCACCCCTTCCAGGCCGGCCTCGCATCCTCAGCCTATCGCACAGAAAACGCCAATTTCCAACCAACCTATGCAGGTCAAGCCAGCAACTTCAAAGTGGAGAAACTCCCACTTTACGGCCTTCTCGAAGCCTTGCAAACCGCCGCCTCCCCTCCACCTCCTTTTCTCACCCTGCCTCAAGCATGCCTCTTTCCTGCTGCCCGAATGCCACCACCAGTGCCTAGGTCCCGGGGGATTGTCGCCAAACCACCTTTCAATAAAAACATTCAAAATGCATTTTGTCTTCTGAAGTCTCTCCAGATTGAAATGCTGAGTGTCTTCAATCAAATGCAAACATATATGGTCTTATACAGAACGTGTGTCTGTGGTTCTAAAGTCTTATACCCCGCTCCCATCTCTGTGTAGAGTGAGAGGACAAGTGCCCAAAAAATAACTATTGTAAACCGCTTTGTGACTCTGGTCTGTGAAAGGCGGTATATAAATAAAGCTTACTTACTTACTTATACTAAACATGTGTCTATGGTTCTAAAGTCTAAAACATGATGGTATGTGTCATATCTATATCTTTTACTAAACGTAGTTCGAGTGAAACATGGATTCATGGTTCAATGACAGTTGTTGTGTTTTCTGCTGAATACTGGGTTGAAACTCGTAAAATTGGTTTTAGTTGGAGCTTGATAGAATTAAGTTCATGGAACTGGCGCTGGTGTCTTCTCTCAGTTTGTTTGGACCGTGGCCTTCTCTGAATAAGTCAAAGATCGTAGGGACTGCTGTTTACACTCTTCTTTTGGTAACTTTCATTGCTGCATCCCGGGGCCATACAAAATACACCCATTTTAAGGTTTATTTGTGTCAAAGCGGCAGCAGGAGCAATGCCATAAACAGTGAGGCGGGAGCTGCGACCCCTACAAGTACGTCATCATTTTTCTGGCCAATCAGAGGCGTTGATATTAAAAAGTTATTTTACTGATTTATTACTTATCTATAACACAAAAACACATTGCAAAGGTGGGAAATACATGTTTTTAATGTGTTTTATTAGATTTTTTTTTCTTAAAGAGGAAATCCCCCTTTTAAGATCCTGTTTAACTTATGACTGCACCATTGAAAGTTTGCTTTTAGGTTCAGTGACTGTGATTCGGCAAAACATTACAGAGAGAGGAGAGCTCTATACAAGGTGCTCCGCTCTTCAAAGAGGACTGTGAGCTGTGTGTTCTGGAGGTTCTTATTAAATCCAAACTCTTTACCAATTATTATTATTACTGCATTATCCATCCATCGGATACTTCTGCCATTTACCAGTCACTTTACCTGTTGATATTATTACTGATGTTTATTCTGCTCATATTCTCCGCTGCTAAAGAACAATATACACATCTGTAAATACTTCTGAACCAAGTGTAATTACAGCTCCAAAGTTTATTTTATTTTATTGTAGTCTATTTTACCATCTTGTTATCTTATCAAACTGTTAATTATATTGCCTATTATCTTAAATAATAGACTTGATTTTTTGTGTGCAACCTGAGTGCTCTTATTTCCTTCTTTCTCTGCTGTGACGTGCGCAACGATGACACTGAAATTTCTCCACTGTGAGACGAATAAAGGAATATCTTATCTTTTCTTATACCAAGCTCTTAAAATAATCAATGACTCTTCTGGCCCCTCTTGGAAAAGCCCTGATCCAGCTTCTTTCCTGGTAGAATATATTGTTTGTTGAATTTCAGGACATCTCGCTTTGATAGCAGCTTCTTTCCACAAGCAGTTATCAATTTAACAGAGCACTTTAATGATCTTGCACTTGTATAGAAACTGTTTTTGTTGATAGATTTCATAATGTCAATTGTTTCCTGTACTTTTAATTATTTTATTTTTATTTATGTACATATCTGTTGCATATATCTGGTGCACATTGGGGAGTTTCGCCAATGTATTCCAATGTGGTTTTACTGCAAATGGCAAATATAATGTCTGTTCTAAATTGAACCTAGAGTCTGTTATAGAGTTGAATTGAATTGATCATGAATCGGAATCATGTTACAAAATGTACCACTCACCCATTCACATCTCTGACAAACTTCTCCAGCTGTCGTGTCGTGGCTTTGGCTTCAAATTGTTTCACTCTTGGTTCTCCATAAGCTCCGATGTCCACATACAGCTCCTCCTCCTGACCTTTAGGGTGGACCATCCCTCGACCCGGCGGCAAAGTAAAGGGGCACAGCCACAGTGGATAAACCTGACATGTTATGAAAGAACAAATATTATGCTTTATCGGTGTTGATTTTGGTCTTTTCAGATAACCGTGAGAATATTCAATTTGATATTTCATGTTTTAGAATATGTTTAAAACAATGAGAATACATTAATGCACAGAGAATGGGCTGTGTGCAACGATGTGGGCTTAAACATGGTGGATTGTGAATATGTGGACTGTGCAGGAATGCGAGCTATGTTGTGATGTATGTTTTTGTTATTGTGATCTTAACCCCATGGAACCACAGCAGGGAATTAATGTTTTTAATATGTCTGTTCAGTGACATGCACATTGACAAATACATGAATAAATAAGAGATGGTCAGTATAAGAAAAAACACTCCCATCTAGTGGTAGAAAAAGTGAACTACAATTTTCAGCTACTATAGTATATTTTAAAAAGACAATAAATAGCTGTTAAATTGAATGATTTGAGGAACAAAATAATCAACTCCAGGGCAGACCACAATATGCTGTAATTATATTATTAGAAAACATACACACAACTCTAAGAAAGAACCCTGTGAGTCACTAATTGACTATTTGGGTGGTTCTCTCTTTTTCACTTTTCTGTCAAAGAAAAGTAACCTGAAGATGTGACACAGGTCAAAATACATGCATGTGGAAACTATTCATGTTTTGACAGACAGTGACAACATGTTTTTGTGTTGATAAAGGCTTTTAAAGATTTTTGCAACTTTTGAGTGCCAACATTTTCAATACGTTTTACTTCCCCCCAGTTCCTTTCAAGCATCAGTGTGTACGTTTTATAAGTTTTTGAATTGTTTTATCTGTTTTTTTGTGTTCAGAGAACACAATTTGCTTTAGATAAATAAATGCAAAAATAAGTAAAAGATAATAAATAAATGAATAAATAAGGAATAAATAAATAAATACATACATACATAAATACATTACATAATAAATAAATAAATAATAAGAACTAACATTGATTTCCTGGTGGAAGCAGGTGATGGCGCGGTGCAGATCCTTCATGGGCACGAGCATGTCCTGAACCACGTGGTGTTGTTCGTAAAGCTGACGAATCGTTTCCCCCTGAGTCAACTTCAGCAGCGAGATCTTTGGAGGGACCATCCACCCGAACACCCACCGGAACACAGGGTTGTTGCCAAAAGGAATAATATCCTTCAAAACACGACATGGATTTAGTTTCAACTTCATTATAATGAGTTGCATTCAAAATCTCTGTTTCAGTTTATCGCAAATCAACATGAATTATGAGTTTAACGTATTATTTCTTAATGCAGAGAAATATGTTATAGTTACCACTTTAGTAATTATCACAAGTGGTTGTGAGCATTTGTCCACCAGAGGGCCCCACTAACAAGGGTCCGTCAATAGATAGCGTGGAGATACAAGTCTATTTTTAATTAGACTCTTTGTAGATTAGCACTTTAGAAACCATCTCAAACCTAAAGGAAGTTATCAAACCAGCACTGTGCATAATTCATCAGGGCATTTTCTCAAGCAGAGGACGTCAGGCTCTTATCACTAATGGCTCATGGGGCGTTCACTTGGATCACTCTTTAAGCAAACCATGTGTTCAACAGAATTGAAACCTTACAGGGAAGGTTAAAAGGCAATCGCAGACAAAAAAAATATATTTCTGCCCATATTTGAATCATTGGATCACTGTATCCAGGGAACAAACCAATACATGTATTGGTATTCTATTTATTATTTTTGAAATGCCTGTCGTGGCTGTGACAAACCTGTATCTCCCAGAAGAGGCTGCGTGTGTGTCTGTGGTAGTAGTGTCTCAGTGGGATGTACTCTTCCTTGGGACCATGGCTCAGGAATCCCTCCACGTGTTTGAAGAACCAGGGTTTGAAGTGAAGCCCGATTCTGTTGATCTGATTTTCGACACAAGTAATATGAAATAACAATATAAATCTTGTATGCTATTGGTAAGATATTAATGATTTCAATAATGTGATCACAAAAGTGTGAAAGCAAATCAAAAAAGTAATGCAGCTTGATGGTAAAAGTAGTAAAAGTAAAAGAGGACTGACCTTATCTGGCTCTGCGTGGTCTGTCATGGTCCCGGTCATGATCACAGCAGAGTCCAGCGAGTACTGGAGGCCCTCCACAAATGTGTTCTGTTTGTTTTCAGATGCTGCTGTGAAGCGTTTGCAGATGTTTTCCAGGCCACTCACTGGCTCGTAGCGCAGCTTCACCCATGGTTTAGCAGGAACTATTTTGATTTCAGCTGCAACCAGGAACCCCAGTGTTCCACAAGACCAAGGCACAGCATGGAAGAGGTCTGGATTCTCCTCCTGCGGATATGGAGATTTAGATTTGAGGAATTATCTTTTTCATCATCTATTTGTATTATCTATTATATGCCCAAATTACATGGGCTTTTTCAAACATTCGTTAGCCTGCTACGCTATGGACCAATGACTCCCATGTATTTATTTTACTAACCCTAACTCTTTCCTGTTTTCCATATGTTTAATTATATAATCTGCTGTTGGCAAACTGACGATTTTGTAGTCTTTTGTAACAACTGCTGGTGTGATATTTGTATAGTATTTTTATGTATTTCACATTAATAAATGTAGTATATATGTTTCATAAGCAAAGACAAATATGGGAGGTGTAGGATTATATAAGTGTATAAACATAGAGATAAAACAGATGTTACTGGAAGAAGGGCATAGTATGGAAATCAAATGATCAAAAAAATGAGGAATATTAGGAAATGATAAGGATTAGACAAGGAAGATCATTCAATGTAAAAAAGGAAGTCCCGTGCGATGATGACAAGAGAACAATTGGGTTCCTAAGATAAAAGCCTGCACAAGGTCTGCTTCACCACCAAACCCACGCATTAGTAACCTCGTAGCACTAAGCGCTCTCATTTTGGAAGCCTTTTCTTATTAGCATCAGTTACAGAACATTTCACAGACCACAGTGCACTCAGAGCCAGTGTTTACCTCAGTGCAGCGCACCAAACTGCCATCAGCCAACACCAGCTCATAGGCCACGCAGATGTGTTGGAACAGCCCATAGATGTGAGAGGACGACTCGATGCCTGTGCCCATCACCAGCCCACCTAACACACAACGACAACACTTACCATTTTACCATTTTACATGCAGAACAAGCTTGATCTCAGTCACAACCAGACAACATGTAAACAACAAGACCATACATGTAGGTAACTTTTTAAAGACAGTACTTATAGCTACATACGTAAGCTAAAACATTGGCATTATCCACTGTTTTTGATTACATGTAGGGGCATATGGGGGCCTGCAAAATAAGTAGCAGTAGTTTAACAGCTAGATTTAAAAATATACCCTATAGCGCAAACATAATAGGGTGGTGTAAAGTCTGGATGGGCAATTATTCACCGATATTTGTCATCCTCGGGGATAATGGTAATATAGACCTTGATCCAAACATTTCCACAATCTTCTAACTTTTACATAAATTCTCTGTATTCCAGGTCAATCACTATTTGATACAACCTTAAGGGAGTATAATCTGCCATTGACACGTGTGCTATACCTGTGTGAAATCTAAAATGAATCCAGCCTGCCCCTGATGGGAAAACATGAGATTGTTTGTTCTGTGTTTATGAAATTAGAAAACCCATTATGAAACCTGATCCACAGGGGATCCAAATGTGGCGGCCATTTCCTCCCAGATTCATCTTTTGAGCTACGGCGTCAATCTCCTAACACAATTATAGACATCACTGAAGGTCCACACAGGATACAGCGACGAGAGGAGGAAATGCCTAATCTGTCTGCATCAAAACAGCAAATCTATGTTCTAGAGCAGTAGATCAGCCCCTCATTGAGATTCCCTAGAAAATAATTATCCACAGACACTCAGGGGAAGGAGACGTAGTGTTCATTGTTGACAGGTAAACACTAATAATTGCAATAACTATGCACATTATACTCTTCCCATACCTACAGTGAGGTCATCGAGTTCAGGCACCACTGGCAAAGTCCAGCCGATAGAGTTGAGGAGAGCGGACACCTGCCCCATGTTCGCCAGAGGTTCAACTCGCACCACCTATGACAACAAGGACATCTACAGCGTTTAAGACAATAAGCAACATGCTGCCGAATACAGTGGCCTGAAAAAGTATTCATACCTCATGAACCTTTCCACTTGTTGTCATGTCATGAACACAAACATTTTTGAAGTGACGGAAAATAAAAAATATTGAAATACATTATGTACGCTAAACAGCACATCTAATTGCACTACATCAGGCCCACTGTGACATTTTATGTAGCTCTCTGCTGCTAATACATTGTAGCCATTGAGGCTCACAGTGTCATCCAGCCAACTTCAGCTCCACCCATATAGTCATGCTGTACCTCGCTGTAAAGCTCATAACCTTTGGAATCCAGTTGATAACTTGATGTGAACATACTGACATTTGTTTTTGATTGTGTCACAAAATTCCTTATATTCCATCATCATAAAATACAGCTTTGGAAAAATATATAATAATACAGCTTTAATGAACTAGCCTTTACAGCGCTGATATAGATGTGATGTAAATAGTTAAAGTGATAGTCTGTAACTCTAAATGAATTACACATTTTAGGAAATGTGTTAAATTGACCTCCTGGCCTTAAATGTTGATATAAAATAAGTCATTTTATTAATTCTAATATTACGGGCAAGTTCCGCCTTCCCTTCTCTTAGCTATAGCTCAGAATCCACGGTGCCGTTGAGGTTAACCAATCGAGTCATGCCAAGGGCTGTCAATCATTGCGCTGATGCTCGTAGCTGCGCGCATGCTCAGTTGTTTGTTTTCGCGGAGCCTCCGAATCAAGCCTCCCATTTATATACTGAACCTATATCCATAATCAGATCCTCTGCAGATGTGTCCTATAATGTGCAATTCATAATAATAACACTTCCTGGTTTGCCGCGATCGCTTTTTTTGTGCATAAAAACATTATTTTTTTCATTAAAACGTTCACAAATAATTCTGAAAACCTCCGTGCATGTGTATTAATAATGTATATGTATAATGTGTTCTCAGATTAACATTTCAAAGTGTTACGGGAACGTAGGTGTAGACCAATCAGAAAGGAAGGGGGAGGGAGCTTGCGTCGTTTTTTTCAAATCAAGTACCTCTCTGTCTCTCTTTCTGACAAACTGCAGACAATCACTTTAAGAGTACCTTCATTTGTCCCACAGTGGGGAAATTTCAATTTTGCAGTGCACACAAAATATACAATATGAGAAGCTGCTATGTTTCTTAGCAAGCTGTAAATGCATCCACATCACTATATCAATCTATCAATATATCTATCCATCTATCTATCTTCAGTGGACTGAATGTCACTCTGTATTGCAGTTTGCCTTATTGCAGTATTTACAATTACTAATATTTACTATTACTACAGATGAGATGTCACGTACAGGCTCAGCAGCAGGAAGGAAAGACCTCTGCTTCACACAGCGGATTATTGGGGACCTCGACCCCAATTTGAAAGTCCAGAACAGCCCAAAATCATTCCCCTTGAAAAGTCTGGAAAAGTAAATCAACCCTCTTACAAAAAAAAGTCTGGGGCACCCCTACACTTCATCCTCACTAAGTTATAGCCTGCATATGTTATAAGATTGCTCAGTGTTTATAGAGTGTTTATGAAATCTGCCTTTCCCACCTGCCTCTGTGTGTCCACGTCCAGAATGTCCATCATGTTGATCATAATGTTTTTGTGGGTTTTCTTGTACTTTCCCACTCGCAGCGACACCGTGAGCCAGCCAGGACGTCCTGTGCACATGAACTGTTTGCCCCCATCTTTTCTCCATTCACGGACCTGAGAAAGTTAATTTGTCACATAAGTGCATTCTCAATCAATCAATCTGGTATCTGTGTTTTATGATGAGATACCATTAACTATTCTTCACAAGTGAGATCCGCAAAGTCCTCTCTTATCAGTGTGCTTCAGGTTATCTCTATTGCTGTCTACGTAATAATGACATGTTGAATATATAAACTAAACTGGCTGATGAATGGAAAAAGCAGACTAGCAAACGTGCGTGTGTCTTATAACTGTGTTGTGACTGTATGGATCAGCAGAACCTTAAAGTACCATGCCAGTCCGGTAGAATTTGACTTATGATTTCAAAAACAAGACTGCATTGCACACTCAAAAATATATGTCCATAATATTATTTTTTGGATGACACTTGATTTTCCGTTTTAGACTAAAATGTTTGCAATTTAAGAAATAATTCTATATAATATTTTTGTTTGTTTTTAATCAGTATTATACCATTAATATTATACTCCTTCCTAAATTATAAGAGGTTATCTGTCTGTTACCATAACTGTAAATATAGGGTTAAATGTCAAAAGGCTCAGAAGGTTCTTTTAAACTCAATGTCTAGCTATAATCTGTTGCGGTGTACTGTCCCTCTCAAAGTAAGACTAAACTAAGATTAATAAATCAAAGAGTGGAGAGAAGCTAGTACTGCTTAACTACCTGAATAAAAAAGAAACTTCTACATAGGGTTCTTCCAAATCGTTACAATATTCTGACTCTACATTTTGTGATACATTTTTATGGCACTACTCCAGAAAATGTAGCCTCTGTGCAGGTCAGGGTTTAGAATTTATATAATCAAACAAAAGTGAAGTGAAGTGAGAGCTGATTGGCTGAAGGTGGTCCTCTCTTTTTTTCACTTTTCTTTCTGACAAATATGTGACAGAGGCCAACAATGCATGCTAGTGATAAAGTAGTAATAGCGATAAATGTATATTATTAACATAGTTCCATTTGTGGGGGTTTGAAAATTAGGTAACCCAGCTTTAGGTCCATTGCGCAACTTTGAACCTCAGTATGGAAAAAAACGTGTACATTATTTAGTCTTAGATGTATGTGTTGCTTAAATACCTGCCTTCCTCACATTGAGTCTGCTCTCCTCTCTGCATGTTTACCTTATAATTGTGAAGTAGTGAAGCCTATAGTGAAGAAACATGCTTTTTTCTATTATAGAACATTCCAGGCAAAAAAATGTATAAAAAAACAGCATTTAGATAGACGGACCCCCACCAGGAAAGTTGAATAATGCACCTTGGTACATACACACCACATACAGAAACCCCCCCTCCCTCTCTCTCTCTCTCTCTCTCTCTCACACACACACACACAGGTAGGATCTCACTTACCTGTCGCTGAATGTCTCTCACACGTTGGTCGTGGAGTTTTGGCGCAGAACACATCTTGAATATGATCCATGCACGCACATAATAATAAACGTCAAATATAACAGAAAGTGGCAGGAGGAACAGACACACAAAAATCCAACGCTGGTGCACGATTACATACTCTACTCCTTTGACTTTGATCCACACAAGAAACAGGACGATCAAACTTCCAACATACAGGAGCGAATCCATTTCAGAAAGCGTGTTAGTGTATTAAGTCCTAAAAAGCATCAGATTTAGCAGTAAAACCTAGTTCAGTGGCTTCTCTATCGATTATTACAGATGCCAACGCTGCTATGCGCGCACAGAAGTCATCGGTCACTTCATTCCGCCTCTCCTGCTGCTGATTGGTTGGTTTAGCAGATGGGCGGGACCACGAGGAAATCTAGCGGAATGATTGGTTCAACATGTGGACGTCGGCGCTTCTGCTGAAATAGCCTCAATGAACTCGAACCAATAGGAAGCAGCCCCAGCGTCACACCATGGGCTACTGTAGCAGCTGCTCAAGACAGTGAGGGAGGGAATGTTGCGATTTTAACAAGTAATTCTTTGAGATGTGTCTATAATCGAAAGTATAGCGTGAAATTATTGATGTAATACACTAGCGAATTAGCATATGTCAAATCTCTATTGACAACTTTCGAATGTGCCGTTGTGAAATAGATACTATCAAACTATATATTATGCATGGATGCCCTTTCTGTTCAAGTATCAGAACGAGTGAAGCATTCTGTATCAAGTGCTGCAGTTTTGTTTACTCACGTTAATGCAGCCCATGTATACACTTTATATATGCAAAAAGAATTGTGTATATCACATGTGTCCCAATAGTTTTGTTCATCCCGTTGTATAATGTCTTTTGCACGGACTAAACTTATTACAAACCTTCTCTGGACCCATGTTACTCTGATTTTGGCCCTTCTCATGTGCAGCTTTCGCGCACACAGGGCTAAAGTGGTCCCCTTCAGTTCAGACACATTAGACAGGGAGGGTGGGGCGCCAGTAAAGATTTCTTAATGTGCTCTCCGTCCTCCGACCATCTGCTGATGATAAACACTCAGCTCTTCCGCCTGACTGCTCCCTTTTGACGAGCTTTATTCTCAAATATTTTACTTTTAGACTTTTGGAGACAGTATCTGCAAAATGTGTCTTCGGATTACCAAGGCAGGACTATATAAACGCAGCTCTTTTTATTATAAAGAATTTAGGAATCTTAATCTTATCCTCTTATCCTAACTGGATTGCTACAACTTTTGGAGAGGTGCGTCAAAACACGGATTCGGTTCTCCATGGGACACTAGGCTCCTGACCTGCTCCTCGGGTAAAACATGGCCTCTTTGCACCACGCAGCGATCTTTATTGGAGCGTTTTTGATCGTGACCGGGGGCTCCACAGCGTTCCTGACCTCGTACCAGAGCAGACTGCAGGCCTTCTCTCTGTGCTGCGTGGTGCTGGGGGTCGTCATGCTGATCCTGGGACTCTTCTGGGCCATGAACAGTAAGAGCAGCACAAACTACAACCAGGAGTTTGACCCGGAGTGCCCCCACTACCCCTACAACGACTACCCCAGCATCAGCAGCCATGCGCTCTTCTCTCCTCCCGGCCGCCACTTTGTAGAGTCACAGCCAGCCTTCATGCCCAGGTAATACTTAGAAATGTTTATATGATTGTTGAGATTAAAGCTATGAAGGTTTGCTCTCTTTTTGATAGCCTCAGTATCATGATGTGCACTATCAGAGTTAGAAAATAAAAGAAGAATAATTTAATTGACATCATCCAATCTTTAAGGCCAGATACAAATCACTTTTTTTGATTGGCGAGCATGAATCATTGTTTCAAATACGTTTTACCATACAGACTTTGTATGGTCTGTGCATTTTGATTCCAGATCCTGTATCCCTCCACACATCTACAATGGAAACCTGACTCTTCTGTCTCTAAAACCACAGACACAGATCAATGTATGTTTGGACGATGTACTTACAATCAAATGTGACTGTATCTTACCAGGACCATGGAGCGTCACAGATGTGGAGCTCACAGGGAAGATTTTGACTACCCACCGATGGAGCAGGGCGGCTTCAGTCCCAACCCCAACCCGCCTCCGTGGCTGGGACCTCCACCTCCATATGAAGTGGCTATAAAGACCACATGTAGCTCCACTCACCTGCGCAGGGCATACTCCGACACACATCTGGCCTCAGAACCACTTTTTGGACAATCCAGGGAGATCAGCTTTGAGGTGTAATGTTTCATGTCCTGGACTCCTCAAGAATGGACAATACAAAATATATTTCTAAAAGCATGTTAAACGTGATGGGGCATGGGGCTTGTCGAAAAGGCCTAAGAAACAGAGTACAAAATAAAATTGGGTTACAAAGGTCTGGCCATAACGAGACAAAGGGCACTCTAACTAAATATTTTTTCTTCGAATGGTGTGTTTGCCAAACTGTCAGTGGATGAGGCCGCATGAGTGTGTGCTTTATCTAAAGTTATGTTAAATCTCTTCATTTTTATGATCCATTCCGTCTCATTGTAGGTGTTAAAACTTTGAGAACCACTGTAAGGAAAAGCACAATTACATATCACAACATTAAACAAAAAGCCCACCACGAACCATACCTAGCATGTGTCGTTACGTTCTTATTGCAAGCATTTAACACAATGCAAGTGGGTCATTTTAGACATCGTATTTACAATAAATGTTGCTTCCAAATCCAGACAAGCATATACTTTATTCCTTTTATTCCATGTTTTGCATTTAGTAAAATTGTCAATAGTATAGCAGACTGTAAAGGTTCATTTCGATGGCATGTAGCTATGTCCAACTCACCCAGGGGCCAAATGAAGCTCTGAATCATTTGTTTTATGCCGTACACATTTTGACACCCCTGGTCAATATACTACAACCTCGCCCAGTGTACAAACATGCATGTGTGAAATCTTTACTCAAAACATTCCCCATTCATCCTATCTCTATATAATCTATCTGTGTTAATAATTGCTGGTATTTGGCCACATTAAAGCAACACACAAAGAGAGAACATGCAAAATAGCCTTTATGTTTGGGCCGTGTTCGTAAATTCCAACATAGAAACCATTAGAGAAGTATGACTCTCCAGTGTAAAGTTGTGTACCGCTCTTTATAGCACACAATCACACGGTATTTTTAGATATCAGACTGAATCAGTGTGACATGCAACAACAGCGTCCAGCTTGGAGGGAGCATGTGCATTACGGTTACCTCTGACTTTCCAATGAAGGAGGATATTGATTTTGTGATAAACAGGAGTCCCTGCTCTGCCTTTGGGACAGTCTGTAACAGGACGCCATGAGCTCTAGAGGATCACCGATGAAGCACCGTCCAAAGGTGAGATGGCACAAAGAGAGAGTCCTCCACACTCGGTGAATGGTCAAACAAATCATAAATGTGTCGGTCTCTTCTACCAGGACCCATGTATATAGACCGGGGGTTAGCACATTTTTCAGCCAGGGATCCCTAAAATATAAGTGAAATAACCCACACCTGAGTTATTTATTTTATTTATTTATTTATTCAGACGGCGATAGAACAATTAAAGTAATAGCATATTTTTTTTATATATATTTTTATATATATAAAAGAAAAAGGAAGAAATTAAGTACTGTAACACAAACAACCAACATTTACTGTATGATCTCGTCTGCCTAGAAGGAGGTAACTAAGTCCGTCTGAAAAGGAGTGGGGGAAGTAAACACTTATATCAGGCATGTCCAAACTCAGGCCCGGGAACCAAATGCGGCCCTCAGTGTCATTTTATGTGGCCCTCTGCCATGCTAACCCGAAATAGTCTTTGAGATCATAAACACAAGTTAACTTTGTCATCCATCTAGCTTCAGCTCAGGCATTATAGACCTTGTTCTAAAGCCCAGTACGTCATTGACTTTATTTGGACAAACTGTACTGACGTGGTTTTTGATTGTGTCACTTCCGTTAATGGTGCAACTGTAGCTGGAGCGATGGTAAACATTCGTCATTCCGCCAACTTCAGCTCTGTTATACTGTATCATTTTAAAGCTTAGAACAGCCCAATGCCAGTCAAGACAGTTTTTCAGTTTGTGATGTCGGCCCCTGGACTAGTCTGATGAACTAAAGTGGCCCTCTTACTAAAAAGTTTATATAATCTTCTGTACTTCAATTTTGTAATAGACTTCCTCTTAATAATTATTTTAGCTCTGGATACAAGTTATAATACATATTTTAGCTCTGAATACAGGTTACAAGTTGACCAAGTTGACCCGGTGTCACTTAATCATGGGCAACAATGGCTGAGTGGATTGTACATTCTTCCTGTGCCTCCATAGGTTTCCTTCTGGTGCTACAGCTTCCCCTACCACTGAAAACATCCACAAATAAGAATGAATGTAATGAGTGAGTAAACAGATGGTGTTAATTGGGGGATTTGATGCACCAGTGTGTTCGGCGTCTTGCTTCCGTCATCACCGTGTGGAGAGAATGGAACAAAATCTCAACTCTGAACATTGGGTGACCTTGGTCTGTAAAAATGCGCGATATAAATAAAGATTACTTATTACTTACTACTTATGTGTTTAGTGAAATACAAGGAAAATATAGAATGTTATTGTCGAAAATCAGGACAGACACAAGTTGAGGGGACACATGGCAGTGGGCCCTTTAATCCAGTTTGAGTTCTGACAGAGTTTGTTCAGTTGGTTCAGAGCAGTTCTCAGACAGAGCTTCTTCAGGACATGCGTTAAATAATACAATCTTATGTCACACAACGTCACTTTGAAATACAGTCAGCATGACCTGATCTCTTCCATGTTATGTCTGCATTTGTCCATCTTGAACATTTAGGCTTGCTATAAGAACAACTTAGTGGCAATAATGTTAAAATAATCCAAACTTTGAAAAAATCCCTGTTTACAACTCCGATAGTCCAACCTTGATTCTGTCAAAGCTTGAATTCACACTCAAGTGTCTGTAGGCAAAGCAATGAAGAAAAATGTCTTCAGCCTCTGTTTCTGAGTGCAACCAAAAGTCTTTCCTCATGACTGATCTATGGTTAAATGTAACAAGAAAAGTCCACCTGAAGTTGAGGAGAAGTTTTAAATGCTATTACTTTGACAAGATCTGAATAATGTACAGAGCGCTGTTGAACAATCCACCATCTGAGAATATAAAGAGAAGGGCATAACTGCAAATCTACCAAGACTCGAACAGCATTGACCAGAGATGTAGTCAAGAGGCCAATGGTAACTCTGGAGGGGCTTGTGGTTACTAGAAAGCTGTGTTAAATTCCAAAGCCGCAGAAGCCAAACGGGGCACTCATTCAACGCATGGAAGAAGGCACTGTGTTCAGAAAAGACCAAAATGGAACTTTTTGACTTAAATGCAAACTCAGTGGGAGTGGGAAGAGTGTCGGAGTAGATGGGGAGGTGACTGGGAGACCGGAGTAGACGCCTGGAAAATGTCTCTAAACATTTAACTAACCCTAACCCTAACAATTTTCATAAAATGGAATGGTTTACAAAAAAAGCCCAAACCTATTGAATGTAAAAACTAAATCTATAAAAAGTTCACAAGTGCTCTCCTTTTGTGAGGCCTGAGTTGTTTTGCAAAGAAGAAGGGCAAAAAAAACTCCCTCTAGACGTGGAGAGCTTATATGCCCCTATTTTTATATTTACCCCGTTTGCAGTAATGATTCATGGATGCTTTGAATGCTTGTTTTCTGTTCAAGCCAATGTATTATCTATTAGTGAGTGATTGCAATGGCACTGTCTCTTCTCGTAAACCGTTTTTTCCCAGACAACAGACCCCCCCTATCCCTCTAAAAACCCCCCTCCTGCCAAACCCCCGTGCGCGCACCCCTTTGCCGCGCGTCCCGCTGCAGCTGTGGACAACCCGGGTCCATCCCACCCCATCCCACCCCCATCCCATCCCATCACAGCCTCAACTCAACCCAGAGCAACTCCTGCAGCTCAGTCGCACCGCTCCGACTGCCACCACCGGATATAAGTTCCGTGGAGAGCGAAACGCAACAGAGCAACAGGAGGAGACATGACTAATATAGACGAGAATGAGGCGAGAAACAAGACTGACTGGTGGACACGCACGGACTGGGCTCATGATCTGGCAAGCGTTTGTTGCTGTCAAAAGAAGGAAGTGATCTTGCAGAACTAACACTCAGAAGAGGGAAAAAGACAGTATGGTTAGAGCGATTTCGCCCCACACATCCTGAGGTAACTGGAAGTATCACGGGGCTTGGATGCGTGCGTCTGTCTGGTAGACTGGGTGGTGTTGGGTGCTGAGGTCCATAATGCCGATCCCCCAGGGTGCACTGCTTTGCCTCGGTCTGATGCTGACCAGCGTGGGGATGGCCGTCATAGTCTTCTTGGGTTTGGCCGGATCTGTTCCCCTGTTCGGGCTTGGAGTGTGCTTAGCTCTGGGGGGCGTTGGGCTCTTGGGGGCGGGTTGCTGCAGAGCCTGGCAGAAGCGCTTGGTTCCTGAAGTCCCGGGACACTTCCTCCTGCATCCGCGGACTGGGACGCGCTTCAGCCCGCAGCAGGGGTTGGCCATACAGAGGTGAGTCTGCTCTGCTCAGCACTCATATAGCCAGGGTTTTGTTGTTCTGGGGTGTGCCCTGTATACGGGTGTGTTTCTTTTCCCTTTCCTTTTAAACCAGTTTCCTTTCTACACTGATGCCAACAACATTAATTTTGAGAGGCTTTCCTTTTATGGCAATATTATGACAATATTGAATGACTATGGTACTTTAGTGCATGTATACTCCCCCAGTATAAGATGAATACCAGTTGTCCCTGATTTATGCCACATAAGTAAACATGAAGTGTTTCCGTCATGTTGGATAATCTAAATAAAACAAAGAGACGAACTCCAGGCCACCATCTCTACAGAACAGATGAGAAATGCTTGATCAGTTGACACACTCTGGACAAGTTTGTTATGACCATTATCAGGAAATCTCTCAAATAATCATTCAAATTAAAACACTGTTGATATAACAGTTCATTAACTATTGAAATTGAAAAAGAAGGATTATGAATTGGTGAGTACGTTTGCATGTCTGTGCACTGTGATTGTCTGGTATTATCTTAAACTGAAAACAGGAGGGATGGCCTCTGCTCCAGATCCAAGACACACACCAGAGGCACAGCTTTCAACCTCATATTTCTTTGTGCACACACTTCCTCTTTGATTAAACAAATATTCAGTTATTATACAGTTACAGTGTCCAAGTGTTTAAAATGTCCTTTCCTTTTGTGCCACTTACACTCATACCTGCTGTGTGTGAGTACACTAGTCTTGAGTAACTTTCTAGTAATTCTGGTCCAAATCTTCTCTATACAATTATTTCTTACTATTACTTTTAATCAGTGGAAAAAGTGAACTTCTGACCTGGAAATATATTATTTCACCTGGTTTAGTCTCTTTTAATTTTGACTCATGCCTACTTGGTACTTACTTTAATTCATGTCCAGTCATGAGTTAAGTTTGTTAAGTTAAGTAAGTAATCTTTATTTACATAGTGCCTTTCACAGACCAGTTAGAGGGAAATGTGTCCTCTGCTTTGGACCCATCCTGCAATGCCACCAGCTCCTCTGTCAGGAGCATTGGTCGCCATAGCACAGTGTCCTGGGATCCATTTCCAAATATTGATGCTGGGCTTCATCAGGACTATGAGAGCTGGGGATTTTTACCCATTGTACATGTTTTACTAGTATAGGATAAACCTTAGCACCCATAAAAAACTTAGCAGACACAGGGAGAATGTGCAAACTCCACCCAGAGTCGACCTGCTCCGACTGAGATTTGTACCTATAGGAACCAAGAGTGTTGGTGTACAACAGTAGCTCGGTTGGTAGAGCATTGGCCTTCAGGCCTGAAGGTCGTGGGTTCAATTCCCACCTCTACACCTTCTCCATCGACTCCCACTGATGACTGCTGTCGTTGTGTCCTTGGGCAAGACACTTAACCCCACTTTGCCCAAAGCCCCAACTGAAAGATCAAGGCTATGCTCACACTCAGTGATCAGCCGTCCTCCTGTGGACTCACCACCTGCAGAGGGTCAGTGAGGGACTGGTGCTATGAGACTTGGGTGGCAGCTCTGACTGCCACCCCCCTGACCCAGAAATGGATTAAAGGGTAGAAAATGGATGGATGGTACCAAGAGTGCTAACGTTGTCTGGTTGGTCTAATGTGACAGATTCCTGTGCTCGTGCTCCATTCCAGGTTCAGTAATGATTTGGGTAGTGCACTTCTGACTTCTTTGTTGAACTTTTCACAAAAATACAAAACTCCAACTCTGATAATGAGAAAATAAAGTTGAAAAGCTGTTTATGCCTTGGGCCATCGCAAGTTCAAAATCTTTTAAGTAGACTTGGCCCTGTTTGGTCCTCAAGAGAACTGTATGAATAGATTGTGAGATCAAAATAAGTGTACCTCATTCACCTTTTTCTGGAATCTTTGCATGAATGGGACTTAGTTTTCTCTGTTTTTCTTTTCTTTTTTTCAACATCAGGAGGTTGGACCGCATCCGACGAGAAATGTCATCAGACTCGGTGGGCAGAGAATCCGAACCAGAGCCCCCGCTTCCCTCCACTCCTCCCCCCTGGACCATGGAGCCTCCGCCCTCCTACGACACTGTGATGAAGAGCCAGGAGCATCAGGAGCAAAGCCAGAACCAAAGCCATGAGTTGAATGAACAAACAGAGTGCAGAACTGTCGCAGAGGACTCCAATCAGTGTTAGTGCCTTTGCCTCTGCCAGCAGGGACTCAAACGGGTGGATGGTGGAGGGCACGTCCCACTGGGAGGAGGCCCGGGGGAAGACCCAGGACACGCTGGAGGGACTATGTCTCTCAGCTGGCCTGGGAACGCCTTGGGGTCCCCCCGGACGAGCTGGAGGAAGTGTGTGTGGATAGGGAAGTCTGGGCGTCTCTGCTTAGACTGCTGCCCCCGTGACCCGGTCCTTGTCCCTCCTCTTAATATACACACTGGACAAGTTCAACAGCTATGACTATCTTTCAATAAGGAGGTGTTTTGACCCTATTGAGGCGTTATTGTTCCTTCTGTCTCTCAGGAAGTTTTTTGTGAGTTTATGTTTTTGTTCCCGTAGGAACTTCCTGTTGCAATTTTTTCCACTTATTAGCACAAGACCTGATGCAGAAAAGCTACAGGGAAACGTTTTGCTTTCTGGAAAATGGCCATTATACCAATATTGGTTCTTCTGTTTTATAATATCGCACTTTTAAATGTTTGTATAATATTTCATTGTTTTTTATATAGCGCATTTTTGGACAAATCCATGGCATTATTCCCTCTGACCACCACATTACCTTCTCACACACCAGACTCATACTAGGGAATGTGAGTGAAGCGTCTTGCTCCTCAGAAGAACAGAAGATGACTGCATGCAAAGCCACATGTATGGCATGAGATTTGCATTTTTCATGATATAATGTAAAAGAAAATTATAATGATGGACTTTGAGATTCTCCTCAATCGTTTACAGAACTTTTGAAAAGACGTACCTATTTTTGTGGCCCACACTGCTGCAGCTTCGAAGCCTTCTCCTCAGATCAGCACTATTGCCTGCTCTGCTTTGGAACATATTGATTACACACTCAGTGCCTTAACAGCAGAAAGCTATAGTGGTCTTGTACAGCTAAGTATGTTTAATTGTTACATTTATTTAAGGTGGGATAGAAGTTGAATTACACTTATTGTATCGACGTTCAGTGGAGAAAGAAGGACTTAATATGAAAATGTATGCTATAAGCAAACATCATTGAAAGTACTTATGACATGATGGACCTTCAACATCACAGAAATATTTCATTTATGGAATGATTAATGTGTTTGTTGGAAATGATGTCAAACTTGTTCATTTGTAAATTTCCCAACTGTGATGTCATCAGTTCCAGAACACTGAAAGATTTCTTTGCAAATTAATGTTTCATCATTTCAAAACTATTAGTTACATTAAAAACAGGCTTCACCAGGACAGGTCTAACAACTAGAAACACACTCGTAGAGCATAGACCTGCACCAAGAGGCACAATTCTATTCCTTTAAACGAATTTGCATCTAGACAAGGATTTTATCACCTCCAAAATGTTATTATTTGTTCACTGGTTCATTGTGCACGTTTTTGTCAAAGTCCTCCCACAACTATTTGTGCCTGATAAATGAACAGTTCAGCTGTGACAAAATCATAAAATCTCTTATGCGCACTTGAAACAGTGTGGAGTTTGCTTTATTCCCAACCCCAACACATGCCCAACCCTATAGTCTGGGGCCAGGACTCCCCTTGGACTTTCCTGGTTAAATAAAGGCGCCAATCAATAACAAGATATTTATTTTTAGAGAAAATTAAATTGTGTTGATAAAAACATTTGCCGATATGCTATATTTCCAAATTGTATCGTTTTTATAGTTTTTTTTTCCAAATTAGAACTCACGCCATTGTTTATCTTACAAGAGCATTATGAAACATTTGATGAGAGAGTGTTTGCAAATGAAACCTTGTGATGGCTTTACTCAGACGTTTTAGGATCAATGGTTTGGAAGGTTTTCTTGGCTGTGGAACTCCTGCATCAGAAAAGCTTCAAAACAATTGATCCTGGACTCTGTAGAAAGAAACAGAAGTAACAGCGTCCCGCGGCCCACAGCCTCTGGGTCACTACAAGGTCAAAGTATCAACTTTTTATGATATAGTTGCTAAACTGATCCATACAATCAATGGAGTTTACATGGAGAATGTATTAGTTTTGTCAGTATTGTTGAAATGTATTGTATTCTATATAATTTCCACAACCACCGAGCTACTATTACAACACACTAGTGTTTCAACGCTGAGTTAATAACTTCCCTCTCCTTCGCCAGCAGCAAAGTGACCTTGTTACTCGCACACACCTGCAATTTTATACCTGACCGCGCTGTCTGCAGGCTGTAATAGGCAGCAGACTGGAACCCACTCTCCTCCCTTCACCTTCAAACTCAGTGTGGTCTCAGGTTCACTATACACAGTGTGGAGTGATGGTGCAAGGGAAGCCATACCGGGTCGGGCTGATGGTGGCAGGGCTGGCGGTGATAGCTGTGGGCCTCTTTATCCTGGTGGAGGAGAAACCGCACGTCTATGGGACAATGTGCGCTCTGGGGGTCATAATGCTGTGTGCCGGGACGATCTGGAGTCTCTGTCAGTGCTACCCCAAGGTACAGTGGAAGCAGGCTGCAGAGGAAGGTTGAATATGTATAAAAATCCATCTAACTTATTTCTCTCACAAGGCATTTTGGCACATCACATGTTTTAGTTTTTTTATATTACATCACAAGTTTCATATTTACCAAAGAAAATGTATGCTACAAACAACAAAAAGATGTGGAGAGGTCCATGATTTTGTGGGATACAACAGATAACGTGTGTGTGTGTGTGTGTGTGTGTGTGTGTGTGTGTGTGTGGAACATGTGCAACAATATTGTTAATATGTAGATTAACAAAATGACAGAAAATCAAGTTTGGTTTTAGATTGGCTTTATTTTTTACATTGGAGAAAAATATCATGCACTTCCTCACACACCGCCAATCAGACTAAAATGTCATATATTGACTCACTTTGCTCTTGCTGTACAAACAATGTGTTTTTTCCCACTCAACTGAAGTTACTGCTGGTGTGTTACTGTCAATCAATCAAAAATGAACACAAATCCATCACACAAAATAACATTTGTACATACATGATTACAAAACACTTTCTGGAGAAATACACAAAGAAGGTTAAAGGGACAGTGTGTAATACTGTATGCGCTGTTATTGGTTTAATAAAGTTATTACAATTACAACCAGTCTTTTATAGCCTTTCTGAGTGGAGTTTGCATGTTCTCCCCGTGTCTGCGTAGGTTTCCTCCGGTTTCCCCTACCACTAGAAACATGCACAATAGGTCTGGCATGCGCCTCCTGTACTGGCGACCCCGCTCCCATCTCTGTGTGGAGTGAGTGGACCAATACCCAAAAATAACAACAATTGTAAACCGCTTTGTGACTCTGGTCTGTGAAAGGCGGTATATAAATAAAGATTACTTACTTACTTACTTACTTACTTATCTTCCTGAGTATCCTACTGATGGAATTGGGTTTAGCTTGAGATTTCACCAAAAAACTGGCAACCCAAAAGAGAGCCTAATTCTGCACTCTGATAACCTGCTTGAAAATCATGAACATAATTATCATTAATGTCATGTTCATTGTATTTTTAATTAAGAATAGCTTTGAAAAAAAATGCTCGGAAAAGGTCATATGATTTTATTTAGCATGAAAATATTACCTGTAAAATAAACTGATATTCTGAGTTTTGTAATACGCCACATCTTTGATTACTCACAAGAAATTTAAGAACAAAACACAAAACAAAATGATTTGTATCTATTTATACAACTGAAGTGCACTGGTTTCCTAGAGACTTTATTAACATAAGATCAGAAGTCTTCTAACTTGGACTTGTGGGTCCAGAGACTTGGACTTGACTTGGACTAGACTTGGATTCAGAGACTTGTGCGTCTCTGTTCAAATGTTGCCCATGTATATTTGTTTTGCTTTGCAGGTCATGTTGGTTTCTCATTCCCAAGAAATGGAAGCTGTGTGCATCTCAGAACGAGACAAAAGGTATCACCGCACTCTGTCCGGGAGTTTAGTGGTTCCGGCTCCGGACACAAAATATCATAGTTTCAGTGGTTGTGATTTGAACTGAAGATGAAAGCTGCCATTGTGTCCTTGGGCAAAACACTGCGAGGATGGCTGAGCGGTTGAGAGCCTTAAAAGATGGAAATGTGCTAAATAAATGTGACCACACACAGTAGTGTCCTATGGGCAGAAGCAAAGGCCATAAAGAGCAGTGGTCTGGATGTCAATCAGACTCTGGAGTGGGCGGAGACAGAAGAGACACAAGTCTAATCAGTTCTAATCTTGTCGGTGACTTACAAGAACATTAACTGTAACGTTATTAATCGGGTCCAAAGAAAGTGATGTTAAATGACATAACAAATTTGTTAATAAATAATGCCATGTAAAGCGTTGTTTAGTGTCCCGCATAGCGCTTTATATTCAATGCAATATACTAAAAATTAGTTGTTTAAAAAGTACCTCATATTGTAACCAATTACTTTTTGAGGTAACTGCTGTCAGACTGTACAAGTCACTTTAAGTCACTGCATTAAGACTGAAAAAACCTGACACGGTTTCTGATTGCCACTTTTTATTGTACATAATATATCCTGCATTTAACATGTTTCCACATTTATTTCTTTTTGCACAATGCCAGATGTGACATGTAAATTTATCCTGTGTGAGATCAATAAAGTATATTTTATCTTATCTTAACTTACCCAACAATGACCTAACATTCATTCTAATGATGATGATGATGACGAGTAAGATTATGATATTTAATTATTGTGTTTCTTAGATTGGCTGACCCCGTGCCAGAAGTTTTTGGACAAAAGTGTAAAAGTAGCGGACCCCTGAGCGGGCCCATGAGCGGGCCCATGAGCGGGCCCCTGAGTCACAGCTGTCCCAGTCTGCAGCTGGTCTGACGAAGGAGTCGCACTGGAGGGCGCCACTTCCATGTATCTGTATCGTATGTGAAGGTTTCCCGCACTTAACATTGTTCAGATGTAATGCAATGATTGTCCACTAGATAGCGCTGCTTGTCGTTTGCGTAAGAAAACTTTCACTTGTATGTTTGGATGTACCCTACTGACAGGGTTCAAGAATAAAAACAATTATTTTTGTGTAAATGTTGATTTACCTGCTTGTCACTCAATACGGTTAAAATCAGGTTGATTGAGCCACAAGGTAAAATGAGCCAGAGGTTTGATGAGTTTGTGAGGAGATAGTGGCTTCTGTCAATCAAATAAATCAATAAATCAAATCTGTATGGAGGGTCCCGTAACAGTAACAGAGCCGAGCGCAGTGTGTGCAGAGCACCAGGAGAGCCGCAGTGAAATAATGCGGCTCTAAAGCTTCCTATTTTTATTTTTCAAATTTTGTTTGTATGGATACTAGAAATGAAATAAAACCTTTTTATGAAAGTGAAACGTGACAGTTCAGGAGTAGAAATAAAACATGCCTACACACAAAACGACATATTTAGTTTGAAATTGGAATGACTGTAATTTATTGATTGGAACAATAATTGTGCAATATTGTTGCTGTTTTTCATTTGTTACGTTTCTTTTCTGTTCATTTGCATTTCAGACTTTGTTCAAAAATTCAAAGAAAGGTGTAACTTTTAAAACAGTCACCGTATGAATTGTCGGGACTCCCAAAACTACCCGCGCGTAATGACGCACAGTAATTACAGCTGAGTGAAATCTGACTCCTGTAGAGGTGTTTTTAACGGAGGACAATCATTCGATACAAAAGCGGTGGCGTGAGCCCGAGAAACGTCACCAATCCCCGCCTTGGAATTATAAGCATCAATCCCCTTTTTTTTTCTTTTTTCTTTTTTCAGCAACCCCAAAATGTGGAGAGATGCTGAGCACGGGGGCTCTCATTCCACGCGCAGGTCCAGGAAAACAAAACACCTCTGTAGCACAGACCTGATTCTCCTGCAAGTCTAAGTGCGCCTTTTAATTACAAACTAAAATAAATGGTTTAGAGCAACATGCGTCTCTTCTCTGTTGGACTGGCGCTGTGCCTGTGCGCATCTCTGGCTGTGAGCGCACAGGACGAGGAGGTCCTGGACTTTATCCGAGAGGACGGGACTGAGACTGGAGCCGAAGCATCAGCCGAGTTCCTCAGGTCCAACAAGGTACAGTCATAGCCTTTGCTACATCTTATTCTGTAGAGTTTTTTTTTTTTATCTTTAATTATCCAAACTTCACCCACGTGCGCGCCAGGCTTCCTGGCGCATGCCGGGTCAGTATGTGGTGGTCCTGCGTGAGGGGAGCCGAGAGGCGCACGTACAGAGGACCATCCGGAGGCTGAGAGCCAAAGCGACCCGCAGTGGAGCCCTGGCGGAGATCCAGCACACATACTCTGGAGCGCTGCACGGCTTTCTGGTCCATATGAGCAGCGACCTGCTTCCCATGGTGAGCTTTGAACATCAGACAAACAAGTCAGGTGACATAATACACAACAAATTCAATTGAAATGAAACAGGAATTAGTATTTCCAAACTGGTTTACTGTATTACATGTTTTTGCTCCAACACAAGCAGGTGGCAGAGAGCCCACAAATTAATAATACACATTCCAGACCTTTGTGAAGCCAACTGTTTTTTGAGTACTAGGCAGTGAAGCTCCCCCACGTCCATTACATAGAGGAGGACTCGTCCATCTTTGCTCAGAGCGCCCCCTGGCATCTACAAAAAATACTGCAACCTTATGGAGGCCCCTCTGAGAATGGGACATACAGACCTCCAAGTGAGTTTCCTCACATTCTCACACAAGTGCATTCAGACATACGTGAACACTGTATGTGGTCTGCAGATGACGGTGGCCGGGCACAGGTCTATCTGATGGACGGCAGTGTGGACACCTCCCACAGAGAGATCCAGGGCCGGGTCCTGGTCACAGACTTCAACCACGTCCCAGAAGAGGATGGGGCTAGAGTCCACAGACAGGTGCTGAAACTATAAATATAAGTCTACACAGTAAGCTACCTCAACATGTGTTTCACCAGGACTGCAGAAAACCATATTCTCTGAGTTGAATAGACAAATTTGAACATTTTATAATGTTCAAATTAAAAATGACCTTCTCATTAAACCTCTTGAAGCTGTCTTTCTTTGTCCCTCACTTCTCCACAGGCCAGCCAGTGCGACAGTCATGGGACACATGTGGCAGGGGTCGTGGGGGGGGTGGACTCCGGAGTGGCCCGTGGAGCTGCAGTGAACTTGGTGCGAGTGCTCAACTGTCAGGGCAAAGGCACGGTGTCAGGGGCTCTTGCAGGTACGAGCCACAGCCAGGTGTATTCAGATATTCTACTGTTTGTCTGTATAAGTAATGTAAGGAACACTCGCAGTACAATAATAACTCTTACAGATCAATTTCCTAGTTTTTCTTCAATATGGTAAAAGCATGGAAGTTGCAGTAGAAGCTATAGTAATTGAGGTACTATTTTGAAATAGAGGAAATGATCATGTGTGTGGGGTTTTTGGTCTGTAGTAGTTGATTCCTTGGTCTTTTATGTTGACGTATTCACTTATTTTGATCACAAGTACATACTGTATAGGAAAATAACTAATTGTATGAAGTGAGTTATCTGACAATTTGGTAACGAATCAAGCACAGACTTCAGACGCTCAAATGGAAGTGAATTGTATTGTTTACTTGTTGGTCTGGTTCACATAAATTAGACTATTTCTGGGCCACAGAGATATGTGGACCCATATATAGTGAACCAGAAGTGTGAATGTAACCTCAATCCTCATTTTAATGAATGAATGAAACCTGTATGAATGAAGCCTAATTCAAATATTGTTTTATCTCTAGATACAGTAACTCTTTGTGCTCACTTCGTCCATAAGTACTTTTACTTGAGTTAGCAGTAATCTCTCGCTGTCCCTCAGGTCTGGAGTACATCCGGGCCTCTCTGATGGCTCGGCCGCTGGATGCTGTGGTGGTCCTTCTTCCTTTTGTTGCGGGCTTCAGCCGCTCGTTGAACGCAGTGTGCAGAGAGATGGTGTCCAGCGGAGCGGTGCTCATCGCTGCAGCTGGAAACTACAGGGAGGACGCCTGTCTCTACTCTCCGGCTTCAGAGCCAGAGGTGATCATTTCACTTATCAGGCAAAACACTATGGGGACAGTGTTTGACTCGTAATGTACAACTAGAATGTGCACGTTGTATATCAATTAGTGCTGTGAGTTTAATGACCTGAAAATGTGTTTAATGAAAAGTGCAAGTGTTAAAAGTATAAAGATTTAAAGCTGACTTTCAAACCACAAAAGATAGAACCAGGTTAGAAAAACTAGTCCCTCGTTCTCAAAACACATGCATGTGTTATTGGCCTCTGTCACATCTTGAGATCAGCTTATAGATACAGTACATGCCAATTAGTAGATTTTCCCCGGGTTTGCTCTTTTTTATCACAGTGGGCCAATGTTGCAAATCTGCAACATCCCAGAATGCATTGACTGTAAAGGGCTCTCAAAAAAAATTAAAAATTAAAAGAAGATAAATCTGGATTGTGTACTACTACAACAACAACAACTTTTTCTTGTATAGCACTAAATCACGACAGAAGTAATCTCGGAGGACTTAACAAAACCATTGAAATCACCAACACAGATCAGAGAAATGAAGCTGAAGGCGCATATTCAGACTGAAAGACCGAGTGCAAATTCCCCCTTTCAAGCCTGCCAATCACACAAAGCTCTGCCAGTCTCGAGCCTCGGCCAATCACACAGCCCGGCCAGCCTCCTGCCAACCCTCTGTCACCAAGCGGGCAGTTTAAAAGGCAGCCACTTCCTGACAAACAGCGCTTCCTGAAAGTTCCTAACACCCATCACCTCCCCAGCACCTCCTCTGGCTCCCGCTCTAGGCTCCCGCTCTGGCTCCTGCTCTGGCTCCCGCTCTAGGCTCCCGCTCTAGGCTCCCGCTCTGGCTCCTGCTCTGGCTCCTGCTCTGGCTCCTGCTCTGGCTCCCGCTCTGGCTCCTGCACCGCTACGTCGCCTTCGCACCATACTCTAGCCACCACCAGTGCTTGACCCCGGGGGATCTGAGATCATCTTCAGCTGCAATCGATCTCATCGCTGCAGCGAAATAAATAAATCATTTTAATGTATTATTTGTGTCTTCATGGTCTCTTCAGATTGAATCAACAGTTAAGACACAAAATATACACATACTGTATGTATTGGTCCATAGGGAGAGACCAATGTCCATGAATGTTGATAAATGTCCATACATGTTGTAGAATGTTAAAGTGTCCTGGCTCATCACCACAGTCCTTCTAGTTGGACACTTAACTGTCCAACAGAACCTCCTGCATCGGCAAGGAAAAACTCACAGAAACCCAGTGGGGAAAAAAGTGAGAAACCTCGAGGAGACCCATAGTTTGAGAAAGGGATCCACTCCTCAAGGACGAACGGGCTAATGATCCAGGACCTAAACTACAGAACGAGGACCAATGCCATGCAGCAGCCGCAGAGTGTGGACAGGTTTGGTGCAGGAATGAAGCGCTACCAGGCGGGTCAGGCAGGGCAGTCCGCAGGTGAAGATGGAGGGGGGCAGGGCAGTCCGCATATTTAGATGGAGAGGGCTGGTTCAGAGGTCCCGTTGTCGTGCCATGAAACAGACAATGGGACAACGGGTGAATAGCAATGACCACACTACAGTCAAAATCTTAATAATGCAGACAGATAGAGTAGGAAGGAGGAGAGGATAGTGCTCAAGTTACCATACTTCTCCCAACAGACTGACTCCCTATGCAGCTTGACTGACAGTCTAAGATGTTTAGTCTTCCCTTAGTCTTACCTTCCTAACGTTGTGCTAAACTGAAGAGGACGATTTTAAGCCTAGCCTTGAATAAAGAGACCGTACCTGAAAGGAGGTGAGACAGCAGCAGCCACGGCTAGGCTAGCCCAGGCTACAGCACCAAGATTCATGGATTGCACACCAAGTGTGTAAACCAAACCAGACAAACAACCTAACTACAGTGCCTTGCGAAAGTGTTCGGCACCCTTGAACCTTTCGCCACATTTCAGGCTATAATATATATAATATGAAAATTGTATTTTTTGTCAAGAATCAACAACAAGTGGGACACAATAGTGAAGTGGAACGAAATTTATTGGATAATTTAAACTTTTTTAACAAAAAAAAAAACTGAAAAGTGGGGCGTGCAATATTATTCGGCCCCCTTGCGCTAATACTTTGTAGCGCCACCTTTTGCTGCAATTACAGCTGCAAGTCGCTTGGGGTATGTCTCTATCAGTTTTGCACATCGAGAGACTGGAATTCTTTCCCATTCTTGCTTGCAAAACAGCTCGAGCTCAGTGAGGTTGGATGGAGAGCGTTTGTGAACAGCAGTCTTCAGCTCTTTCCACAGATTCTCGATTGGATTCAGGTCTGGACTTTGACTTGGCCATTCTAACACCTGGATACGTCTATTTGTGAATCATTCCATTGTAGATTTGGCTTTATGTTTTGGATCATTGTCCTGTTGGAAGATAAATCTCCGTCCCAGTCTCAGGTCTTTTGCAGACTCCAACAGGTTTTCTTCCAGAATGGTCCTGTATTTGGCTCCATCCATCTTCCCATCGATTTTAGCCATCTTCCCTGTCCCTGCTGAAGAAAAGCAGGCCCAAAGCATGATGCTGCCACCACCATGTTTGACAGTGGGGATCGTGTGTTCAGGGAGATGAGCTGTGTTGCTTTTACGCCAAACATATCCTTTTGCATTGTGGCCAAAAAGTTCAATTTTGGTTTCATCTGACCAGAGCACCTTCTTCCACATGTTTGGTGTGTCTCCCAGGTGGCTTGTGGCAAACTTTAAACGAGACTTTTTATGGATATCTTTGAGAAATGGCTTTCTTCTTGCCACTCTTCCATAAAGGCCAGATTTGTGCAGTGCACGACTGATTGTTGTCCTATGGACAGACTCTCCCACCTCAGCTGTAGTTATCTGCAGTTCATCCAGAGTGATCGTGGGCCTCTTGGCTGCATCTCTGATCAGTCTTCTCCTTGTTTGAGATGAAAGTTTGGAGAGACGGCCGGGTCTTGGTAGATTTGCAGTGGTCTGATACTCCTTCCATTTCAATATAATTGCTTGCACAGTGCTCCTTGAGATGTTTAAAGCTTGGGAAATCTTTTTGTATCCAAATCCGGCTTTAAACTTCTCCACAACAGTATCTCGGACCTGCCTGGTGTGTTCCTTTGTCTTCATGGTTCTCTCTGCGCTTTAAACAGAACCCTGAGACTATCAAAGAGCAGGTGCATTTATACGGAGACTTGTTTACACACAGATGCATTCTATTTACCATCATCAGTCATTTAGGACAACATTGGATCATTCAAATGTGACAAAGGGAGGCTAGGGTTCCTCTAAGAATGGCAGGGAAGTCTGGTAACAAACACGAGCGAAGCAGAAATGTGGAAAAACCCCTCCACGAACCTACGGTAATAGGAGGCAAAGCCGAGAAAGGACCGCAGCTCAGAGGCCAGTTTAACACCGCAGAAATCTTCCCCGGATCGGTCGAGACCCCATTCTCTGAGATGCGATGCCCCAGGTACTGCACCTCTCTCTGAAAGAAGGCACACTTTTCCAACTTCACTTTTAGTCCTTCTTGCTGCAGACGGCCAAGCACCATCTCCAGTCGCTTTAGGTGCTCCTCGACTGTTGAAGAAAATACTATTATATCATCGAGATATAGTAACAGGGATTGCCCATGCTGTGCACCAAACATTCGTTCCATGAGCCTTTGGAAAGTCCCGGGTGCATTACATAGTCCAAATGGCATTCTGTTAAACTCGTATAATCCAAAGGGTGTGCAGAATGCAGTCTTTGATTTATCACCCTCCGTCACTGGTACTTGGTGGTAGCCGCACGCTAAGTCCATGGTGGTAAACCATTGGGCCCTGCACAAAGAGTCCAGGGACTCCTCAATTCGGGGCAGAGGGAAAGCGTCTCTTCGGGTTCTCTTATTAAGCTGCCTATAGTCTACACACAGGCGCAGAGAGCCATCCTTCTTGCGTACGATGACTATAGGGGAGGCGTAAGGGCTACTGCTCTCTCGGATTACCCCCGTGTCCAGCAGCTGATTAATGTGCGTTTTAACAGACTCATACTCTGAGGGAGCAATACACCTATAACGCTGGCGCACAGGTGCATGGTCTAAAAGAGGAACATCGTGGGAAATGAGCCCAGTACAACCCAAGTCCCCGTCAAACGCGGAGAACACAGACTCATAGGTGATCAGCATTTCCCAGACTTTAAGCTGGTCTGCTTCCGGCAGCATAGAAAGATCAAGACCTAGTATGTTCTCTCGCACCGAACCTCTCTTGGCAGTGTGAGACCGGACGGTAGCTATAACTGCATCACGCTCGTCGCGGACTTCGTGCACACCCGATGGCAAGCTGACTACCTCAACAGCGGATACTAGGGCCAAGGAGCAACGAGATTTTAAAGTCACCGGGGACCCACTAACATTTGTCACCGGTATGTAAGCGGTCCCTCTAACAACATTAACCAGGGTGGGTGACACCACTAACCCAGGAGGCAGACTAAACCCATGACCCAGGTGCTCAGCTAGGCTAGTCCCCGTAGCACCCACTGCAGCAGGACAGGTAGCGGCCACAAATTTTGTCGTGCCAGCAGGGATAACGTTTTGTCTTCGATCTCGAACCTTTGCCACCGCCTCGCCAGCCATACAACTCTGTGCCTCTGCCTGCATACAAAGCTGAAACGCCGGTAACCAGGGTGTGGAGGCTTCCAACAGGGAAGTATTGCTAAACAAATTAGCTCCGTCCTGGTGAGAAAGCTGCTCGTAATATGCTTTTATAATATTCATACCGATAATTCCCGGAACTGAAGTGGAGCTAGCCTGCCCTGGGGGGTCCTTAACAACCAATACTCCTCTCCTGGGAATAACTTTCCCATTGACCTCTACATCAGGCTCAAGATAACCCAGGTAGGGGATCGTCAACCCATTAGCAGCCCTCAACTCTAGCCAATGACATGACTTTAACTTGTCCTGGAAATGCTGCCTGAAGTAGGACTCTGAAATGGTGGACACCATAGACCCAGTATCAAGAATACACTGAATGGGAACCCCAGCCAATTTAACACTGACTTGAGGACAAGGGGCCATTAAACACTCCACTTCTTCATTTCCCACTGGACTTCCTGAGCCTAACCCATCCCCTCCCACTGTCTGGCTCCTTACAGTAGGGGGCGCTAGTTTCCCAGCGGCTGAAAGTTAGTGGTGGCTAAAGTTCGGGGTCGGGGACGAGAAGGGGAATTACAGAAACGAGCAATATGGCCTGGCTGCTGGCAACGATAACACACCACTACGTTAGGGCTCGAGAATTCAGCTGGCGGAGATTGCAAAGCGGCAAGGGCTTGGGTGATTTGTGCTAGTTGTTCCTGTTGCTTCTGAACTAAAGCAGTAAGGGCGGTGATTTGAACTAAGGCATCATTACCCGGAGGGACTGACTGCAGATTAGCCCGTTGAGTAGCACATAACGAAGGCACGGCATGGAAATTTGGCCTCGCCTCAACCGGCCTGCCCTCTCGCTCCCACTTGATTGCCTCCGACCGGACATCTAGCAATTCAAAGTTTGGATTGTTCCGCACTAACCGCTTTAACTCTCTTCTCAAATTGGGATCATGTACATTTTCCACAAATTGATCACGTAACCAGATTTGCGAGTTAGTCATTCTACATGGAGCATTAGCGACAACTTTATCCATTAGACAGAAAAGAGCATGGGAAAACTCTTGCAATGTTTCCCCCTCTAACTGTCTTCTAGAGAAAAAGTCTTCCTGCAGCAAAACATAAGGCTTTTGACATCCATACAACTCTTTTAAAACAGCGAACACAGTCTCTGGGTCATCCCGTTCAGCCACAGTTCTGTACTTTATTTCATCACGCGCTTCACCCTCCAAATGATCAAAAATAAACGCAGCCTGGTCCGTAGGTCCAACATGTCTGACGCGCATACTTACTCCTCCACCCAGTCATCAATCCCAATCCCGTGAGTTCCACGAAACATGGGGCACTTTCGTTCACGAGGAAGGTAGATGACACGCTCTGTAGTCCCTGGGTTGTCCACTTGTCCTCTCAGACTAGGACCGGCCTCCCGCTCCTGATGCAGCTGGGCTCGTTCCGCCTCCAACTCACGGACCCTCTCCTGAAGCCGCCGCAGTTCCTCCGCCATGACTCAGGAGTTGTGGACGTCAGCAAGTCTCCAACACGTCCCCCGGCCTGCCAGCTGCTGTTTGAGTTGGCTCTCAAACTCTTTTTTTTTTTAAATTTTTTTTTAAATTTTTATTTATATACACACACATTTATATTTTCCTGACCCTAACAAGTAAACCAAAATTCACACTCTGCTTCGCTCACCAGATCCTGCCAGCAGACGCCAATTGTGACAAAGGGAGGCTAGGGTTCCTCTAAGAATGGCAGGAAAGTCTGGTAACAAACACGAGCGAAGCAGAAATGTGGAAAAATATACAAGTTTTATTTTTGACACCAATAGTTAAAAAAAAGAGATTTTATTTACTGTTATTAAAATCTTTAAGATATAGCAGTGAAGGAAAACAAAACACTATTCACAACAGGTTTAATGAGCCAAACCAAACAGCAGCGGCTAACTGTTGGGTAGAGCACAGTACTGTTAGAATACACAAAGACACTTAAACAAAACACTTAAACCCAACTTGTGCGGAACGCGCCATACCTCGCATGAACATCAACCCGGCACAATATGAAGCTCGGGCATGAAGCGGACACCAGCAGACCACCACCTGCCGTGACACAGGGTTAGCCAAGAAAACAAACACTACTCACATGTAGAACTCACATTACTCATCTGCCCCACACACACGACCCCAAACCCGAAGCTCCAGAGGTGTGCTGCTCTGGTTTGCGCACCGGCTTTACATTACTGCTAATTAGCTGCCGCAGCTGGTAGGCAGACAGCGAGGGAGCGAGTGCGTTCACTGACCGCCGGAATAAAACCCATAAGTAACCCGCTTGGTTACACAAAGATCCTCACTGAACTTCTGGAGTGAGTTTGCTGCACTGAAAGTAAAGGGGCCGAATAATATTGCACGCCCCACTTTTCAGTTTTTTATTTGTTGAAAAAGTTTAAATTATTCAATAAATTTTGTTCCACTTCACGATTGTGTCCCACTTGTTGTTGATTCATGACAAAAAAATGTAATTTTTAATCTTTATGTTTGAAGCCTGAAATGTGGCAAAATGTTGAAAGGTTCAAGGGGGCCGAATACTTTCGCAAGGCACTGTATATGCTAAATTGAAGTAAAGTGTTTTAAGCCTGGCCTTGAATGTGGAGACTGTATCCGCTTCCTTAACATGAATGGGAAGCTGATTCCACAGTAAAGGAGCTTGGTAGCTAAATGCTCTGCCGCCGACAGTGATTTTTGAGATCTTAGGAACCACCAGACGTCTGGCGTTTTGGGAGCGCAATGCTCGACTTGGTTGATATGACACTAACAAGTCTTGAAGATAAGAAGGAGCCAAGCCCTTTATGGCTTTGTATGTTAAAAGAAGTATTTTAAACTTTATTCTGTACTCCACAGGGAGCCAGTGGAGTGATTTTAACACCGGAGCTATGTGCTCCCTCCTTTTGGTACCTGTTAAGATCCTTGCTGCTGTTTTCTGAACGAGCTGGAAGCTCTTCAAAGAGGTTTTAGGGCATGCTTCCAGCAAAGCGTTACAGTAGTCAAGTCTTGAGGTGACAAAAGCGTGGATCAGTTTTTCCGAGTCACTTTTCGGAAGGATATTCCTGATTTTAGCGATGTTCCGCAAGTGGAAGTACGCCTTGCTTGGCTTATATAAGCCTTGAAGGAGAGTTCTTCGTCAAAAATGACTCCAAGATTCCTCACAGTGTTGCTGGGTACAATACTGACATTATCGAGAGTGACTATCTGGTCAGCAAGGGAGTCACGCAGGCGCTTCGGACCGAGTAGGATTACTTCTGTCTGATTTAGCAGTAGGAAGTTAAGAGTCATCCACGTTTTAAGGTCCTTTATGCAGGCACTAAGCCTTTTCAGCTGATCTGTCTAATTTGGCCTCATTGGCAGGTAAATCTGTGTGTCATCTGCATAGCAGTGATAGTTAATACCATGCTTTTTAATGATGTTTCCTAACGGAAGCATGTAGAGAGTGAAAAGAATCGGTCCGAGTACCGCACCCTACGGCACACCAAATTCCAGTCCAGAATAAGGCGACGAGTTCTGATTCACAATGACATACCGATCCGATAAATAGGATTTAAACCAGCCAAGGGCTGTTCCTCTAAGACCTATATCACATTCTAGCCTCTGCAGTAGAATGCTGTGGTCTATTGTGTCAAATACAGCACTAAGGTCCAGTAGGACCAGCACTGACACTTGTCCATTATCAGCAGCTAGTAGTAAGTCATTTGTGACTTTGACTAGTGCCGTTTCAGTGCTATGATGAGCTCTGAATCCTGATTGAAAGACTTCAAACATATTATTTTCCTGCAGGTGGCAGCGAAGCTGCTCAGCTATAAGCTTTTCCAGGATTTTGGATATGAAAGTGAGGTTTGAGATCGGTCTGTAGTTTGTAAGTGTTTCTGGATCCAGGTTTGTTTTCTTCAGAAGGGGTTTGATTACAGTAAGTAAGTAAGTAAGTAAGTAATTTATATACCGCCTTTTCACTGCACATCGGAGTCTCAAAGCGGTTTACAATTGTTATTTTTGGGAGTGGGGGTGCCAGTACAGGAGGCACATGCTAGACCTATTGTACATATTTTTAGTGGTAGGGGAAACCGGAGCACCCGGAGGAAACCTACGCAGACACGGGGAGAACATGCAAACTCCACTCAGAAAGGCCCTGGTCCAACCGGGATTCGAACCCAGGACCTTCTTGCTGAGAGGCGAGAGTGCTATCCACTCAGCCACCGTGCCGCCCACGGTGCAGTTTACAGCGGTTTTAAATGCTTGTGGGACATAGCCACATTGTATAGATGCGTTTATTATATTTAAGATAGGCTCAATTATCAAAGGAAGTATGTCTTTGAAGAGCCAAGTCGGGATTGCATCTAAAATGCAAGTTGAGGCTTTTGAGGATGCGACCACAGAGATCACCTCTGCTTGGCTCACAGCCATGAATTTATCGAGGCACACTGAAGAGTCCAAGTGGGACATCAAGTACGCCGCTTCAGCCTGTCCATCACTAACAGTAGGAGTAACCTCCTCCAGTTTGTCACAGATGGATGTAATTTTATCATTAAAGAAGTGAAGAAAATCGACACTGCTCAGTGAGCTTGGTATTTTAGGCTCAACTGCACTATGGCAGTTTGTGAGCTTAGCGACGGTGCTAATCAAAAATCTACTGTTGTTTTTATTCGCTTCTATTAAAGTTAAAGTCTATTATTACTACATCATATGATAATTTCCCCCAATTATAAGATATTTTCTGTCATCCAAATTTAAATGGGCCTTCAGAAGGATAAAGTATAAAGATTTAAAGCCGGGGTACCTAACTTTTAAATCACAGAAGATAGAGCTAGGTTGTAAAAGTTCATGCATTTTGGCCTCTGTTTCATCTTTAGATCAGCTTTCTCAGACAGAAAAGTGAAAAAGAGAGGACCACCCTCACGTCGCCAATCAACCCAATTTTTTTTTTCTGGGATTGTCTCAGTGCTATCAAATAGATAAAACATAATAGCTTATTGTTGTTATGGCAACTGGCCTCTCTTGCAGGTGATCACGGTGGGGGCGGTGAACTCCGTGGACCAGCTCATGTCGCAGGGAGCAGGGGGCTCTAACTTCGGCCCCTGTGTGGACCTGTTTGCTCCGGGCGACGACATCGTTAGCGCTAGCAGTGACTGTAGCACGTGCTTCTCCTCTCGCAGCGGGACGTCCCAGGCTGCAGCTCATGTCGCAGGTAATGAGCAGAGACACTGTAAAGACTGTGGAAAACTCAGCAAACTATTGAGACTATTGCTGCCATTGACGACTAGTTTAGTGGTTGGCAGAACTATTTGTGGCCGGAATAAAGAATAATGATAATAATAATAAAAATAAATTTTCTGAGTCTTGGGATGTATATAATTAGATTACTACTCAGACAAATGCTAATAATAATAATAATGGCTGAGTCTCGGGATGCATATAAGGCTGCGAAGGTTCTTTTAATGAGACAAAAAAAAAACTAAAGAAAGCTAGTAGTGCTTAAATACCTGGCGGCATTCTGCAAATATATGGATTACTACTCATAGTTCCCACCAGAGGAAAAAACCTTTAGAAGTTGCTGGCATTCATTCATTTGTTTATTTGTTTATTTGCTTATTTATTTCAAACATGCACAAAATATACAAAAACTACAAAAATAAGAGTACTCAAGAAGACTGTTTTTGGTTTGCAAAGGGATTGGTCAAAGCAAAAAGTCTCTGAATTAATGCGAGTTTGAAGGGCTACTGAATTGGAATTGATGGCGTTTTTAATGACATATTAATGGGAAACAGCAGAAGGGGTGGATAGATAATCTCTTCTCCTCTCGACATGCCCAGATGGGGAGGCAAAAAATCATACACAAGGAAACGGCGAAAAAAACATAATTAGCTAGCTATATCTAAGACAATTTTCTCTTTTTGTTGGTATGTGTATTTTGCGTATTATTTATGAAAACAGTTAAGAACCCCAGATTTAACCAAGCACATAGAAAGTACAGAATGGCCTTATTACAGTTGATATTAGAAATGACTTTGATTCTTTTGTAGGTATAGCGGCGGTGATCCTGTCGGCCAATCAGAAGGCCTCTCCTGTGCAGCTGCTCCACAGTGTTCTCCACTTTTCCGTCAGTAACAGAATCAGTCTCTTCTCCGTCCCGGACCCCCTGAGACTGCCCACCCCCAACCTGATCACAGCCATGCCTCCTGGGACAGCGGCCGCACGTGAGACCGACATCACAAATATTACACTGTGCTGACTGCAATTATGTGGTACTGGTGGTACTACTACTGGTGGTACTACTACTGGTGGGACTACTACTGGTGGTACTACTACTGGTGGGACTTCTATTGGTACTTCTACTACTCCTACTCCTACCACTACCACCACCACCGAGCGCAACATATTTATATATTTATTATAAGCACAAAATCTGGCAACCCTTTGCACAAAACTGATAACATTATGACGTCATACTCAAGAAAATGAGTCAGAGGCACTCGGATGAAAAGAGTTCTGGTTTTAATTCGCAAACGCTTTTCAACGTGCTGTTTTCATCAGGGCTTGTAATGAAGCTAAAGTATATTCTGAGAGCCACAGGAAGCCAGTTCAGAGACCTGAGGACTGGACTAATGTGATCATATTCCCTGGTTCAAGTCAGGATTTGAAAGGCAGTCAGTGAGACATAGATCTATATTTCAGAAAAAATATGGGTCTAAGAACAACTACTGCATAAAATATATAAAAAACAAATCACAAAAATGACAATGGATACCATGGTATGAATGAAAATGAATTTGACACTTCTGCAGTTGAGCATTTAAAACTTTAAACTGGGTCAAGTCATATCTGCGTAGAGGTGAGTGATACATAACACTGTCATACAAGAAAATAATAATTTCTCCATTTCTCTTGTGTTTGTTTGTGTTTTGTTCAGATGCCGAGCTGCTCTGCCGGTCAGTGTGGTCCGAGAGGTCAGGGGTCAGAGCTGTCAGTCGCTGTCGTCACGGAGAGGAGATGATGGGCTGCAGCAGCTATTCACCAGACGGCGGCCATTTTGGAGAAACAATTGATGTGAGAAAAGAACACGCAAATTTACTACGTTACAAAGTCTACAGAGCTTCCCTCACAATCACGGAAAACATTGTAACATCTGATTAGAAAGAAGGCTTGAAGTGATCAGATTCCAAAACCTGTTCCAAAGCTCTATGTTATAATTTGTCCTCAATATTGTAAATTCTACTGTATGTTGGTGTCATTGTTTTGGAAGTAAAATTCCCCATTCAAAATCACCATAAGGAAAATTAATGATTACAAAAGATTCAGAATGTGTTTGGGGGTGACCTGGGCAGTAATGACCACAGACATGCATTTAAAGTGTGTTTTAGAAACCTTAAAAGTGCAATAATAGTTTTATTTGTGATTTTCTTGGGGTAAAAATAACAGACAGCTAGTTAATCTTAATTCAATCTTTGAATATTTGTCTTTTCTAAACTTCTGTCAGGATTTTGAAAGTGGAACTTTACCTGGAGCCAGGGAGCTCCGCCCACTTCTTAGCTTTACTGTATTTTCATTGTAAACCAGTGATGGCCCCTTACATGTTTATAATACTGTATATCAAAAGCAAAATCAGCACAATAACATGACAGTTCTATTACCTCAAGTGACATGCCTTTCTGTGTGTGGTTGTGCAGAAGAGCAGTGGTCAGATGGAGTGCGTTGCTCACAGTGGTGCGGCAGGAGAGGGCGTGTTCGCCGTGGCCCGGTGCTGCGTGATCGACGGACTTCAGTGTCACATTCACAGCGGCGTGAAACCAGGACAGGACGCAGAGTGTGAGGGGCAGGAGAGCCGTCTGACCGGTGAGTCTGCGGAGGGCGGTCACGGCAAAGGCCACAGATTGAGATTTGTATAAAGGTTGTATTTGTGGGTCACGCAAGAGATGTGCACGAGGCCATCTCTCTGATAATCCCCCTTTTCACACACACAGGCTATTCATTTTCATGTTTTCCTAGATGATCTATTGTGACAAACTGTATTCCCACTAGTGTTGCACCAAAAGAGATGATTTTTTGATTGCGTAGCATCAATATTAGATTTTTAAACAATGATAAAATTGTGTCATGACAATATATTGTTATTTTGTATGAGTCAAGAAAGATCCACACACTACAAACAGAAGCTTGAGGCAGACTTTTCTACAGACAGATCTTCAGTAAATCTGAAGACCAAAGTAAAAGTTCCCTGTATCTAGATGTATTTGAGTCACCTCCATCTTGGTACTTGCTGTGATGCCTGGAACTATATAAATTTGCCATTTGTTTAATCAAAATTGCAATGCAGCCAAAGCACATTATTCTTTATTATAATAACTTCAAAATATTGCATAAAATAGGCAGTGTTGAATAACTGTCAGTGTAGTTACTATGGCGATGATGCTGCAGCTTCCAGCTCAGCCGCATGTGTTTAATGTGAGATTTCAGAAAATGTCTTGGTATATATGAATTTGAACCATACCTCAGTTCATTCAACATTAGTAGTTTTATGAGATTTCATAACACTTTTAAGCAACTTTTGTTAAAGTTAAACTCATCATTCTATCAATGTGCAGAAGCCAGTACTTTTCCCTTGTTTTGTTTATCTGAAGGCCAAGCTACATGGCACCGTGGAAGCTGCTGATTGGAGGTCTCCATGCCTCCGCTCTGTATAATACACTTGCATTCTGTTGTATCTGTGATCGTGTGCTTTGTTCGTGCTGTCTCTACCATCGACAATAAAACATGTCTTCTGTCTGAATGAAAGACGCGATCCCAGACTTGGCACATCTTCAGTTTAATTAATTATACTGTAGTAATCTGGTAATAATCTTGCTTTCACTTAGAGCTGGAGAACTTCAACATGCCGTTTAGAATTTTTATATTTTGTTAAGGTATTTAAAAAAAGCCATGTGAGAGATGATTGGACACTTTGGGCTGAGTGAGGGTGGAGACAGAAACAAAAAATACATGCAGGTGTAATCTTATCAATGTTTTGAGAGAGGAACTAGTTAAATGGATTTCAGATTTATTTTGTGGGGCTTAAAAGTTAGGTACCCCAGCTTTAAAACAACCCTGCGCAACATTTTCCGAAGGGTGCCCCTCTGGCCCTACCCAGGACATGTAAATACAAGTCAGGTTTACGGAGATGTAAGCATGCTCAGCAATACTGTTTTCATACATGTTAAAAAATCAAAAGTTCACCATCTTGCAAATACATGGAACCATAACACTGGCCTCTGCACACAGGCTGCACGTCCCGCTCCTCTGCTCTGGTCTCTGGCTCTCGTCCTCACACGGAGCACAGACGCTGCTCGGCCCCTGAGGGTGGCGCGGCCTCCGCCCTCTGCTGTCGCGCCTCAGATCTGGAGTGTCAGGTCCTGCAGCAGACGACAGCAGCAGCAGCAGCAGGAGCAGCAGCAGGACAGGTTTGTAACATGCGCCTGAGGAGGAGCTGAAGTGGATGTGAAGAAGACGTCTTTTCCTCCAGTTTCTTACAAAAGACTCAAAGACGTCACAGATATTAAAGAGGCCACTATAATGAAAACTAGGGGATATACACTTCCGAACAGGGTCAATTGAGTACAGGTAGTTTCTGTATTTGAAACAAAGTTGTGCATGTGTGATTATCATTCATAAAAATCTGATAAAAATGTCCTACTTTTCTGTCTGGGTGTGTACACCTCCAAACTATAGAGGATTAAACCATTATTGGCAAAGGGCTGACCAGTGTAATTTTGCAGTTTTTAACATGTTTGTGAAGCTACCCATGTAAAAGTAATATTCATAAAAATATAATAAACATTATTAAGAAGTGTACATAAGGGCGTTGGAGCCTAGACTGTTTTAAACTCCTCAAAGTAGTGCCCCTGAATCCAGAACATTGGACTAGCATCCCACATCTTTATTTGTAATTGATTTCAGTAGTCTTCCATCTCTTATAGTTTCAGGGCTCCACCTTTTGTCTGAAGAATACATTGTCTGAGGATAAGTCTTATTGTGACTTTTTTTTTCTTGATTGTGGTGATTTTTTCTTGAGTTCACCATATGACAGCGAGTGCCGCCAAACATTTCCCAGAATGAATTGAATGTAAAAACATAGGGTGCTGTACATTCAAACCCCTTTGTGTGAATCCAATTTCACTAAAAGCTCTTTTCCCCAATATAAAGATAATCGGCCAATTCTGCAGCTGCTTTCTCTTCCATCCCAGCACAACAATACTGTAAAAGCAGGAGTGTGTATAAGTCCCCGTGTTCTAAATTCTCCTTTGTACATTACTTTCTGCAGGTGGAGGCGTCGTGCCCGGCTGGATGGACTTTGACAGATTGTAATGCCGTTTCCCGTGGCTCCATCTTGGGCGCAGTTTCCAAGGGTAACAGTTGCCATGTTCACGGCGGCTCGGAGGCGGATGGGACTGTGGGTATCGCAGTTTGCTGTCACATTAGAGCTGATGGTCACTGATGGAGCGTGCTACTGCTCCAGCTCTGAAACACGTTTTCCAAACAAATGTTGGCACCGGGTTTGGATTAGGAGTCCTTTTACAGACGCTACAGTATGTCTTTATGCCGACATGAAATTACCATCAAAACATACTTGGCTGCATCCAAATTCAACAAAGGTACCTCGTTCCTTGTCTTTTAAAATGTACCTTTTATTATAGATTGTAGCTGAAGGTTTGGTCAAGTGAAATGGGCCTCCTTTTTATGGTGATTTAATGTCCCGCAAGACAAAAACATTTCAATATAAATGAGAAGAAAGGTCAAGAAAGAATACAGTTTTATTTCCTCTCATATTCAGATGTAAAAAGAGTTGGGTATCCATCTTCAACAGCTCAAAACACAAGAAAAATGTGTGTAAACTAATATTGCCAAGGAAGATTTTGGAAACGTAGTTGATAGTCCTGTGCTGTTCATATGTAGACATTTAAAGTGTAGCCTTGTTTGAACTGTAAGTTTGTTTTAAGTGTAATTTTTCATCTTTTGTACAAAACTATCAACCATAATAAATATATTCATCTGGGTCTTATGGTATTCTTGAGCACAAATAAAATAATCACATTTCTTCATCATGGTTTCAATGAAAACAAGTGCGAGTAGTGAAGCTGTTTTTTGTTGTGCTGCCGGAGCGGAGTTGACGCAGCTGGACTTCACTCCACAGGAAGCTCTCGTCTGATGAGATCCTTTCTGATTAAGATAATTAACACACTGGTTACTACCTCAAGCACTCTTGTCTCAGTCTGAAAGCTTACAATTATTCAGCGCATAGTTAATCTTTTGTTTTTTAATTCATAGTATTAAATTGTAGACTTCTAAATCAAGCACACATGGCATTACAGCACCAGCCATAGAAAGTAATCCATGGAGCTTAAAATGCAGTATTTTTGGCATTATTACATTGATGCTCAAATATTTTTTACATTTTCTCAAGCAAAGATCAATATAATGAAATATTCTAAACATTGTACACACATACAATTGGAAACATTAAATATTTTGGCCTATAGATCTATAATAACAATGCTTTCCCATTGGTCCAATTTCTGTTAATCTTGTTCAGGAAAGTCTAGCAGGAAATATAAAACATTACTCAACATAGCTCAGGGAAATCAAACTCATTTTGGTCAAGAGGGCCGAAAGAATAAAAGCTGTTCTCTTTGTTAATTATTTTGACATTATGAAGGCATTTTTAACAAATGACTCAATGACATGAGTTTGGATATTATTTTCTGGTATATTTTCTAAATAAAAATGTGTTATTTTGATTCACTGGACCAACATAGATAATAAAAAGGTCCACTTCTGTTGAAAATCCCAAATAATTGCAGCATCCATAAAACAGATATCCAAAGTTGTGCATTCCAGTTTATTTTATATCAAATTTCCCCCTTAATCAAACGCTGATGTACAAATTAAAACTTGAGTCTCAACATGCAATACAGAATCCTGCGATGGCAGAAGTGAATCTTCAAATGACAGTAAAAAGTCGCGCAGATGCCGACCCCACACATTTACCACATCCCTCCCTGCATCCCGGATTAAAACAAGACTGTGGGGGAGTTTTCAGGAGAACGCTTGTCCGTTTACTTTATGCATTTGTGAGCGAGGGGCAGAGGGCCAAATCCAGAGAGATTTGGGTTTTTTCGGTGATAATGTAATAATTTATGTACGAGTGAGAGAGGCACGTCTCTATGCCCGCGAGTGCTCCTGACACAAAAACACGGCAAGAAAAAAAAACGAAAGAGGGCAGGTTTTTCACAGAGTAAGACTGTTCCTTCTTGGCCACCGTTTACTGCCAACACATGCAAACATGCCAGAAAGCACAATGACATTCACGTTAAAGATGGTGGACATGAGAGAGAGAGAGAGAGAGAAAGAGAGAGACGTGTCCGGTGCCGCCTTTGGCCCGGAGACGTTGCGGATAGAAGCGAGAAAATAAAGCAAAAGTATATAAATCAATGACCGCTTTATAGGTCCACATACTGTAAACATTGACCTGTTAAAGTCAAGCAAATAAGTTCATAAATGTCATAAAGTAACGGTGAGGCTTTTAAAGAGGAACTATGGAACCTTTGAGCACGAATAAGCAGATATGTGATGGCCTCTTTTCGAAGTTCTAAGGACATGACTTTTTTTTTTTGGTTGGATTTTGGGTTTAATATGAGTCAACGATGGTTTCAAATGTAAAAAAAAACACAAGCTTATATATGTGTAGAATTTTCTCTGCAGCTGAAAAACCAAAAAGGCGCACACACAAACGACTTAGAATGTTGTAAGGCCTAAGTGAGAACTATCAAATGGCAATTCCATCAGCAAAGTTGCATGGTTCCCCTTTATTCTTACAGCGAAAGAGAAAAAAAAGCAGCATTGTTTTACCATTACCAAACCCTGTCCTAATATCTAACCCTGTTTTTTTGTCTAGAGGGCGTTGCCAGCACCCCTGTCCCACACGCAGTGAGTTCAAAACACCTACAATCCTTTGTCACAACACGTTACTAAGTTCCCTGTTTGGACTAATCGATGACGACAGAGACAGTGGTGGTGTGGAGCGGGGAGAGAGGCGATATTTCGGGAGGTTAAGGCACTTGAAGACTCCCGACTGGCTCGAAAAGTTGTTCAGGAAATCCGGCTACACATTGGCTCCTCTGCATGTACGTATGGCAAAAGGCAAAAAAAGGCAAAAAAAACAAAAAACAACAAACCCTCAAATTCAGACAAAGCCGAGGTAATCGTTTTTTTCTTTTTTTAAAGCGGCGTAGATGAAGTGATTGCATGTATGCCTTTAAATGTGCAAGTGTTGTGTTGAGTGTAACCTTGGCACCTAAAAAAAACTAGAAAAAAACTAACAAATAAAACATGGCTGATCCGTTGCGCTTCACGACCAGCTTGTCTTGCATAAGGCTCATGTCCCTAAACAACTTCTTCCAAGAGAGAAAAGAGATTGGCAACAAAAATAATAAAACACAGCACTAAAAAAAAAAAAAAAAAAAAAAACCCGGCTCGAAAGAAGGCTAGTCAGCAAAAAGTACCCAAGTTGCTGACCGTCTACATCCCCCTGTGGCTGTTCTGCGGATGGCCCAGGTCAGGAGTCAAGCCACACAGGCGTAATAGGCTAGCGCGATCAGGGCTACGACGAGTTCTGATTGTGGCACTGAAATTAATTGATCATAAAATCAAAAAAAAAAAAAAGACAGAAAAGAGAAATATAAATTCATAACACAATAGGAAGCTCTTGAGGAACTGACCAGTGCTGCACCGTTATCTGGGTTCGGAGCGTAAAGTGCGTATACATAAACCTACCCCGTTCCCAAGTACTCGCGTGTTTTTGGAGGTATTTCCTGTACAAGTGTACCCAAGGAGTCGATGTCGCGTTCCTCTCGAGCGGCTAAACGTGGAGAGCGTCTGTATGGCTGTGTGAGGAAGAGCACACGAGACTTTTAAAATATATCTTACATTGGAAATTACAACTATGGAACAAGTCTTTACAATTTGAATATGCCTATGTGGATATGTATAGTTGGCAAATATGAGCAGAAAATTGTTAAAACACAACCGAGACCCATCCGTCCTCTGCCTCCACCCGTTTGCTGCTTTCATTCGGAGAGAACGAGTGAATAAAAAGGATCCGCTGAAGTCATTTGGCGCTTCGTGGTTCCTCGTAACCAAACTCTTGCTGTCCCTCTTTGATAATGCAACTCTATCAACTGCTTCCCGTCAGAAAGCCAGTCATTTTGGGATTGATTCACAGAGCTCCTTTAAAAGTTGCCACAAAGCAACCGAAACAGACAGCACTGGTTATTTTCTCTTGAAGTGAAGGGTCCCGAGTGTCCGGACCAATAAGAAGCGAGTGTCACCAGTGTTGGGTTTGATTATTGTCTTTGTTCTTTAGGAGCCGCCGCCTCTGAGCATTGGTTCGACCCCCGGCGAGGATCCACAAACTATGGGTCCACGTCTTCAAGATCGCTTTTGGAATCGCCGAGCATCATGGGAGATTCTGAGCCCTGCAACAAGAGGAGAGCATTTATGAATCAAAAGAACATAAAAGCCTGGAGTACAGCAAAGGGAATAATGGTGACGGGGAGGACTCTGTTAGGTGCAGAACGGTGGGGCACCTCAGATGAATGTTAAGAGTTTCTTATTTTTCATTTGTAGAGATTCTTTAACACACAGAAAAGTCCATGTTCTAATCCTCCGCAGGTTGTAATCTTTCTCTATCAGATGGGTATCTTCACCTCAGAGGGCGATTCGATGCACATCTTGTTATCTCGATCACAGATGAGATACAGTAACAATAGGCTGCATCTAAAACCAGCTCAGATTACAGTTTTATTAATTAAACTTCAGGAAAGTGCATCATTCTTACAGATGTTTCGAAACATCAATTGAAACATGCGTAGAAACGTGTGCATCTTCTCTTTCGCAAACGTCAACCGCTGAGTGGAGGGGCGCAGACAAAAGACTGGGTCAACAGGCTCCGGGACGATACTATTTATAGATCATGCTTCGCAGGCGCCTTTTCGTGGTCCTTGCGGGCGACTATGCACCCACGGGGAAAGGGCTGGTGACCCCTGCACTGAAACTAGAGAGCCAGGGCCAATCAGATCTCAGTATAGAACCTGAGACAATTGAGATAAAACATGCTGCTATAACAAAGGGACACTGGGCTGAGCAGGTATAGTAGCGATCTAAGACTGTTTTGGTGAAATTCTTGCATTGGATCAGAGACAAGAGCAGATGGTTTATTGATGCATGCTGGAATGTCCCGGTGCAGTCGCATCACATGTGCTTGATTAGAACCATCGGAGCAAATCGGTGAATCTCTCCATCCCTCGATAAGACAGGATTCACTTTATGACAGGGCTGGAGTATGGTGTGCTCGTAATGGTTTAGAATGAAAACCTGTAGCCAGTTGTATGATAATTGATATGTAATATATATGTATACTATGTATGTATACACCTGTAATGGTGCTGCTCCATGTACAATGCAGAATGTTTCCACTGGAACATAAATTATGCAAACTGCTAGGACCAATTTGGTTCTGTACTTGCAGCAAACATGATAATCTCTGCATGCTTATTATATTAGCAGTGTTCATGTGTGTGCCAGCAGAGCCATGTGTGGGCCCTGGCTCTAATAACAGCCGTGGGAGGCAACAAAGTGCCTCAGCAGCTCGCGACAGGAGCCAGAGAAACGCTTCATTTCAGTGCACTCCTCTTTAGAACAGCCAGGAGCCAGATCACCATGAACTGAGCATTTATTGTAGAAGTGAATAAACCAATGGGAGCTAAACTTCAGAAAGACTTCTATTCATTGTTTTGCTCAATGCAATTTCAATTAGAAATTTTTTTGTATTCTTCATTGAATATTTCCATAACGACAGCATACCTGTCTGAGGCTGCGCTCTGCGTTCTCATTGGCTGGACTCCCATCAGAACCGTTACTGCTGCCAGACTGTTCCTTCTCGTTTAACAGGGCGGTAGCGTACGCCAGAGTGTCCTGGAAACAGACAAGAGCACAGTATGAAGGACGTTGAATGGAATACACCTACAGTCTCAGGAACCAGGGACAGATGGAATCAAGCTCTGATCTGGTGCAGAACAAGTCTCTGTGAGATCAAGGTCTCTGTCCCTTCAATAAAGATGAAACCTGACGCTCTCAAAACGGTTTAGATTTATCACTAGTTGCATGCATTAGTAGTGTTTCAGACAGAAAAGTGGCTGAGTGAGCGTGGTCCTCTCTTTTTCAATCAGCGCTCTGTAAAAAATAACCTGTTTTCTAATTGGACAAACACAGCATGTTGTGGTCTGAAAAACTAATTTGGACAGATTTTCTCTTGGAACAAATAGATAAATGTTAATTATTGGATGCAATAAAACCTATAACCACAACTATACCTTAAGCACTTCTTTTGAATTGGAACTCTTGAAAATAAAGAATATTCCTGCCTTACACCCAATTCAAACAAACTAATGTGGCGTCGCAATCAGAAACTTCTGAAATAAGACTTGTACTGAACACTGAGACCTGAAGGGTAAAGGAAGCATTGAAACCACAGTCATTGTAGATTCCTCTTTTAGTGCAAGGACTGAATGTTATTTAAAACCCAAGGTTTAGAGTTTTACCTGCGCTGAGATTGTGCGCTGGAAAGTTTTGTTGGTTGAAGTTTCATTGGAGACGTTGCTCTGTGGAGTCCAATAATGTTCTGTCATCTGAAAATACAGAAAAAAAGAAAGTGTCCAAACATAAAAATATGATCCTTCAAAGTTGCCATGGAAACAGTACATCTAGTTTCTAAATATATCTGCATGTACAAAGAACACATTACGGCTGTAACAGCAGTGAGTGGTTATCACGATTCTTTGAGTTTACCTTTTTCTGCAGCCACTGCACAGCCCAGCTCCAGTGACCCGACAGTTCTTTGAAGTAATCCTTAGCCTGAGGACACCTAACAAAACAAAGTTTAGAATAATATAATCAACTTTAAACAATTGAAATTTCACAACAAAAACCTACTTTTGGGCCAAAGTGACCAGGAACTTGACGCACTGATAACAGCGCCTGCTGTCCACATTGTTGCTCTGGTGCATCAAAGCTGTGGGCACAGGACTTTTAGTTCAAAGAATGTGTCACTGATAATTACTTTTAATAAACAAACATACAAATACCTAGAAGGCCTTTATCTGATTCAAATGCATATTTAAGTCGTTGAGCTTGTAGAGGATCTTCCACTACCTTTTGATAGACAAATGCACAGGTTTATTGAGAAACAATGGATAAATAGAAAACATTCTGTGGAAACATCAAACTGCAACACACCAATAACTCCTGCAGCATCTGAAACACGTTCTTTAGTTCATGAGGCGGAGCAGACTCAAGCTGGGTCTTGTGGTAACAACAAAAATAAAGGGTTAGTTAGGAAAGAGACGACCAAAACATTATATAGAGCGTGTCATACTTTGAGTAATTGCAGCACTCCCAGTGAGAAAGGCTCGTTACAGTACGAACAGTAGGTCACCATCTCGATGAGCAGAGACAGAGGCCCACTCAACTCTCTCATCGCAAACATCACCTGCAAAACACACACACCTTTTTATTAGGATTTAATCAACAGCATCTTAAAAATAATATGGAATCATGTATGTCGCTGGTACCTCTAGTAGATAAGGCTGCCCCTCTGGAGTGAATAGAGAGGCCAGAATGTCCGGGTGAAGAGGCAGCAGAGATGTGGAGGACGATACAGTCCCAGCCAGTGGCTTAAATGCTCCTGGAGCTGTGCACACACACAAACATACACGTACACACACAAACATACGCGTACACACGCGTGTGAAAACAGTGGTTTAGCAACAGAACTGAAGTCGATGAGTTGGCATCAGTCAGAAAAATAATATTCAACCTTGTGTTCGGTGAGGGCCAAGGTCAGAGTGAAGCGTGATAAGAGCCAGAGTGCTGTGCAGGTAAAGAAACTCCCGCGCCTGAGCTGGACTCCAACGCCGGTTCTGCCAAAGAAGAAAAATGCCTCAGTAATGTAAAAAAAAAAAAAAAGAAAGAAAAATCAAGTTTCTCAAAGCTTTAGTGATCGTTTGCTATAGTCTGCATCACAGCAGGGTGATGATTACATGCATTCATTTCCTGGTAACACATTAGCATAAACGTCTGCATTGTACCTGATTGTTCTGTCGGTTGGGTCCCAACAAGAAGATGAGCATTCTCCGGTATGCGGAGTGTTTCAGCAATAACTGACAAGGACCACAACCCTGAGAGGAAGCGGGAAACATTTACAAAGTCAGGCCATTGCAATCAAACAAATCATATCAAATCTGTTTCTTACTACCCTCAGGGCAAAGTTGCTGAAGAGGTTGAAGTACTGAGCGCAGTTTTTCACATTCTCTGGAACGTCTTTGTCCAGCAGAGACAGGAGGGCGTCGGTCAGATTGTCCAGTCCTGGATCGGAAAAGAATATGGCACTTTCCAAAGTCTTCTCCAGGATAGAGGCAACCACCACTCGCACTTCTCTCACGCTGCACTCCAACAAGCACACCCTGAAACAAAGTAACATCAATTTTTGATTAAACGACGATAATACATTACAGTAAATCATCGGTGAAAAAACAACAACAATTGAGGTGTGTAGGTCCTAATACACATTTACTACTGCAAGACTGACTTGTTTATTATTTCCTCATTCTTATTTCATACATGTAACAAATGGATTCTGCTTTGTGGGACAGAAGGTATGGAAGCAGCATTCGCCCAGTCGTGTTGGCCTTGGATTCCCACTTTATTTAGACGTAGCAGAGTTCTTTGAGTTCAACACTACTATGGTATGCAGGAGGGCTGGAGCACCCTTCGCTACAACCAATCGTGCAATGAGACCATATGATCACCTCATGTTTTAGCGCAGAGCGGAGGTGGGCGAGGCCTTTATTTGGCTCTGCGTGAGTGCATTCCTGAGGCCAACCCCTTGTTTCAGCCAATCAGCTCCGAATAACAGAAGGCATGCCTGAACGTTTAGCGCACACTGCTAACTTCAGAATTGAAACTAGAACTTTATCGACTGAAAATAAATGCGTTGTGCTGTGTAAGTGAATGAAGTTGCATACAAAATAACAAGATGAGAGAGGACTTGTACTGTGATTTTAAATTAGAAAGTAACGAGCAACCAACGCATCTTGACATCTACTACAGCTACAGATTCTTGGAGCACATCAGGTCACTACGACAAACAGAAAAACAAGCACTAACCACGAAGTATCATGATAATGTAATGTTTAAATACAGCACATGGGTATTTTAAAGAAAGAGTATTTACTGAATGGACATTGGGTTTTTCTGTGTTACAAACTAAATCAATAAAAACAATTGTATTAAAAATATTGAAGAAAAAGATAAAAGTATCATGAGAATGAGACTTAAAATTGTTTTAAAAGCATGCATTCTTGACCAGGGTTTCCGTGGTCAATCACTAACAAGACAATGAAACGTGTTTGGTCAATAGCTTGCATTGTCATTTTTCTAGACATCTTTATGAGAAATAATCGGACAAATAAGACTTACGTTTTTGTTTTATGTGGATTGGTACAATAATGACAGAGAAATTCGCTTCAAACTGCTTGACTATTACAAGCTACTCTCATATTTTAAACAAAAAAAGCTCTTCAGAATGTTGTGTTGTTACATTAATCCAACATATTCTACATAATGCAGTCAGCTGCTGGTATGCAATGATTAAGCACTATAAGAAAGGATCTCCTCAAAGCATTTTTCCTCACACAAACCTGATAATTTCTCTGCCCTCGCCGCTGACGAGGTACTGGACCATCCACTGACAGGCCTCGCTGCTCTTGGTCAGCAGCACCTCAACGGTCGCCATCCACTCCTCGGTGTCCACTCTGCACCGATACAAATGAAGATGTGACGCAACAAACAGTCACAGTCACAGGAAAAGTTACGAATAAGACGTATCATTAGTGTCGTCATATTAGTTTAGTGACAAGAAGAATGTAATTGGCCCCCGGCAAGTTGCAGTAAATAAAACACATACCGCAGCTTCTTTTTAGTGTGTAGGTAGGTGTGGAAGAGGAAGTTGACAGACAACTGGAGACTCTCTTTGGCCATCGCCTGATAGTCTGGGTGCTTCAGCTTCGTCTGTAAAGAAAACATGGAATTTCTGTCATGATAATCAATATATAACGACTTATCAGCTCAATATTACAATATAACGGTTGTATATCATCAATGCAAAATGTAATGGGCGCGACAGTGGCTCAGTTGAGCATTGGCCTTAGAGCCTGAAGGATGGCGGTTCGAGCCCACCACCAGACCTTCCATCGACACCCACTTGATGTCTGCTGTCGTTGTGTCCTTGGGCATCCATCCAAAACTGATAAATTTATCTATGACCCATGGTCTGTGAAAAGGCGCTATAGAAATATTACTTACTCACTATAAGTTACACGTTTTCATTTACATGAGTCATGCATGTGTTTTACTGTGTTCAATTTCTCCTAATACCCGTTTTGATATGTCAGACTCCATTCATTAGCTTGTCGGCGGCACGGTGGCTGAGTGGATAGCACTCTCGCCTCTCAGCAAGAAGGTCCTGGGTTCGAATCCCGGTCGGACCAGGGCCTTTCTGAGTGGAGTTTGCATGTTCTCCCCGTGTCTGCGTAGGTTTCCTCCGGGTACTCCGGTTTCCCCTACCACTAAAAATATGTCCAATAGTTCTGGCATGCGCTTCCTGTACTGGCGACCCCGCTCCCATCTCTGTGTGGAGTGAGAGAAAAATGCCCAAAATTAACAATTGTAAACCGCTTTGAGACTCAGATCTGCAGTGAAAAGGCGGTATATAAATAAAAACTTACTTACTTACTTACTTACATTTCTCCCTCGGGTGTCCCATTTTTTCCACAGTGTCAGTAAAGATTCCACACAAATAATGTCTATAGAAATCTAATTAAAATAATGATACGGTACATTTATTAGTTTTTATCCCTCCTGTGGATTTATCTTATAGTTCATGGCAATACATCCCTCATACATTTTAAATCTTTTCTCAAGCCATTACACATTCTTGTTGAGGGACAGTGTAACGGGTGATTCATATATCAAAAGACAGTAAATAAGGACCTACAGCATTGACGGAGGCCAGGGAGAGGCTGAAGTTGAAGTAGTCGCTGTTGTAAACATCCCGGTTCCTCATGAACCGTAGATTCTCGTCTCTCACATTCTGCAACAAACAAATTAAACCCTGTTATAATGCGACAGTCGGGTTTAAGACTCTTTCGGCTCTCCATGATCGACACCTGGTAGATGCTGGCTGGCATTTTCTCCACAAACAGGCCCTTCTTCTCTCCTTTGCGAACGAGGCGCGTGAGGAGGGTCAGCCGGTCGTTGTTGGCTCTAGGGGGACGAGGGGAGGACTGGGGTGAAACATCAGGGGACGACGGAGCTGACCTGCAAACACATAGTAAAGGTGGGTGTTTTTAATATGCCGATGTCTGGGGGACTTAAATGTTGTAAGTTTATACTTAAGGCTATCAAATAGAAAGCCATGGTAAAGAAAAAGCTTAGACAAATCATCTTACCATGAGTTTTCTGAACTCCATGGTTGACCACTTTTGCATTATGTTCAAATGATGAGAAACAGTGTACAATACAGGAGCAATAGCACTTCTTTACAGTTTAGGATTCTAACTAAAAACTGATCATATGAAGTGAATGCAGTCTGTTTTAAATGTTTACAAACTGCCATGTGGTTGACAGTCCTAATAACTACTTAACAAATAACTGAGCAGGATGCCACAACTGAATGCTGAAAATACATTTAAAATGCAACATTGAGACTCACAGTGAGAGGTCCTCCGCCTCCTGTCTCATGATGCTCACTCTGCTCTTCTTTGGCAACACTGGAGAGTTCTGATCACTGATTTTCTGATAAAACAACATGTAGGCGTTCCAGTACCGGCGCCGCACGTCTGGGTAGGGGTTAGCTGCACAAACAAAACAACAACATGAACATGAAGCGTCACGTCGGTTTGATGATTTAGAGATGAAGCAAGACACTTACACTGATCATACACTTTGGGTCTGTACTCTCCTCCAAAGCACTCGTACTCCAGAGTCTCATCGTTCATGTCAAACTCCTCCACCACGTTATCGTTGAACTTGTACCAGCGACCACGGGCACCGCCACTGAAATTCAAGACTCATACTATAATTGATTTACAGATTGTAGTAGAAGTCACACTATGAGAATATGCAAATTTTAAAGAATTTATTATAAAGTTAAAAACCCTAAATATCCATCCATCCATTTTCATCTGTTGCCGGAATGCAGGGGATGCAGTCTAAGCAGGAAATCCCAGACTTCCTTAACCACCCAGGACAGTTGAGAGACATGGTCCCTCCAACGAGTCCTGGGTCTTCCTCGGGGCCTCCTGACGGTGGGATGTGCCTGAAACACCTCACCCAGGCGGGGCGTCCAGGAGGCATCCAGAATAGAAGCCTGTATCACCTCAACTGAATCCTCTCGACGTGGAAAAGCAGCGATTCTACTCTGAGCTCCTCTTGTGTGACTGAGCTCCTCACCTTATCTCTTAGGGAGGGAAATATGTATGCAATATGTATGTATGTGACTTAATAACAGACTAAAAGGGCAAGACTTCCCCCACTCATTGTTTGTGGAATTGCGATATCTATCCATCCATCTACATTCACAGGGTTTTAGTAAACTATATTGAAACAGCAACAGTAGAACATTGAAAGAGCAACAGAATTGGTGTCGGATATTGGCTCCTACAGTTACTCTCTGCTGAGGAGTTTCCTGATTTCGAGCCAAACATCTGGAGACATTTAAAAGTGAATTATCCGATACAGGCACTTATTCCCCAGGGAAGCCGAACAGTACTGTGCAAATACCACAAATAAGATGCCTCTTTTATAAGAGCAACGGTTCTCAAATATTATGCTGGCATTTCATTTCAAGTGTATTTAATAGAATGTATGGTAAAACATATACAACTGAACTATGTGTGCATGTTTATCACGAAGCAGGTGGAAGCCTTTGGATACAGCTACTCAACTAGCTTAGCTAGCACTTAGAGGCGTATAAGTATATACTGTAAAAATGCACAACAACCACTGTTCAGAATAAAAGGCTTTAAGGTCATCCCTCATTGAGTATGTCCTGTCCAACAAAACCATCGCTTGGATCAAACAAGCAAACAAGATAACAGTAATTCAAGCAGCCAGACTGAGACAGGTGATCCCTCCCATACACTGAACCAGGCGTTGGCGCTTCTCCCATTAGACAAAAGCAAAGTTATTGGAAAGAAATTCTCAAAAACTGTATTCTTCAGAAAGGCATAGCACAGCGTTTGTGCAGCATTGAGAAAGCCATTTGGTTTTTACCGTCTGTCTTTGATGAATGAGTAGTAGTGTCCAGCGTGGGCTTGACCGCTGTGCACCACCACGCCCACCAGCTCGTAGTTCTCAGAGATGGTGACTTTTTTCCGTGGCGAGCTCCCAGAGGCCAGGTCTCCTTTGCCCTCTACTCCCTCTCCGCTGCAGTCCTGTCGGGCCATCCCAGACACAGTGTACGGCTCCATGTTTAACACCCAGGGGAACTGAACACACGGAGAACATGCATGACCAAAATATACTTTATAATAATACATTTTATTTAAATGTCTCCTAAGAAAAAGGTTTAAAAAATACATAGAACTCGAGGAAACTGCATCTCTTTGGTATGCCAAAATAAAGCATGTTTTTCTATAAAAAGTATTTCATAATTAAAATTAAATTGGCTTTACGTATCATAAGGTACACTTTATTCACCCTTATTTGTTCATCGTATTTGATGGAGCGACCACTCTCCCAGTCGAAGCCAAAGCGCATCAGGTGAATACAGAGGACACTGGGCAAGGATTTAATGCAGGTTCTTTTCACGGTGGTTCTCTGAGGGGCAATAATGAACTAGTGAAAATACTGGCTCAAATTTAAGTCCAAAGTATTTCCATATAAATCAGTTTGCAAACCTTGTCTTTGCATTTCTCACAGTAGTACGCGTTGCTTCCCTCTAGCACCTCTCCGCGAACAAACTGATCCAAGGAGATTTCCAAGCTTTGACAAGATGTGACGCCAAGATTAAGAGCCATAAATGTTTCTTCCCGTTCGTACCTGAGAAATAAGTAAACGGGTTGAATACACAATGTGTACAGAAATGAACCCAACACCGTAACAGAATGTCTCACCGATGGGGGCAGTCTTTACAAATCTTTTGATCCGAGAAGATCCCCTGAAATGTGTTTTTGAAGATCTGCTCTCGGCCCATTTTCTGGAAAAGTTTAGATTTGATTGAGGTTATTTAACTGCAAGATGATGTGAAATAAAAAAGAAGAGTTGAACTGTTGTACCTTGAGATGCTCATCAAGCTGGTCTACGAGGCTGGTGAAAAACTCGTACGCGTCTTGCTGTTCCCGAACGTACAACTCCTTGTTCCACATTTTAAATATCTGCACAAAAAGGTTAAAGTAAATAACTAATAACAGGGAACGATATGTGTGTACAAGACATTTTGACTCAGTACCTTCCAGAAGTTCTCAGGGATATAGTACTGAAGCTTGCTTTCCATTAAGTGGCCAAAAAGAGACTGGACTTGGTAGAAGACACTCTCCTCTGGCTGGTCTGTGTCGTCCTCAATGGACAGAAAAGCCTGGAAGAAAAACCTGAAGATTACAGTGTGCTGAAATGCAGGTTACCATAATTTAGGGCTGCAGAGAGTTTTACCAGTCAACTCATAAAAGCCCCTAAAACATTGCAACAGACTTCTAAATGTTAAACTGTTATTTTCAAGAAGCCCCTTATGTCACCATATTTAGAGTAAAGTTTAAAGAGCAAAAACCTCATCTTCATCTTTAGTCTATTCCATGTTCAGTTTTGTTATGTATTGTATATGCTGAAATAATAGCTAGTTTTTGTAGTATGTAGTATGTAGCTGTGTATGTTCTAAAAGTTTCTGGATTTTTGTGACAGTGTTTATGTATATTTAATGTAATGCAAGTGACAATATTCATAACAATGCACCTCCGGAAGCCCAGGCTGCATGTAGAGCTGCTGAAACACAGCGTTCATATAACACGTGGCTCCACCGTTTTTCAGACCAACAAATCCTGAGATAGAGCGGCTCTCGACTGGTGGGAGATACTGAAATGACAATAAATAAGTGTTATAATATGCTGGTCAAGCACACAGTCGATGTGAATGAGTGAAAGTATATCTATCACATACATCGAATTCTTTGCTGAGGGAGGGGTCGAGCTGGTGATGCATCGACAGCAACTCTTTGGTGATGAGCTTGAGGTTTGAGAGTGAGCTGTCGGCCAGCATCACCATCACCTCGTACGCTGCAAGCCTGCTGCTGGCCGTGCTACACCTCCAAAAAACAAGCAAAACATTAAATAGGAACCTGAACGTCAATGTAAATAACGTACGTCTAACTTTAAGGCTCATGAATTCTAAATAGTAGCGATAATGGAACCTTTAAGTTACATTCATTATTTAACTTACAGATGTTCACTTTAAACTAAAGCAGCCAATAGAATAGAATAACGTGTTAGACAAAGGATCTTTACTTAGGGTGGAAGTCGTGGCTTGGAGCAGGAGACTGTATCGAGTTTGAACTGTTGATGATAATGCGTGACGCCCGAAACAGGAAGTCGTCCAACAACTGCTGGATCAAAGACGGACCTGAAAAGATCACAGTGTGTCCATTTAAAACCTTGTGGAATGCCACATTACTAGTTTAAAGACTGGGGACTAACCAAGACTAGGGATATTGTGATTTTTCAGGTGACATAATCCTAACACTGTACCATCTATTGCCAGACAGAAACCTAGAATGGTTTCTTCCATTAGAAAATGTGCTTTTAAAAACAGTAAAATATATATTCAAATCAATTTAAATACATTTATTGTTCACCAGTTTTGAGGTGTGTAAAATTTATTGTAATAAGTTATAGTTGTTGAGTTAAAGAGTCAATGATTGTGTTGCAGTTTATTTTTGTATTAATCCTAACTTGATGGTGACATCCATAACGAGGACTTTCAACGAGATTAACCTGGCATATCAAGAGAGTCTCCCTCCACCATTGCATTCGACCCACTGCAGTAATTCAAGCAAAAACAAATCTAATTGTGTAGAAACAAACCCAGATGTTCCTTCTCGGTGCCGCACAGCGACAGCAGCGTCTTAATGAGCCGCAAGTGTCCGGCCAGAAGAACGTTGTCCGCTTCACTCGTCTCCATCTCAGAGCTCCAGCTCGGCTCAAAGTTATCCAACCAAGAGATCTCATCCTCCAGCATCGTGGCTGCGCTCAGTTTAATGACCTCCATCTCTGAAACTGGAATAAAATATAAATACAATTTTTGAGACAAGAATTATGCAGATTATAGAGGTGCTATGTGTGAGGCTTTTACAGTGTTGTACAGTGCTTTATAGTCTTTGATTGACACTTGTCTGACTGACATATAATCCACTTACTTGTCAAGTCATCCAGCAGCTGGCACCTTAGGTCAAAGTACTCTGTGCACTGAGATAGCAATCTAAGAAGAAGAACACGATCAATACCAAGCCTTTACTGCACTGCGACATTTGCAATGTAGGGGGCAGTACCTCTGGTTAACTCCTCTCATGACAGACGTGGGACTCCAGAGAGGAAGCTGTGCCGTGAGTATCACAGAGAGCAGGAACAGATTGGGTTTCTGCACATCGGGGAAGGCTGAGGTGTCAGACTGACTCAAGGTGTAGAGCTGGTCACAGGCCACACGGCGAATCTGAAATGAAGACTTTACTCAGCTCAGGCCGCTCACGAGAAGGCACTTGAGCATGTATTGAACCAGCACTAAAGCTTACCTCTCCACTGGGAGATCCCAGCAGAATATCAATAATAAAATCATTGACAGCAGGAAGGTTGTAAAATGAACCTAGTGACAAACCACACAGGAGTTTAGTTACATACGACTAAAAATATACATTCATGACATGCCTGATAGACCAAAACATGAACTGAGAAGTAAGACTTACAGAGCTGCTGGCATCTCAGCTGCAAACAGGTCACCAGGAGGGATAAGGCCTCACGAGCAATGATCCCATCTTTATTGGAAACACACAGCTGTCTGACACATATCCCAGCATGCAGTGCTGTAGGTGCAGCCTCTCCTTCACTGCTGGAACTGCAGTTACTCCCTGCAAAGTACATTTATATTTAATGTCTTTAACAGCCATGTTTGTGTGAAGGAACATTTCACACAGGATGTTAATGTCAATAAAATGACTCCACAATAGTTTCTCACTTACCAGTGCTGCTAACTCTGGTGCGGACACCTTGTGGTAGGAGACTGTGGCTCTCTCTGATTGGCTGTGGACTCCCAACCAGATCCAACCGACCTGCTGCTGCTGCCCAGGTCAGGCGCATGAAGCAGGCGACAGTTGATGTAAAGTCTGTTACCTCCATAGTCTAAAGTAGTGACACAATAGTGTAAATGAGGACTATTATTTTCATTTTGGACTTGATATTTCCATTATACAAGTGACTTCATGAGCAGGCACCTGTATAGCTACACGTGCAGCTGGGATGATCTCTTCCACTCTGATGGAGGAGCGCTCTGACAGAGACATCTGTCTGTAGGACGACTTCTCTGGGGTGGCACACAGAGACAGCTGCCTCCCACTGCGGCTGGCATTTCTGAAGGGACGTGAAGACAGAGCATCTCCATCTCGAATCACATCATCGTCTAGAAGTGCAGGCATACTTTGGCCCACAAGGAGGAACCTACAAACAAAGAAAAGTTAAAAATGACTTTTAAAAAAATGTAAAAATATGAAAAGAGTGGTTTTGAACCTGGCCAACTGAAGGCAGATTGAGTAGACCCCTTGTCTAGTCTCATAGTCCACCTCTGACGGGATGGAGTCTCTTTGCATGACATTTACTACGAGACTGAAAAAACAGAAGGACCCACATAAAAAAAAAAAAAAACAAGTATAATGTATTACAATGTTCAAGACAAGTTTTTACCTGAGTCCACTTGCTTTCAGAAAGTTTTCACAGAACGATTTGCTGCTGGTTTTGGCCATCTCATCATCAGACGTGGGCATGAGCTTTGAACTCAAAACCTGTAAACATATTTATTATATAAATGTGCCTGTCATCTGCGATGTGTAGTGATGGTGATGTAAAATCTGGTACCTCCAAGTTGTACAGAACTCTGAAGGTGGACATTCCAGGTGCCGAGGATCTGAAGAGGGACTCCAAAATGGATGCTGCGCTGGGTTGGTGCTGCTGTTTAGAGGTCATAGAGGGAGAGCGAGACCCTGAACCCTGACCGAGCGTGAACAGGGTTTTCTACAACAGCAAATGGCCACATTGAAGCCAACAAAAGAAGCCCACAAAAAACAATATAGAAAACCAGAAGCAGTACCTGGTGGCTCCAGACACTAGATTCTTTGGGGACAAAATTGTCAAGTGCGTCCTGAACTTCAGGATCAGTAGGGATGAGCAGCAATAGCTTCCGGACACGAAGCGTAATTCTAATAAGAATAATCAAATAAAGAATTATCACCCTGTTTATGATAAACTGAGAGTGTTTTCTACACAATAAAATGTCACACATGGTTATCCCGTTCATGCGCTTTGGCTTCGACTGTGAGAGTGGTTCCTCCATTAAATACAATGAACAGATGAAAGTAATCTTGAGTGCCCAGAAAGGCGCCATATAAATAAAATACTACTAGTTATGTTTTGGTCATGCATGTGCTCTGTGTGTTCAGTTCTTCACGGTGTCTGTTACCTAGGTTCATCCAAGTTTGCCAGTTGGTAAAGCATCTCAAACACATTACAGACTAACGCCATCACAATGCCTGGCAAGGATTTTTCCTGAACAAATAAGTAGAATAGATTAACACTGGAGATGGATAAGCAGTCTTTATTGCTGTGCCTAGTGCTGTATGTCGCACCTGTTCTAAGGCGTAGGCGGAGTTGAAGACTGCAGAGCTGGAGCTGCTGGAGGCAGAGGCGGAGGACTCTGAGCTGCCGGAGGGCGTCCCGGTGCCTGAGCTCTTCACCGTTAGACTCTGCTCATCACTGAATCCCAGCTGGGACAGAAGCTTCTGGTCACGGTTCATAGTCAGCTACAAAAGAAACGTAAAACATGACAGTGAGAAAGGAAAGTTATAAAACCTATCCATGGCCAAATGCTGATCTCAGTCCAATTGACATTTGTTTTAACCATCTGGTTCAGCTATCACACAGTAGCTATCAAGAACAAGCTGAGTAGAATTGAGAAAGGAGAGACTGTGACTTTAGGGATGACAATTCAGCAGCAGTGATGCAGAACAACCTCTGTATGTTTAAAGTATTACCATGATATACAACGTACTATAAAACGACACGACATGGCTTGTCATGTCTTTGTACCATATTGACTCCAAGTCTTTGACTAGCTCTAGCTATCCATAAAAAGTTACAATTTAAACTGTCAACTTTACTGTGAGCTTTGTTTTATTCCATATTTTTTTGTCTTTTGTGTTGTGCTTTTTGAATAAAAAGCACTCTACAAATAAGGACTGATAGTTAATAGGCCAATAAGAGTTCATAGAAAACGTACCACGCTGTCATTGGCAAAGATCTGGACATTATCCACTTGACAGCTCAAGTGCTCGGAAATCTTCCACCGGATATTTCCAATGGTCTCATTACTGTGGGTCTGAGGAATAAACAGTCAGTATCTTCCTGTAACCGGACCCAGAGTAGTCTTTTGTTAAGTTACCTCCAAGGAGAAAGTGTCTTTGGTTGACTCATAAGTGACGTGGAGAGTGACGGGGTGTCCGTTGAACGATGCCCCGTGAGGTAGGATTGTGCGAGGAACTGAGTACATATCCTGCATCAAGAAAATGTAAAAAAAGATCAATATATATTAATAAAACTTCTATCTACACTGTATAAAATAGTATTTGTGGACAGAGAGAAGTCGTTTAGCCATACAGTATGTACCTCGATTGTGAGCACATAGCGTTCGGCCAGTAGCAGCAGTCTTTCGATTATCACCAGTTTAGTTGATCTGGAAAAAAAAAAGTAGTTTAAGAATTAAGCATTACATTTTTTTATAAAAAGAGCAAACCCTCAAAAACACATGTATAAAAGTGAATAACTAATTTCTTACCCAAACCCCAGTGTGTACCTGGATGGAGATTGTACAGACGTGGCCACAGTCGGCATGGCAGTGGCCGTCAGCATCTTTGTCGCCCGTGTAACAGCATGAGTGAGAGTGGGGCCCCCAAGGGCCGAACTAGCAGCCTTAAATAAAAGCACAAAAGAATTTTAAACAAATATTAGAAAAAAAACATTGTACTCAAGGCTTTAACAGACCTACCTCAAGTCGCTTGTAACAATCAGCAATAAACTTTTTGTGCAAAGAAACAGAATCCTAGAAAAATAAATTTAAAATGTACGTCAGAATATTCTATATATGCACATGTAATTAAAGACAATGTTCTTCACCTTCTTCATTTTTGGGTTGAGGTTAGTGTAGCTATACGTGATAATGAGTTGAATTGCTTCATTGGCAATTTCTTCATCTGGAGTCTCCATGGCGATGCGCCAGATAAAGTCCATGCCTGCCAGATCGAGGCGCTCCACACACTGATGGGAGAGAAAAGAGGTTCACATGAGTCTTCACAAATATATAAAACCACGATAGAGACTTACCAACTGAGTGCCCTGTCGCTTCAGACGATGGTCACACAGATTAACATTTTCAAAGAATGTCTTAAAAAGATTAAAACCTTGAGAGAAAAAACAAACATTAACTTTATATGTCATTTATGGTTAAAGTGCAGCACTAAGCGATGTCTGACCATTCATAGTAATCTCATAAGGCTCGAGCTTCAGGATTTTCTCTTTAAAAAGCTGCTGCTGCACATCACTCTCCAGGTCGTGCTGTCCTTTGGTGAACCACTCAAAACACATCTGCAGAGATTAACAACATTTCCTGTAAAAAAATAATAAAAAAGGGCTTTCTCTACTCTAAAGCTCCAACAAAAAAGCAATAGTTGTGTTCGATCAATGACGAGAAGTTGGACTTCATTCATCTATGCTTTTGTGAAAAACATTAGACGAATCTCTTAATGCCACTAGACAAAAAAACTAGCACCAGTTGAATGTGTGCAGGTACCTCTCTGTCGAGCTCGCAGACGTCTGGTCCTGACACCAGACACTCCCAGAGCTCTTTGGCCCTGTTCCACACCAGGTACAGACTAGCCTCCTGCAGGAAGAAGGCCAGGAAGCGCAGGTGGCTGTCCAGATACTAAACAAAGAAACAGGCAGATGTCTCCATGAACTTCAGACACTCCACATCCACAAACACAGAGCTTGCCCAGATTATGTGTGCTGCATGCAGCTGGTGCAATAAGGAATGACAACACAGCAAAGAACCAAAAGCTTTCATATAGGACTAGTCAAGTGTACTTGGTGCAGTTGCAATGGCAGTCATTTTAAGAAATGTTATGTCAATTTTTTATTTTATTCTTATGCACGCTTTATTCTTTTAATACTTGTATAACTAGTTTGCACTGAGAGCCAAAACAATTTCCTAAATTGTGACTTCCTGTTACTTGGCAATAGATTATAAAAACCTACAGTATATAGTATTATTAAGATAAAAAGACACTACAGGAAACAAATCAGTAAATTATGTATATGGGGTGGGAGTCAAAATTTTTCTTCATGAATACATCCATGTATGTGTATACAGTAGACAAAAATATGATCAATGTACCAATAACTATTTTACCTCAAATTACTGAATGAAATGAATAACTGAAATGACTCAAAGCACAGACATGGTTATAATGTCTGACTGTAAAGAGGAAAGAAGAGTCAGCACAATACAAAGCTTCCAATTTAGTCCAAACAATCAATAACTAAAGATAATATGAATGAGAAAAGGTTTTGCACTAAAGGTAAACTGACAAAATAGGCTATTATTCATTCTAAGAATGTGTCCTTCACTGCACACAGAGAAAAAGGCAAAGAGCGGGTGAGAAGGAAGCATTTGTCTTAGATTTGTGTCCTGTACCGAGCACCGCTTGTCCCCGACACTCTGCTTTATTGGCCGTTGATGTAACAGCGATGTTATTTAACTTGAAAAGTGCAGCCATGTGAAAATGAGGATCCAGAGCCAAGTAACGCCCCAGTGATATCACAAAAGCAACTTTGGTTTATTCACCCAATTTAATCTCAGTGTAATCTGGGCTCTAGTGTGCAAATACTTTTTTACCAACTATGTAACTTGCAATGTTTTGCAATTGCCTTACGTCCAGTGTTTTGAAAATTTAAACTTCCTCCCTGAAAACCCAAGCAGACATTTACCATAAATTAACTTTGTGTCCTAATTTCTGCAGATCTCTGGCAAGAAATAATGAATGTTTTCAATTCTCCAACCTCCTGATAGGTGTATCGTCCGTCCACCATGGTGGACCCTGAGAGTCCAATGTTTCCTGAAGCAGAAGCAGCAAGGCGATGGCAGCACACGAGAGACCCGGTGATCAACTTCACTATCTCAAAGTTCTTCTTCAGATCCTGAATGATGCTCTGCAGACAGACAAGGACAACATACTAAAGCACACTGTCCAGTCCTCATTTATGACAGCACTACATATTTCAATGGAATAATCTTAACTTTTATGTATGTATTAGTGCATGTAGGAAAAACATACATTTCCCCAGTGCTTTGAGTGCAAATGTGATATTGATGTTGGCCACATTGGACAGAGGATAATGTTATTCATCTTCATATTTCTAAGACACAATTCAATAGACTTGTGATCTTACTTTGTCTTGCTTCTGATAAGTCTGCTTGATGAAGGAGCGAGTAATTTCATGTAATTGTCTGAGAGCAGGGACGACCCACACCGCTTGGGGACTGCTGTGTTGAGAGGCCTGTAAAAAAAGATAAAAATTAATTCTTGCGTCAGAACAAATGTTACTTATTAGACAATGTAACCAACCACATCAAGACCATGAACATAATCTCTGAATCAATATTTAGCGTATGAACATGGTGCTGATGAGATTAGTTGTTAAAAGAGTAAACTGAAGAACCACCATGAAGACAATTCCTCTAAGATTAAAAAGAATTTGTGCCGTAAACCACCGGAGATAGGATCAACACCAGTGTGATTATAATGCTGCAGCCCATGTTGTAGGAAAGCAAACAATTAAAACAGACAATTAGCTTTGTGTTAGCGTCCTTCTAAGATCCAAGTCTCCCTGATTAGCAGAAGCAGCAAGATTGGTGCGATAAGACTGTCCCAGTAAAAAGAGTAATGATATGCGTTTCTTGTCTTACTTTGATCAAAAGGTTGGGCTTCTTCTTGCCCCAAGTGCCAGTAAGAAATGAGGTCTGATTCTCAGTGCTTTTACTGTCGTCCAGAGTTTGCGTCTAAAAACATATGTTTCACTTAATGGCAAAAAGTGACACAGTAGAAAACTGTTTTCAGCCAGATTATAATTGCTCGTTTTAGTAATGTGCGGTATATTCCACTGCATTTTTACTGATCCCAAAAGACCCACTTCTCTTCACCTTCACTGCTCTTTACCTAGTTTGTTCTTGGAATGCATCGTCAAACTCATTTTGATTGGTTGCTCGATCTGTGCCGTCAGTTTGGTAACAGCACTTTGTCCGTTAATGTCCATAAAGGTCTCGGAAGATCAATGGTCACCCTATGGACCATTGCCTCCAATGCGTTTGTTTTGTTTTTGCATTTCCTGTATTCTAATAGTCTGATTGTGTTCTTGGGCAAGACACTTAACCCCACTTTGCCTGAATTTCCCGCTGAAAGATCAAGGCTCCAGTGGACTCACCACCTGAGGATCAGTGAGGGGCTGGTGATTTATGTACTGGGTGCAGCTCTGACTGCCACCCCCCTGACCCAGAAATGGATTAAGGGGAATAAAATGGATAGATGGATGGTCCCTTTCCCTAATTGGTTATTTTGACAAATTGACTATGTTGTAAAGTCCTACTATTTATTTTGTGAATAAGGGCAAACATACATTTGAATGAATGCAATACATTATCATCAAGATTAACAATGATAAATGCTGTGAAGGATGCGATATATTCACTTGTTTCCATTTTTGATTTACATTAGGACACTACATCTCAAGCTGTCCTGGAGCAGGCAAAGACACAGCAGCCATCACAGAAACAGGCTCTCACAGCACATACCACTTCAAAACACAAATCACATATTCGACAGTCTTACAGACACTGGCGACAAGGCCGGTGACATTTCTTGCCAAGGATAGAACATCAGAATGAACTGGAAAGGGTAAGAGTTAAACCAAAAACCAGTTTAAGCTCAAGTTTTTAAATAACTGAAATATTCACAAATAGAAAAGAGTTGTAAATGAGAGAATGTTTTCCGTGCCCACAATCAAATGTAGAGCTTGTGTAACGCGGGATGCCTCATGTACATTCCTCTGTCAGCAGATAAAGCGCCTCCTGCAGCGCTGCGCTTCGGGGGAATGTGAGTACATAGAAACCCCTGTGTCTTCTGGGAGCTTTCCTATGGGCTATGTATGGGTACTGTTCAAAAGACTATGCACAAATACTTCAGGAGAACACTGCAACGATATGAGACTAGAAGACAGGGCAAAAAAAAGAATAGAAAACAAAAGACTGCTAAACTGGAAATTACGGAGCCATGACTAAAACAAATACTTTCGATTTTCCCGAAGAACAATAAATCACCTGCGATTGTGTAACTATCCTGTTCAATGCCCTTTCACTCAGGCCAACTCCTTATTTTAGTATGCACAAATTGAGGGCGGGAACTATTAACAAAAAGGAATATATCAAGTTGTTTTAAGTGCACGCCTATATATCTATTTTTACTTTTATATCTCGTTTGCACAATGAGCCAAAGCAAATTCCTAGTTTGTGACTTCCTGTTACTTGCAATGCCAATAAAAATAATCCTGACTCCGATTTTTATTTCATTGGGAATTTAAAATGTGAGAACAATTCATAATAATTGTGCTAAATAATGTTCCTAATGTTTTGGTTGATAATATGGTTGATAATATGGTTGATAAATTTAGTCGTGATTATAAGAAATACATTTAACATTTTGCAGGTTTTCTACAAATATTGCTATTCATTTAAAAATATATTTCTGAGTATAAACATGTTATTGTACACATCGATCCACATGGAATAGATTGAGTTTGTCTTACCTTTTTGATATCCTCAATACATTTAATGATGTAACTACGCTTCACAGTTTCCTTGACGGCGTAGGCGTCACTCAGGATCCCCAGGTGCTCCTCTAGGGCCTGCTGAACCAGACTGGTTGGTAAGGTAGGGAGGTGAGCCAGCTCCCACAGCACCTCCAGCACCTGCATGGGAACAGCACATATCACCCCTTTTAGAAAGAATAACTTACAAACAGGCCGTCACCAAAGGCAGTGCTCCAACAAACCTTTCCAGTCGTAGTTTCAGACCGAGCCTCTCTGCCAATTCTCCCAATCAGACTCAGCAGCTTCTGTCTGACTCGATCACTCTCAATCTCCCAACTCTGAACAACAGTAACATCAATACAGTGAGAATGGGCAATTTTACGGTATTAGCTGAGCTACCTTTATTTTACTGGGGTCGTGCATAAAAGCCCTTTGAACAGGTCAAGCGTTGCCCAAAATTACTACATCAAATCTTTACACAGTTTTTAGGATGAAGGAACTATGGATAGATCATTCAACCACACAATAATCTCTAACAATTGGTATATGGACAATTAATACGGGTGCCATCCCTGTCTCAAAGTGCCACACGTTGCATTCTCTACCGTATAATAGTTGATGGACTCCGGGGACTGAGTACATCCAGTTAAATGGAAACAACAGAGAGAGCACTGACCTTCTGAATGAGGACAAAGAGGTGGGTGAGCTGATCATAGCTAAACTTCACAGCAGCAGCGGCAATGATTGTGTGAATGTTTTCGATCACAGTGGACGACTGGCCGGCCTGAAAAACACCACACAGAAACACTCATCTACAAGTCCATCGAACAAATCTGTGAGAAGTTTATGCATCTGCAATAAATACACAGATGCATCTCTATTTGGAAGAGGGTCAACCAACGCAGTTTGTTTACAATGAAATGAAATCCTGCTCACAGCAAGCCTGTTTTTGAGGAACAATTATGCGTTTTAATCAATATTATTATTATTTACAAGTTTATTAAAATGTGGCATTTGTCAGGCAAAGAATGAAGTTTTAGAAAAGTTAAATTTTCAACTAACATTAGCTCTGTGCTGTGTATAAATAGTGTGTGACTGTAAGTAAAGAGTTTTAAGTTTGAATGCAGCAATATCATCTAGTGCAGCAGAAAGGGAGCGGCTGCTCGAGTGAGGTGATCACAGCGACTGTCAGCTCGATGCGGACACAGAATTTATCTACTTTCTTGGCCCACATAGCAGTATAAACACATTTTGTCATGTGGTTATAACCATGTTTTAGTCTTTAGTCCAGGTAGAAGGGCTAGAGAAGTTTAGATGTAAAGTTAAGTTGCACTGGTTAAAACTTCCACTTAACAATTTGCTGGTTGTTATCATAATGAAACATGTTATTGAACGCTGTGGCCAAGCTACACCGTTACCTGTATCCTCCAGATCTTTGTCAATTCGTCCAATGACAATTTACTCCCAAGAAGTTCTATGATTCCCTTTATTCTCTCACAGTACTGGGCTTGGTCAATGTTACCTGAAAGACAAAATAAATGTCATACTCTGCTAAAATATTAATACGATAATACATTCTTTTTGTATTTGGCAAAGACAATTCATACCTTCCAATGCTATTGATAGGACTGAATTCTCCACAAGCCAGTCTAGAAGTTTATCTGTGTCTATAGCATTCTTTACAGTTTTAGACACAGTGCTCTCCTCTATGAGTTTGGTGACCTAAAAAGTAAGGGTACAATTGTTGAAAATGCTAAAGACCATCTTAAAACAAGAGCTGAAAAGTTAAAGACCTCTTTTAGGGAGTTCATTTTGGTGGAAAAGTGTGGCGTTTTCAGCATTCGCAGCAGAGTGTCCAGCCTCAAGTCGTCCACCACAGCAACCAGGTCTCTTTGGAACCTCATACAAAGAAGTTTAATGGCAGAGAGAAGGTCTGGGATGCTCACAAGACGCTAAGGACAAGCAGAAAACATTAGACAATAAAGACTAAAAACCATATTCAAATAAAACATTTACCTTATCTTTGAGATCCTTTTCCTCCAGGTTCTGCACATACGTGATCATCTTGTGGATCACCGGATCGAGCATGGGCTGCAAACCATTACATGATGCATTTGATGAGGAAACCTTCTCTTTATACTAGCAGTTATTGCTTACTGCAGCGGCATCTTAATTAATCAATTTCAAAGCTCACCTGGACAAGGCTGGAGTTTAGGTACTCAGCAGAGACACCAAGGGGCTGGACCAAAGCTGACACACACTGTCCAGAAAAATGTGAGTTTATAATTTGTATCAATACTAAATGTTCCCAAAACATAGCAGCAAAAGTTCACCCAAATACGACGGAGCATAGGGCTCACCCTTTTTTTTTTTCAGACTTTGAGAATAAAGTCAAAATATATAGTCAAAAACCAATAGTCTTTAATCCCATAGTCTGGTCCTATGCTCCGTCATACTTAAATCAAATATTTAGGGCATTTTTTCTCTGAGAAAAGTGCTTTCTACAGGAATGCTCTAGTTGCATTTGGTCCTATACAGTCTTCACCTTCTCAACAACCCCCAGACAGAGCCATTGTGCCAACTGGTTACATATTCATACTTAATAATCAACTCTGCATGTGCAACCTGACATGTGCTAGCACAGAAAAGCAGACGCGGTGCAGAGCACAACTATTGATGGTGAGGACCAATCATTCGTGTACTCATACGTTTTTGTTTTTTTAAATGGTATTTTATGGGGGTTTTCTAAAGCAGGTGCGAGAAAATTATAGATTTCATATGCTATAGCACAGCTTAGGTCACTGATGCCAAGTAAAAGCATCATAATGGGTTTTTAAGTGCCTCCTCTTTATCACACACTCCCAGCTCTCCTTCTGCAGCCTGTGTCTTCTCCACAGGCTCAATTCACTCATGACTTCCTGTTTAGAAAAAATAATGAGTCACTCATGGGAGAAACCCAAGTCACCTCCTCCTAATAGCCCTTTTTCTTTCACTTTTGCTCTCTGTGGCAGTGTACAGACCTGAACATTTATAGGCAGATTATTTCTCTTGTGAAATTATGATTAAATTGTTTGACTTTTAATTGATAATCGCATCATTCCCTCAAAGTGTATACGCAGTTAAAATATAAAATGAAGACTTTCCCCCAAGCACATAATGCTGCTGAGCAGAACTGAAGGTAGTGGATTGCATTAGGAAAGATCCAAAAACTCGTTCCATTCTTTGTGTTGCTAAATATTTCCAGGATATTATGTCATGGTAATTTGTGAAGAAATGAAAAATATTCAAAACCAAGCAAATTCCAAGCACCATGCAATTAACCATCATTAAAGAAGAGATTGTTGTCATTGTAATATGGGCATGGATAATTGATTATTTCTGAAATTAAAAGGATGCTTTTAAGACCTGGGTTTGGTCAAGTCAAAACTAAGGCATTATTAAAACAAATACAAGTTTTATGAATGCCATTTGTGAAACAATTCAATTTTCTTTCTTGGTTTAATGAAGAAAGAACAAGTCAACACAAACGGAACAGCCACTACTGTTGATTTAGCTTTACCAACCATCATATAAAAGGGCAAGTCCTAATTTGGCCGTTCTGCAGTTTTAATTTTATTTCTGGGAGTTAGCTTTATAAATCTGGAAATGTACATCAAAATATTATTCTGTCGTCAGAGTTTGTCTGAATGTTGATTAGAAACAAAATTCAGACAAACTCTGAAGGCAATGTGCCGAACAACAGTATGTAAGGCAAGGCAAGTTTATTTATATAGCACAATTCATACACAAGGCAGTGTGCTGAACAAAATAAGAAATGCCACAATCCCTCAAATTGAATGCCCTTTTAATGCTCCAGGTTCAGTCAGAGTTCACCAAGTTTTCCGCAAATGACAATGGTAAAAGGCTGTTTATGTGATCACTGATTATTCACAGGTTAAAATCATGCAGAGCAATGATTACACCGCTTCACATAGAACAAGGTTACTTTACTCTCTGAATAATGATTACGTTGTTTATGGCCCCAACATAAAATGTGATCAAAGCTCTCTGCATGTTTTCATCGAGTTCATAATCTGCTAGACTTTTTTTTCAAATTCTTCATGCCTAAAATATTAACTTTTAATTTCCCTAAATTTAATCCTATGATCAGTTTACAGTTATGAGATGTTTATTAAATAAAAAAGGTTTCCTCTTACAGCAATCTCAATTTCCTCGGCATTGAGTTTTGTCTGGATTGCAGAGAGTCCTCCCAGCTCTCCAAACTGAAAAAGAGATCAGAATATCAAATACTAGCCTAGTTATTACATTACATAAGGTCATATCCAAGAAACTTAAATCTACTTACCCGATTCACCAGGTCAACCAGCCAACCATGAGGCTCCTGCAAAAGTGAAATTAATTGCTTTAATGTCCAACACAATGAAGCAGCGGTGGCACAGAAACAAACTGGTGACATATCCGGACAGCTGTTGTATATCTGATTGTTGGCTCCGGGCCCTGACAACACTGAAGCTCAGTCTGTCCTCAACCCAAGAGCCATAAACAAACACCACAACGACTCGACATGTGAAAAAAGTAACAAAGCCGTACTTTCGTCTTGCAAACTACTGCAGCAGAGAAAATTGAGGAGTCACCATAATTTAGAATTTTCAAGAAATCAACGAGAGAATGACAGGGGTACGAGATAAACTTAATTAATCTTGTCTTTTTTAGTAGTTTAAATGTTTGATCTTTGTAAACGTGTAGAACAGGGGTGTGAAGCTGGTCTCAGAAAGGCCCAGTGTGGCTTGGTTGGGATTAAAACCTAAAGCCACATCTGCCCTTTGTGGCTCTCAAAACTGTTTGGTTGTAAGGCCACAACAATGCATCTTTCGTCAATTATGACAAGACTTCAATACACGTGCAGGGTGTGGAGACAGATGCACAGATAAAGCTGTAGTACGTGCATAAAGACAGACCTCACAGCACAGGAACCAAAAGTCCTGCTCATATCCAAAACTTTAGTCTACATTATACTGGCCACTACACATGAGTGAAGCAAAATGCGCATGTGCCATTCACGCGCGTGCACGGGAAGCGTCTATTGCGCGTAGAGAATGCAAGTGCTTTAAGTCAAAATCTCAAATTCATAACCTGTGACTGTAGTAAAGCACACAATAGAGCCTGCTGCACAGAGTTTAACATGAGGACGATGCCTACATGTTACATTATGGAACAATACTTAAAATGTATACAAAATATTATTTCTGCATATTTTAAAATAACATTTTTATTCACCTTTTCACTGTATTCTTGGCCTAGAACCTAGATAATTAGGAGAAATTAGAATATTCAGTAATTCCAAAGAGAAGTATTTTTTAATACAATTTAATAAAACAGTACAAAGAACTATAATAATAATAATAATGCATTGGTTTTAAATAGCACTTTTCATGACATTCAAACATGCTTCAAATGTCATTATTTAGTCACTTCATACACGGTGGTGATAAACTACTGCTGTAGCCACAGCTGCCCTGAGGCACACTGACAGAAGCGAGACAACCAGTAAGTGCCATCTGCAAAGGTAATTTTTTTATAGTAAGATACAGACAGCATGTTGTGGTCCGATTTGTTCGCCACATTTTACAAGACTATCAGAACCATGGAAAATCCTTTATGAAAAAAGTTAAGTGCCCTAGCTTTTTTTCAAAAGAACCAGATCTTTGAAGAGCACCTGATTGCGACAACACCTCAGATCTCAGCCGCACTCCTTTCCCCCTTAACTTATAAGTAAAGCTCTTATAGTTCAAGAATAATGGTTCTTACTTTCTGGTAGGTGTTGCTGGGAGACACAGCGAACATGTTTGCTTCCTCTCCAAATACCTCAGCCCAGTTCCTCTGACACGACTTCATTCGATTCTTAAAATGGTATTCATTGTCAGGGTTGAAGGCCTGGAAACAAACAGTAGTTAAAAGACTGCACAGCTATTGCACTGTATCAATAGTAATGATACGAGTGAGGCTCACCATGGTTAAAACTGCCATTAGATTCACAGGCACCGGGTCTTGTTTAACTCTCTCCGCCACCAGCTCCACCAGCAGCATCAGCATGTTGTAGATGCCCTCATGAATCTCTGTGCCCCACTTGTGAACTGCACTGCTGGTCAGCAACTAATAACCCAGAACGAAGAGTCATTAAAACTTTATAAGCGTTAATTCAGTTTGCCGGTCCCTTGTGTGCTGGGTTCTCACCTTTTTGAAGGCCTCTGGCATACACCGATCTATAAATCGCTTGCAGTTCTCATCAGCATCAGCCAAACCTTTCAGCAAAGTTAAATAAAAAATCAATGTCTTCACACATAAAATTGCTGTGAAAAATTAGATCCAGAATGGGCATAACTATACCAAAATAACATGCAATAAACGGTCCACGCTAAACATGCCTCCCACAAGCAGACGCAGATGGACTGATTTCATAAACACAGATTTTCATACCCTTATAAATAACCGTACCGTGTCGAGCCAAGCAGGTGGAGGCGATGAGGCACTTGCCCAAAGACTCTTCTCTCTTGTAGGGGATGGACCAGTGGTCAGTGAACACCCGGCTCTCCAGCTCATACAGGTTAGTGGTGGGAAATTCCATACTGCCACCGGAGCAGTTCCCATTCTCATCATTGTTTCTCTGCAAGAAAGTAACTATAATAATTATATCACAAAGCAGAAGGTGAAACTTTGACTTCTGGCAGTGATTTAGTGAGTCCGCTGTGGGACAGAACTGAAAGCAGCCATTTGGCAACGTGACCGACCTCAATGTCCTTCACGTCTGCATTATGCATTTTTTTTCTAACCTGGCTCTGGGGGAGGGCTCTAAAGGCACGTTTGTGTCATCGTACACAAATCTGGTGTGCAAAATATTGATATTTCTCAACTGGATACAACATTTTTCTGTAATTTCGTAATAAATGTTTCCATTACACTACACATTATATTTTAAAAACCCCAAAATGTATAGACATTTATCATACAAAATACAAGTATGTATAAATAATTTGTAACACATTGCAGCATGAAACTGAAGACTTTCCAACAATCTTCAATGTATGAAATATAATCGTATTCTATTCTAACTACCCTGTATGTAGATACAAATCACATCCTATCATGTCTAATGAAATATGTATTGTATGTGCATACTGTGTTTTTATTATTATTATTCATTTATTTATTATGTGCAGGTGGGATAAATACATTCTGAATATGAATCTAGGTTTCCTTTGGGTGCTCTGTTTTTTCCTACCACAATAAACATGTACAGTGGGACTAAAGGTGAGAAATAGTCATGAGTCGATTCCGGTGTATTCTTTGTTACTTGATTTACTTCTATTATGGAATCATAAAAGAAAGTTATGTACTGTTGCTTCTGTTGCGGCAAACAATATCAACGGTTCAAAGTTATTCTCAAATTCCAACTCTATTTTGGAAAAATAATAATAATCTCTGCATCATCTTGACTGCAGGTCAACACATCTTGATTGCAAGTAATATTTATTTATGTAGTGCTTAAGCAATACTTATAATTAGATGTTTATTTTGTTTATTTCACCATGAAAGTCCAGCTGAGAGTCAAATGTATTTTTTTTCAATTACTGACCACATAGAGGACAAGATGAAACACTCAGTCACCCCAAAACAACTCTCTCCATGGGCTCTGCTATTGTGCACAAATGACAACACAATTAGAGGTCAAAATAAGCCACGCCATGTAAATCTTCTACTAGGTCAAAGTTGAGTCCACACAGTATGGAGAGTTATTTCTCCTTGCCCTACCCCAAGTGTAACTTAGCGCCAGTCTGTTACTATACACTCATCCACCCGCGGGTCCCTTCAAAAACTGGTATACATCTTCACTGTGTCACGACTGCTTGGCTATATTTAGGACAACAACATGGACCAAGGGGCTCCAACATGTCAACAAGAGTACACGCAATCGCTGCAGCAAAAAAATGAGACTCTGTTCCCTGAAATTATGTTGCAAAAGACTTGTGAGGTAATGATAGTTGGCAGCCTTTAAAACAACCAAATTATGATATTTTTTTATTGTAAAAAAAGAAAGTGCATTTACAGGGGAAGTGTCAGGTTTCCCTCACTTGTCTTCCACAATAACATTCAACTTGGTTAAACTGACGTGTGTACACCGTCTGTGGTAAGGATGTAACGTAATTTGATTATTTCTAATAGTATTTTAAATATTCTTTCACAGTGCAGTGGTTAGTGCTGTTAGTTAGAGTTGAGTGTCTGCCTATGCTGAAAGACACACTTTATAAAGTCCTGACAGTTACTTGAAGTGAGGGTAAGTAATCCTTATTTATATGGTAACTTTCACACACCAGAGTCACAAAGCGCTTTACAATTTGTTGTGTTTTGGGCATTTTGTCTCTCACTTCACACAGACAGATGGGAGCAGGGTCGTTACTATCATAAGAGCCATTTCCCCCATTTTCAGCCAAAAATAATTGGTCAAGAGTCGCAAAATGTTTCTCACATCTTACTCTTTAAAAGTTTATAATTTTATAAGAGTGGGAATATGAATTACTATCACAAGGGTACAACTGATCGAATGTGACCATAAAGCAACTGTTAAACAACATTGTTACAATCCTAATAGGCATATATAAGAGTATAATAGTAAAATTCAAAAAGGATCCATTACAATAAGGCTGAGGAGCTGCAGAAACACAATCAAGGGCAGGCTGAGCCACAAGTTATGTTTGATGAGATTTTGTATCTAATAAATACAAACGTTATTTTCTGGTGCATACCTTATCAAACAACTTTACAATCCACATCTTATAGTTCACAATCACACAGCTACAGCAGTGAGATAGTTTCTACATGAGAGTATGTAAACAAGCCTTTATGAATGAATACAGCCCCAGCAGAGGGGATGTCAAATGGATTGCGAAATATGTGCACAATCTATCTGCAGTAATTGCTATAAAAGTACACGCTATTTTACAACTTAAGTTAAACGATCACTGCATTGACATATAAACACGTTTTATCTATGTCAAGACATCACTTTTCGTTTTAGTAACATCAAGTGGATCTACTGTAGCTGTGTGGCAAGTGGCGCGTTGACTGTCGCTAACATTGCTAACCCAGTGCAGCCCAAGCTAATAAGTTTGTCTGCTTGGGCTTGTGTTCTAGTAAAATATAACACGGAAATACAATGTTAAAACTGCCCAAAACAGGCTAGGCTTGATTTGTACGCGTATGTGCATGTATATTGTGAAGCATTAGCATACGCACACGCCTGACAGTTCTCGCTGCACATAGCCTCAGCAGCTGCAGCTAAATGTGGCTAGTTAGATGTTAAATGGGCGAGACCTGCTACAACCACCGAAGCTCCAAGGGTTTGTCTCAAGCAAAGTCCCTCTCAGCGCTCACCTCACTGTCCACAACGTCGTGGTAGGCTGGCGGAGGATCAAACCCCCCAGTGCCAGTTCTCCCGCTGCTTTCCCCGTCTCCAGAGGAGCTGGGGTTAGGGGCAGGCCCGCTCTCCATGGGCTCATATCCATAGCCGAGTCCTGGGCTTTCGTTCGTGAGCAGCGCCACCGCCTCGTTGATGTCGTTCTTGGCCAAACGCAGCGCCTTCCTGATCACGTCTGGATCCGGAAAGCCCATGCAGAGGAGCGTGGTGATGTGCTGCTCCTCCTCGGTCTCCATCGCGGGTGTCTGGGTGGTTGTTGGTCCCTAATAGCAGCGCGGAGCTCGGCACAGCCCTGGGGTAGTGCGTGCCGCCATGTTGACAGCGCTGCCTGTGGGCTCTGTCTGTCACGATCCTACTTCCCCCAAAACAGCGCCACTACTGACACAGGTGCTATAACTGTGCGCCAGGGATCACTAGAGTGCGCAAAGAACACACCGCAATTAAACTGGCAAGGGTGCTAGTGTTGAACAAATAAGTAAAAAGTCTGTGAGCCCTCTCTTTTCACATTTCTGTCCCAAAAAGCCACGGAAAAAGCTGATCTAAAGGAGTGAGAGACGCGGCCCAGGGTATCCCAAAAAGAATTATTTGGACAGTGTTTCTCCATTTCCATGTTGTTTTAAAAAGTAGGAGTTAAAGTAAAACGTTGTCAAGTAAACGGCAGATACCAAGGAAAGAAATGACTAAAATTGAGTTAAAAACAACTTCAAATGTATGTAGCTAGAATATGAAACAGTCTTCTTGAAAATGTCAGACACAGGCTTCAACTGAATGTTCAAGTCAAGGTTGAAACAAATCTGTTTGTCAGCTGAAAGATTGTACCGATTGTTTATCTGCTTAGGATTATTTATCTGTTTAGGATTGTGATGTCCTTGTATGGTGGCTAATAAAGCCTTGTCCTTCTGTATGAAGTATGTTAAGCACATGCAGTTGCCTTGCCTTATTACAAGTTGGACAATGCATGTGATTATGACGATGCATGTGTTCTTATTTATTTTCACTTTGCAAATGTATGTGTCATTTATTTTGTTGCACAATTATTATTATTATTTTTTATTTTTTTATTTTATTACATTTTAACACAATTACAAGAATGAAAACATAAAAGAAAGAAATAAAACAAAATTATATTCGAAATCTAATATATACGGTTTACAAATACAGTAGGTGTTAAGGTGGGAGGGGTTGGGGTGGAGGGGGAGAGTAAAAAAATAAAATAAAATTATTCGGGTTGCGTTTTTTATTGTTTCAGTTCTGCCTTGGTTTGCGGAGTTTCTGTATATGTATGTGAATGTGTATGCAATGCAGGGGTGCATAGGTGCTATGTCGAATGTGGTCAAATGAGTCTATATATTTAACCAAAAAAAACAAACAAAAAACAAAAAGGGTTTATATATATATATATACACACATCATCATCGCTATCACTATTATCATCGTCATTGCCACAATCATTACCCATTGCTAATTTTATCTTGCTGAGTTTTGGTGAAAAATAATAATAGTAAGTAGTAGTAGTAAATAATAATAGTAAGTAGTAGTAGTAGTAAATAATAATAGTAAGTAGTAGTAGTAGTAAATAATAATAGTAAGTAGTAGTAGTAGTAGTAAATAATAATAGTAAGTAGTAGTAGTAATCTTTATTTATATACCGCCTTTTCATTTTGTTGCACAATTAGACATTAGGCATCATTGAGCATCAAAATGGTTATTATTATTATTATATGTTTGTATCAATAGTCTTAGTATCTTTTTACATTATTATAGATCATGCTTTTGGTCCAGACAATACAGTCTATGGTCCAGACACGATATTATAATAAATCCATGTCCAGACAACACAAGGGTGTGGCACATGTGCAGTGCGCGCAAATCAAGTTGGAGAATCCAGTGGCGCGCGCTCGTCACGTGGTCTCACCAAGGGTCTCACGTGAGCTCATGTGACTGACGGACAAATCCAAAACAGAAACAACAAAATGGCTTCAGCGACGGGGGACGAGGCTGCAGCTATGGACAGCATCTCCCGGGCCCCTGCGGCTCCTCCTGCAGCTGTAAGCGCGGCGGTGAGTGCGTCTGTGGCGGGGAACGATCAGACAGAAGCCCCGGTGGATGGAGCGGAAGCTGCATCATCAGCGCCTAAAAAGGGTAACAGCAGTAAGTGTATTTCTGGGGTTCTTCCGTAGCTAACAATGCTAACTTTAGCGCAATAACAAGAAAACAAAGTACTTTCACAGTTTATCATAGCGTGCTTGCTTTGTATACCGCCGTATGTCCGAGGTATATTCAAATGTGTTTTATTTGTAAATTGATTTATGAATTTGTAAAAACATTCATTCATTATTCTGTGTGCAGGTGATAGCGGGGTAGAGACAGCAGAGGAGGCTGTGGAGCCATCAGAGCCTGATATAAACGTGTTATGTGGTGATATGTTTGAAAAGATGGCAATTTTTCTACAAGGAGAACTCACTGGTATTTTAAATTGAATGTAAAATATGAATGCTATTGTTTTGGTTTTCTTTTGTATTCTAAACTTTTCTGTATGTATAATTTTCAGCTACATGTGACGACTACCGCTTGTTGGAGAATATGAACAAGCTGACCAGTCTGAAGTACATGGAAATGAAGGATATCAGTATAAATATTAGTCGGAACTTACAAGACCTTAATAATAAATGTAAGGTCTTGTACATGGTTTTACTCTTATGGTTATGTGGTATCTATAAGGGGTTGATTTTTTGTTCAGATGCCAGCCTTCAGCCATACTTGGATCAGATAAATGAGATTGAGGAGCATGTCACTTCACTTGAACAGGCGGCATACAAACTGGATGCTTATTCTAAAAAACTTGGTAAGTGGGGAGGGGATCTCCCCAAAATAATTATTGTTGCCGCATTGTTAAATTTTATTTAGCTTAATGTTGTTGTTGTTATTTTTGCAGAGGCACGATTTAAGAAGCTGGAGAAGCGATGATAACTGGAGTTTCCTCGTCACCGTTTGACTTGCCTTTTGCCTTTTTAGTGTAGCCATGAGCAGCAGGTGGTTGTGAATTGAGACTTGAAACTACAAATAATATGAGGCACATGGACATCTGTATGCGCCTCAGAGAAGCGTCATGGGTCGAGGAGCCCCACTTGAGAAGGCCTGTTTTTGACACATGCTTTTATTGTGTGTTATTTGGCCAGAGTTTGTCCCTGGAGTTACTGGAATGTCTCCTAATATGTTTTGACCTACATACTCTGACATAACAAGCTTATGATAATTGGTGTTATAATTTCAGACTTGACAAAGCATGTTAGCTAGCCAAGAATAATAATAACAATTCAACTGATCCTACAGATACAGTAACATAGTGTTCTGGACACTATAATGTATTATTTTTGTATTTTCTGTAATGTACACGCATCATATCTAATTATATTTTGTTGTTGCACCCTGTTAAAGTCCATTCAGCCTGAATGAATGAATGAGTGTTTGTGAGTGTGGGACAACAGATATAAATAAGCCTGAGGCTGTAATCCAGAGAGGTGTGTTCATTAACTTGCACTGTCCCAACCAAATTAACTATTAACAGAATATTTGCAGACATTTTCTTAATTATTGTTGATATTATAAAATATGGAGGTGTATGCAAAAATGGATTTTGGCTTTGAAGTGAGAAAGTGTCATAAAAGTAAAAGTGTCAAGAAAACTGAAAATACTCTTTCTTGTTTTCCCTCTCATTCTCCAGCATCAGCAGATGGCAGTCATGTTCTTCCTTAAACTGAATTTTGCACCTTGGCTTAAACACATTTGTTATAACACATTTGCTCTACCATATGCCATTATTTTGATAAACATATAATTTGAATCTATTGAATTTAAATTTCCAAATATTGTAATTTGTACAGTACTCTAGACATTTGCACAAAAGTAAGACAAGAATGTATAAGGAAAACTGGGTGTGATGTGTATGTGGACTGTAACACAAAAGTCTTTTTGTGTTACGTTTTTCTTGAATTTGATATTTTTACAAATCCTGCTCTTAGTTCATGCATCAGTCTGACACATGGGCAGCAGAGGAAGCTGAGTGGTGAGTGGGGATGTGCTGGTTGCCCTCTGCCTCCTGTCTTTCCTCCCCTACATTAGCTGCCCCATAACACAATCCAGATCACTTTCCTTGCCCATGGTCTCAGATTATCTCAACTGATGGGAGGTCATGAACGGGTCACTCCTGCGGGGTGTGTTTTTTGGATCTCTGTGTGTTTGTATTACTGGGTCTTTGTCATTAGTCCAGTCAAAGTGCTGAAGACTAGCTTTTAATTATTATAACATTATTAAGTACAGTAATCTGAGCTCTATATGCTTTATAGATCAGTTAGGCAACAATAGTGCTCTGTCCCTTGCATCAAAGTTCAATTCCTTCTTTCATCAAGTTCTGATTTGTGAACTGTGGGATGAAAAGCGTCTCCTGTAAGTCTTATGTATTTTTATTTGTAAGTAAGAAACTTTGCTTGAATTCAATTTATATCATGTTTTTGTGCCCTGACCCTTTACATTGTATTATTTAGTGGCGTTGCACAAAGTGGTAAGTTCCACCTCTAGCTGAGACTGCCTATCTACGCCACCCAACCCTTCACTATCCATCCGAGAGCTAACCACCTAATGTGCTCAGTTTCTGAAATGTGACCAGATCAATTATTTATGTTATATTTTAATTGTTATAGGAAAACATATAGCCAACCTGTACGTTAGAACCCATGCCCATTGTTTGTTCAATATGAATTTCTCTGGGAGGGACACGTTCAATCACAAGCTCCCAAAATAATCATAGGGTTGAATAGACTCCAGTGTTCATGGGGCAAAACAAAAAGGAGCTTTAGCGAATGTTCAGACTTTAATCCTCCCACTACCAGACTTGTGCCAATCAGCTCCGCTGGCATATCCACACTCTTGCTAATCAATATCTGCTTTACTTGTTGCATTTAAACATTGCCTCGCATTCCTACACTCGCTTTCAGCTCATGCAACAACTCATCACGTCACTTCTCGTCTCATCGGGGGGAATTTCAGTTTCATAATATCTATTCAATTCCCACCTACTGTGTATTGCGAAAGTATTCGGCCCCCTTCAACCTTTTCAACATTTCGCCGCATTTCAGGCTTCAAACATAAAGATATAAAATTTTAATTTTTTGTCATGAATCAACAACAAGTGGGACACAATCGTGAAGTGGAACAACATTTATTGGATAATTTAAACTTTTTTAACGAATAAAAAACTGAAAAGTGGGGCGTGCAATATTATTCGGCCCCTTTACTTTCAGTGCAGCAAACTCAGTCCAGAAGTTCAGTTAGGATCTTTGAATGATCCAATGTTGTCCTAAATGAGTGATGATGATAAATAGAATGCACCTGTGTGTAATCAAGTCTCCGTATAAATGCACCTGCTCTTTGATAGTCTCACTCACTCTGGATGAACTGCAGATTACTACAGCTGAGGTGGGAGAGTCTGTCCATAGGACAACAATCAGTCGTGCACTGCACAAATCTGACCTTTATGGAAGAGTGGCAAGAAGAAAGCCATTTCTCAAAGATATCCAAAAGTCTGCCATAAGCCACCTGGGAGACACACCAAACATGTGGAAGAAGGTGCTCTGGTCAGATGAAACCAAAATCGAACTTTTTGGCCACAATGCAAAACGATATGTTTGGCGTAAAAGCAACACAGTTCATCACCCTGAACACACCATCCCCACCTCAGCTGTAGTTATCTGCAGTTCATCCAGAGTGATCATGGGCCTCTTGGCTGCATCTCTGATCAGTCTTCTCCTTGTTTGAGATGAAAGTTCGGAGGGACGGCCGGGTCTTGGTAGATTTGCAGTGGTCCTTCCGATTCAATATAATTGCTGGCACAGTGCTCCTTGAGATGTTTAAAGCTTGGGAAATCTTTTTGTATCCAAATCCGGCTTTAAACTTCTCCACAACAGTATCTCGGACCTGCCTGGTGTGTTCCTTTGTCTTTGTCTCTGCGCTTTAAACAGAACCCTGAGACTATCAAAGAGCAGGTGCATTTATACGGAGACTTGATTACACACAGGTTCATTCTATTTATCATCATCAGTCATTTAGGACAACATTGGATCATTCAAAGATCCTCACTGAACTTCTGGAGTGAGTTTGCTGCACTGAAAGTAAAGGGGCCGAATAATATTGCACGCCCCACTATTCAGTTTTTGATTTGTTAAAAAAGTTTAAATTATCCAATAAATTTCGTTCCACTTCACGATTGTGTCCCACTTGTTGTTGATTCATGACAAAAAATTAAAATTTTATATCTTTATGTTTGAAGCCTGAAATGTGGCAAAATGTTGAAAGGTTCAAGGGGGCCGAATACTTTCGCAAGGCACTGTATATCCATCATGCTAGTTCTGCTGCAGTCTGAGCACCAAAACTATATCTAATATGTTTATGTGCAATATCAATAAATGTAATTTGATTCGATGCTATATGTCTGCTGGTGTTTAATTATGTAGAAACAATCACTAACTCAGTTATTCTAATACATTTGTCTGAGTCTTTCCAGATGTATACACTTTACCTAGCTATCTGCTAGAACCTAATAGATCCATGGCTAGAACCACAAATTGTGTTGTACTTTAGCATAAACAGGAATGGCATGGAATTAGCTGTATCTTAACAATTGTCACATGCGGAGGGAGTTATGTTGCCATTGAATGGGGAATTTCTGATTGAATTACATACATTGTGGTTACAAACTTAACTGTAATCAACTTAAAGTACGTATTATCCGAAATGGACCCAAATAGGCCTAACGCAACAAAGGAACTGCTGAAATTCAGATGGTGCGGTGAGATAGGGTCTATACTTAATTTGGTCAGACAGACGTTTGAGATTATTGAACGTCCATCAAACAGCTGCAACACTGAGTTACTTTCTGTGAATTGTTGAAAATTGGCAGGTTTAACAAAAACAAGACAGAATGCCACACCACAAAGTTGCACAACCGACAAGCAACTTAGGAAAGCCAGTTTTGAGACATTTAGTCTTTGTGTATTGTGCTGTCTATAAAGCAACAACATACGGATTATTCAACATCACACTACAATTATCGCTTCTACTGCTGACATCTTCTTCCCACAGGACTTTATGAACATCTGTTTAATAAAACCCATACAATACTTTGCTTACTCAACAAATGTACGGCCTTCTAACTTCATAGATATCCAAGAAAGAGCTTTGTGTTTACATCAATTTTCAAAGCAGTCAATATATCTTAAAGGTATTCAGTGCAAACACAAGCCACATGTCAGAACTGAAGCTTTAAGCCCAAACTTCAAATACCTTCATACACGTAAAAGCCGCATGAGGTCAAAGTTTGGCACCATGATCCTTCACTCTGCCATATTTCTCACACCTCCATCATATGCCTAGACTGTTGAGGGCCCACACACTTCAGACCTGCATGACACTGTGGACCCTTTGAAACCGTAGACCAAAGACTGCACCACAAACCTTCAGGTCTATGGTTCCAGGAAAGCACAATCAAAAGGATGCTGGAATATTGGAAGTCGCTTCTAATTTGCCTTCACTGTCAGTGCATTATAAGCCGCTAAAATGGGACCAGATGGGAGCGTGGCAGACAGACGGTGTGTTTTGGATGTGACATGGGGGAGTATATGCGTCTCAGCAGGTAGCAGACAAAGAGGGTGTCATGTAGCTCTTCAAACTCTGCAAGGGCCGACAGGAGGACCATCAAGTGACAACTGCTCAATGCATATCAGCAGTATCCAAAGAAAAGCATCCTGAAAAGATTAAATTGAACATGCTTGAAGAAGTATAAGATGAGGTATCAGTATCAGCCAAGTTTTAATGTTTATTTGTTTGCTGTGTTTATAACACAATACCAATAGTAAGTAAGTAATCTTTATTTATATACCACCTTTCACAGACCAGAGTCACAAAGCGGTTTA